CTGTTCCGGATAATTTTGGATAGACTTTACCGATTTTGGAAATTTACTCGATTTTGAATTCTACCGACTTAGACTTCCCGATCGTGACCTCCCTTAGGATGTTTAGTACGCATAGCTACTACCCCAAGTTAATCCCTGGATAGAGGTATGCATTTGATCTTCATGGTCATATTCTTTGGGGTAAAGGTTGGTTATCCCTGGATTATTCCTAAAGCTACCTGACTTGGACATGTTCCCAACTAGTGTTATCACGGCAGTAACACCGCTGTTATTTATTTCCACTGCGTTATGTGGACAGACATAACCAGTGATGGTCCAAATACTGTTCCATTTCTTTTTCGGTCGGGCTAAGAGCTGGTTATCCCTGGAATTGTTCCTAAAGCTACCTGAACTTGGACATGTTCCCAGCTAGTGATTCTATCACGGCAGTAACATCGCTGTTTTTTAGTTTTGCCACTGGTTATGTGGACAGTCATAACCTGTGATGGTCCATACACTGCTCCAACTTTCTGGAAGTGATCAGCACTTTTGATGCTGATACTTCACATTTGCTGTGGGATATTATTTTCATTTTTGATACTTACATTTCCCACAGTATTTTTGAGTAAATTTTGAAAAGCCAAGAGCTATTTTTTGTCTGTAGGGACCTTGGAAGCGTAGGGGTCGTGGACAACAACGTGATGTGGGTCGTCATAGTTGTCTCATGACAGGTTGGGCTGACGAGATATATGTCGTCGTGTTGAATTTTTGTTTAGGCTGGTTCAATGGGCATATTTCTCGAAAGTACCGCTCTTTTGCTTTTGCACTTGAGTAGTCTCTAGGGACGACCTAACTCTACGTGAATAGGAATACTCCCGAACGTTTTTTGTTGAATCTTTTTGTTTCAGGTTCGGCCTGTTTAAGGTTGGTGGCCGTATGTCACCCCAGTTGAACGGTGGACAGCTGGTTAAATCAAAATTAAAAATTTCAAACTTTCTTTTTTGTTTCCACCTGGGGATTTTTTAGTGAGTTGCCTTCGTTCGTTTAGGAGTTGACATCTCACTGATTGATTCTGAATGCAATTTCAATATTTGGATACTGATATTCGTCTCGGTGATCTGAAGTACTTATCCCTCTGTATCCATTGTTGATATTGTAATTTTTTTGAAAATTTAAATCAATCCAGATTCAAATTTTTTCTTGGGAGAGAGGTGATGTAGCATGTAAATATTCACTACTGTATATTTGGTCTGATTCTATACTATCCTGTACTGCTGAACACATCTGACAGGATATTTTGTCACAATAACTTGGTTAACATTTTTCAATAACATAAATTGAACTCAATCTGCTTCATATTATTTAATTATTCTCAAACCTGATATGTGGATACACACCTGAGATTTCACACTGTACAATAAATTAAAATACTATTTCTATAAATACGTTGATATCTCTTGCTATATCTGCTTTGTTGTGATCCAAGTAGAAGGATGATTCGGATGGTTTTTACAGAAACTTATCTGAAAGAGATAAATAATATAAGGTAATATGAAATACCATTTCAGAGACATTCTCATACTCACTTTTCACACTGCTATTTCCACTTGAAACTTCATCACAGTAGGACGATAGGTATTGGATTTTCCAGGAACGCTGATGCGGATGGTTTCACTAGGAATCGACCATGGTGAATCAATTAACTTCGTTTGGCATTATTTTCTTGATTGATGCATTTGATAAATTCAGGTTGATGTTTTGATCTTGTTGAGTTGATCTGTTATTTCGCTTTACGTCAATTAGCTGTCGGTCATGACACCATGTCAACAGTGTCAAACTTGTCATGCGCCAAACGCCGATTCGGATTGATATGTCCTTAGATCATCATCGTCGAACCAACAAGCCGAGTATGCGTGAAGAAAGGTGTGACGTCATTTTGGTCGTCAATTCTGATTGGTTCAGATAGACATCTGGGAAGAATCAAGTCTCTGGAGGGAGTAGCGATAACGTCTTTTATCTTGGATATTCAAATTTTCCGCCAATTTGAAAAGCGGAAACTGTTAAGTTGTTCTCGAAGTTTCTGGAAATTTGGAGAAGGGATTTCCTTTCTGGTCGTGAGACAAGAGCTCACTTCAGAAAATTCTTCGTGGTGGTCAAGTGCCATTTTTGTGGTGTGAACCGGCTTCTGAAGTCCTGTACCGCCTGGCGTTCTGGATCACATCAGGATATCCTGGATTTGCTGCTGATCTACAAGGACTGCTGGACTCTACAGATTTTTCTGGTTTTGGTTTAAGAGGCAGGATCTTCATGGTTCATCACCCAGGCAGCCACGTGCCTACCTTCATCGTCATTTCAATCCCTAACCCTTCATAGAAGGTGAGTCTCGCATTATTACGTTTTTTCTCTCTGCCAGTCCAGAAATTCAGAACCTCATTTTCATGAAATATTTAAGGGTTCTTCACCGGGAGTTTTTTTCACCGGGAGTTTTCTACCGGGAGTTCTACAACGGGAGTTATCCTACCCAGGAGCACTATTCTTCCCAGGAGTCATTGCTCGACCAGGATCTGATAATTCTACAAGGCCTTTGGTGGCTATATAGTAGTCTGGAATCTGGAATCTGGATATCGTCCCCTGTTTGTTCCTGATATGATGGATTTTCAAGGTGGAAATACGACAGCTCTGTCAATGTCATCTGACATCCAGGGATGTGAAGTCAGCACCCCGCTCTCCGCCAACCTTCCCCTCAGCAGCTTCATTTGGTAGCACTGAATGCTACTCTGGATAACTGGTGTAGGACACACCATACAGGTTTTTGACATGAAAATATATTTTTATTTTTCATTTTTATTCACTCATAATGCCCATTGCTAGTGTGTATAATGGACCATTTTTAAATCATAGCCAGGTCATAAATTGATGAAATCACACATGAAAGGTACATACTTCCCCTCCACATAGTATACTATGCGCTGGTAGAATTCTTCCATTTTCAATATTTTTTTAAAATCTGCTATGACTATAAAACGTCCTTACAGGAGCTCTTGATTTTTCAAGTACAATATAAGGTTGGTTTATACATATTTTCATCCACATAATAGCAACAGTGTATTTTCTTAACAGGAAATAAGTATCTAATATTTTTTATTATGCATATTTGTCAAAACCTGTGATGTGATATATGAGTCCTATCATCATAATTAAATGTTTTGGGTATTGTATATGACTTGTTTTATTTGTTTATTGACATGACACTCCAACTCACAACATCTCTAAGGTAAATTTAGGTCTTTTAGTCTGGGAGAACAACTAATATTATTCATTATCTGGTTGCTCAACTTTCCAGGTAACATTTCATTTGAATTAAAAGTTGCAGTGGCGCCCCATCTTTTTTGTTTAACCTTATGATTGCTAGATAACTGAATTTTTTGCTATTTTAACTCATTTTGATAACTCGAACTCATAGTGCCTACTGACGAAGAGCTGCCGTTCGCAATGCACCTATTTTCCATAAAAGTAGGGCTGCAACACAATTATGTCCCATATGGATAACCTTAGAACGTCCTGTCGGGACATTCAGGACGTCCATAGGACGTTTGAATTTGGTACCGTAGGACGCAAAAATGCCATACTTGAGGACCAACTAGGGACATCCTTGAGGTGTGTCCCTGGGACAACTATCGAATACCCCAATCCTACAGTATTCCTCATCAAGCACTACGAAGGACATCATTAGGACATCCGTAGGACAACCTAATTGAATGTCCATAGGATGCCCCAGGGACGTACGAATTTTTCTGAATTTGAATTTTTCTGGGTCTCTCTAGGACCAGATCTTGCATAACTGATGAGGACATCCATTTGAGTTGATGGTCCGTAGAAGGTCCCCAATAGATCCTGAAAATGTTTCCCTAAGATGTCCAATGGACAAGGACATTGACGGGGAGTATTTATAGCCAACGAGAAATCATTCGTCGGCAAGGTGTAAGTTAACGTACTTGCAGGGACAACATATTGAAAGTCTGACTGGGATGTCCGTAGGATGTTATTTCTAGGACATTGGAAGAGTACAGTTTATGTACTAATTGGGACATCCGACAGATAACCCTAATGGACATTCGAAGGATATCCCTAAGGGAAATTTCGATTGTTATACGATCCTGGAAATAATGAGGGCGTCTGTGCAGAGATATTTGAAGGAATGTTCCTTCAGGGACTTTCCATGGTTGTCTAGAAGGGACATTATATAAGATCCGAAGTCATGCCAGAATATGTACTACTCGGGACATCCGATGGATGTCCCTAAAGAAACGTTCAAAAATATATCTCATCAGGGATATGCCAAGGACGTCCTTGCATGGACATTCTACAATATGGACCACGTGGGACGTTTAGGGGATGCTATTCCTAGGACATTTGTAATGATGTACATGCTATCATTTTCTCTCCATTTTTCTTATCATGGTAGGCATGTTGTTGATATTTTGCAGTTTGTTAAATATTGCTATCATCATTTGATTTAGTGAATGTCATTGCTGCTTTCTCTGTGTTGTCTTATAGAAATACTGAAAATGAGTACAAATTTACCCAGGAATATCATGAAAAATGCAGACAAGGTTCCGATTAATTTATTGTCGGAGAAATCCAGACTCGTGACAAGGATTATAATACTTTCACGGGAGGTAACTTTTGTTTCCTCCCGTGGGATCGAGTAAATTGACAGACGATGCAGTGAGTAGATAAATATATTGAGTTCCTTGTAACAAAATATATTTCCACCAACTTCAGTAGAATAATGTTAGACAAGAATAATAGATTGAAATGCCACCTGCTGCCTTATTAATATTTTGCGTAATTGAAGTCGGAATTTTGTATTTTTTATCGTAATTTTAACTTGTTTTTTTTAAATTTTGGTGTGAAATTTTCTTACCGAACACCACTTGAAGCTAGAATTGAATTCCACTTGTCGTTCGATCCATTTTACTGCTATCACAGAACTATAGTGAATTTATGATATATTCCAGGTATGGTAAAGGGAGAAGTGGTAGTGGAACTGGTATAACAGGACTGAAGCTACTAGCGGTTACCCTCAAGCAGTTGGGTGATTTCAAGCAATTACTCATTTTGCCGATCACAATGTTCATTGGAGCTGAACAAGCATTTATAGCTGCAGATTTTACATCGGTGAGCTTCCACAGAAGGAACAAAATATTATCTCCCATAGGAGGTGAAATAAATTGGCTTCAGCATGTTTCCCTTGCGTCGATCCGCGCAATCTTAGTAATCAGTGTCTAAAACAACAACAAAATTCTTCATTGAATCTCAATGATATCATATATTTATACACTTCCTCATATTTCAACTTTCGAAACTTTCAATTGCAATTACACAATATACAAATGTGATACGAATTCATAATGACAAAAGGATCAAATTGATTTTTGTTCCGTTTCAAATACCGTAAATTGTTCATGGCATACTATAACCCTTGAAGCTTTGTAACGCTTGAGAATAAAGCTTCAAAATATCCTCGTTTTTGAAATCTCCATGAGAAGCTCAATTCAAAAATATATCACATATAGAGGGTTTGTATACAGTGCGTTCGTTAAATTAACTGCTTTCTTGAAGTAGTGGATAAATTCGTAAAAAATTAATGGAAAATTTTGTGTACTTCGCATTTCATATTTGTAGGAGAAATAACGTCATTGGTATTTTTTTAATGTCAACCCCATTTCACGATTTAGCACTTAATATAACGGGCGCACTGTTTGAAACCCCTATGAATGATATATTTTTTGATTCAGCTTCCGATGAAGATTCAAAAAATTTCATAATATATATGGTGTTCCTTTGGAAAAAATTGTCGCGGACGTCATATATCAAACTTGGATCACCCTGTATATCTAATTCTTCCTCATAAATGTGACGAATTGAAAAGTTATATCAAGCAGTTTCAGATAGAGTCCTCAGAAATGGATAGTTTGGCAAAAAATTCATTTATTCAGTACTTTACGAAAGCACTCAATTAAACAGACTCACTGTTTAAAAACAAGAAAACTGAAAGAGCAGAAGAGATATATTTATCCCCCTAAAAAAAAGTTTTTTTTTTTTATTTTTAGTAAAAAGATGAATTTAATGAGAGAAAATTTGTGATTTTTCTGTGGGTTTCCAGGAAAATTTATTTATTTGGAAGATTTTTAAAAAGTGTGGATTAATTTTGATTTTCAATTTGTGTTGAATCATTGTCTACTGACAACAGGTATTCATAAATTGCAGTCAAGTGATCTACGTCAGTTTTTTTATTGATGCACTCTGGATCTTGAGAAATGGAAGCCATTTCTAGAAAAATCTTCTTATTGTAGGTACTCTTCCTTTCAATCTTCTTATTCTTCTTTTTCTTTCTTGTCCTCCTTCACCACTCTCCTCCTCTCTTCTTCTTTTTCTTTTTTCTTTTTTCCCGCTAGCTCTTCTTATTAGTTCTTTTTTCTCGTGGTACCATTGTTCTATTGTGGAGACATCAGTTGTCACTTAATTTTATTGTTTTGTGTTCATCCGTCAATGTGTCAAATTTCAATTGCTTACAATGTATCTTGTTCCTTATAGGACTGATCGAATTGTTATGGCCGCCGGTCGTGGTGACATTTTCATATTCATTTTTTAATATGATGTAGTTTTTTCCGATATCTGATGATGTTTGACCTTATCAGAGCCAGTTTTTTCTGGCTCTTCATTAGATTTAAACCTTTCAACTTATTGCCCGTGTCTCAACCCATGGCATGATTGTTACTTATCCAGTAATGTTTGTTTAAATTGTATTGTTCGGTATGTTGATTTTATAGTCTTCATTCACATTTGATTGTCTTCGTTTTTTAAACTTTTAGGTACTTATTATTTGTCTGATGATGGCCGTAGCGCCGAAACCGGTTACATATGTAAAATGTTAGCTACTACTATTATATGAAGTGTGGTCGACCGACTTTGAGCCACTAGTTTTTTTCTTCTTGAAAGTACTCTCCTTTGTTGGAATTGACAAAATATTTTTGACAAAGTTCAAAATGTTAGGAGGATGAATATATCTCTTCTGCTCTTTCAGTTTTCTTGTTTTTGACTGAATGTAGCATATTCATATTGTGGCTATGGTACCTTTTCCATCTATCAATTTTCCATAAATATTCAGTTATGAAGTGATGATTGAAAGAGAAGAATATTAACTTGACCTACGACATCATTAGTATTTGCCACTTAAATGATTTGTTTTCACATTTTTAACATTTTACAAATCAACTAATTTCACATAATTGTGATCGATCCAGTTTTTCGTTCGTCTTTTCAACTATGTGATCATCGTCTTTAATTTCATCATTACTAACATTAATGTGAACCAACCTCAACAAAGATGTAAGTAAAATTTCCCTTGGTTGTATCAATGTGACCTAATGGAAAATTGTTGTAGTATCCCTGATGATGGAAATATAAGATTCCGAAAGCTTGGAAAAACTTTAAAAAGTACTCTTTCCACTTTGCTGCATTCCCCAATAAACTCATATATTGAAAACCGGAATCATAACGTTCAATTCAAATTGTTTGAATTTTGAAACCGCAAACAAATGCGCCTGCAACGCGCATTGAAAAGACAACAGGGGTTGAAAGAGCAACCTCATTAATCCTCATCGAATTCCATAATCAATAATTCCATATTCAATATCCCATGTTTTTTTCTAATATTTTTGCTTTCAGGCATTCGTATCATGTGGATGGGGTATCAATAACATAGGTTTCGTCATGATCTGCTTCGGAGTATGCAACGGAATTGCGTCTATCTTCTCAGGAAGTATAGTGAAAATCACTGGCAGAAATCCTGTTATATGCTTCGCATTGTCGTTGCATTTTGCACTGCTCGTCACTCTGCTAGTCTGGAAGCCAAGCGTGGATAACAAACCGTTGTTCTTCCTGATATCTGGTCTTTGGGGGATATGCGATGCACTTTGGCTGGTACAAATCAATTGTAAGTTTCCTATTCGACAGGAAAATATACAGGGTCACCCCGCCAAATTTTAATCCTACTATAACTAGAAAGTCGAATCCTCTATCAGAAATCGCCGGGACCCGTCGATTTTTTTACTTGAGGCAAAATCATTTTTGACAGTTAAACGAACTTATGAATTGTTCTTCCTAACCATGGACATTTTCGAAAAGTGCCTACAGATATTTTTTGGCAAAAATTGTCTGTTCTAATGAAAATAACTGCAAAACATTGAGTTTGTGGTAAAAAACTTGTTCTCTAGGCACAAAAATCGACCTTCCTATATCTAGTTCAAGAATTTAACTTGTTCTTCTGGAAAGAAAAGTTCTATTTTGCAAATAGGTATACGGTGACTGATTTCAATGCCTGAGGCCCAATTTTCATGACAAACACAATGCTTTTAAGATGTTTTCATGGAAACGAAGAATTTTTGACAAAAAAAATAGTTTTAGCTACTTTTCAAAAATTCACATTTCCGAAAAACACCTTGTAACTCTGAAATAAAGATAGATATCGATATGCGGTTTTCACCTTTGAGTTTGTCATGTGGATTGATCGACAGGCAACGACATCAGTTTTTTTTTCTATTTTGTATGGGTATAGGACTTTCCCTTCGAAAGTGTCCAATTTGGCCCACCCTGTACATACTTTTCAATCACCAGATAAGCCTAGTATGTCTTAGTTTTGACAGATGGGCCGTTTTTCCATAGTAAATGACCCATAAAGTGCATTTAAGCCCTCATTTAAAACTCTATTTGCCGTTTCTAAAATATGAAGATATTTTCAAAAACCACTAGGAATGTGAGAGGAGCATGTGATGAAATACTCAGATTAATATCACATAAGTGACGAATTTTGCACTTAGGCCCATTGTGCCTATGACGACAGTATACAGGGTGTCCCTCCGGGAACTGCATCGATCAATATACAGGGTGTTTCTCAAGTACGTGTAGAAAATTCAGGAGCATGTTGCTGACGTCTAGATAGGAAGAAAAGTTCTTATACTCTTATAACATAAGTATGCAAGATATCCGTTTCTGAGATACAGAGTGTCAAATTTGAATTCTCATTGGAAGAGTTCAAAAAAGCAGGTTCAAATAAGTAAGAATCATATTTTGCCTACATTCCAATGTTGAATGAGGAAGAATATTGCATTAAAGAAGGAAAATACACTGGCGTATTTTTGATATTCACTAGAGGCGACTTACTAGCCACATGCAAATAATTCGAATGCATCGATTATTTCGAATCCCAATAACTCGAAAACAGTTGCTCGCAGCGGCACCCCCACGAAAGGAACAAACTAACATAAAATTTGATATTGTCATTGAAAAATACCCCTAGATACCAAATTCCAATTCGATATCATAATTATTTTGAAATTTATTAACAAAAAACAAAAATAAGAATCCAACTTTGACACTCTGTATCTCAGAAACGAATAACTTTCGGACATATATTTATACAAACTTTTCTTCTTATTTTGACGTCAGCAACATGCTCCTGGATTTTCTACACGTACTTGAGAAACACCCTGTATAGAAAACCATGAGTGGGCCGAATTTGAAAATTTGGGAGTTCACTATTGTTGATAAGTGCTATCCGGCTAAAATATTCTGAAGATTGTGGCATTTTCGGTTGTACCGGAAGTGGATCCAACTTAGTTATTTCAAATGGGACACCCTCGAAGTTGATAATTGCAATTGATTGTTTCCATTTAAAAAAATCGACGACGATTTTTTCAACCGGATCTATATCATTTTCTGGTGAACGCCCTGTTTAACTGTTATCGAATTGATATCGAAATTCTACTGAACTGATGGGTCCTCTCCTACGAATAAATCGATACACAATCGAAAAAAGATGATCATGTCCAGAATTATTAAAATATATTTGTCCGTCTGCAAATATTTAAAAAACGGTTAGACTTGGGTATAGGACATTATACATGAAACATGCTCAGAATCAAGCGTATAATCTAAAACCCTGATAATATACAGTCCCGTTTGAAATAACGAAGTTGGGGTCCACTTCCGGTACAACCGGAAATGCCACAATCTTCAAAATATTTTAGCCGTATAGCACTTATCAACAATAGTGAACTCCCAAATTTTCAAATTCGACCCACCTATGGTTTTCTATATATTGATCGATGCAGTTCCCGGAGGGACACCCTGTAGAAGTCGCCACTTCAAAAATGCCTCGTAAATACTACATTCTATCAGGGATTTCATCTGTCAATCATTTGTCACTCGTCAATCTTGTCACTTGTCAATCTTGTCAAACGTTAATATCTCTTTGCTTTTCTTTAGTCGTGATAGTCTTTAGACTGAAACGTATCAATGAACTAGTTCCCTTTATTTCAACATATAATTGAATAAAGAGCAATCAGTCTTAACTGGGCACAACCACCCCAACAGGCACCTAGAACTCATAGGGATCAAAGATGATCCCATCTGCAGATGGTGCTTGGAGGATGATGAAACATCATCACAAATACTCACTGAATGCCCCGCGCTGGTGCATGAGAGGAAATCTGCCTTTGGGAGCATTGTACTGCTCTCAAAGGATGTGAAAGCGACTCAGCAGAGGAAGCTGCTGAATTTCGTCAAAGAAATCGGCATGCCCAGCTGATTCACAGGACAAGTGGGCGCACAATGGGCCCGACTGAAGAGGCCTGAGTGCAGGGGTCTACGCACCCGCCCACCTGTGCAGAGAAGAAGAAAGAGCAATCAGTTTATTTCAAGTCCATCCATAAAATCCCACGATATTCTTCACATTCCATATATCAATATCTGGCTCCTCCTTATATACTACCACTTAAATTGTCCTCTCAAAGTGTGTTTGTTTTTTTCAGCGCTTAGTGGTATTCTTTTCCCCGGAAAAGAAGAGGCTGCATACAGCAATTTCCGGTTGTGGGAATCCACTGGGTCTGTGATCACGTATGCCTGCAGCCCGTATTTGTGCACATATCTGAAACTCTATCTGTTGATGGGCCTACTCGTTGTGGGGGTTATTGGATACACCGCAGTGGAGTACATCAAACACAAGAACGAAAGTGACGAATACGACCCAATTCGATCTGGAAAGGCGAAATTTGAATTGGCGGGAACAGTGGATAAGAAATCTGGTGAAGTTGCCGAATAATCTGTGATAAATGATAATGCAGTTTTATAATATTTTAAGCTATTCTGTGAATAATTTGGAATTACATGTTTTTTATATTTGACTGATGTTATGATTATTATTAAAGGCCAGCGTAGCCTCGTGGTTAAAACGTCAATGTTCTATCCACGTTGGATTATCGGTAGTGGGTTCGATTCCCACCACCACCGCAGACATTTTTCTGGTGACCTAAGAAAGTGTTTGGGATCACACGTTGAAAGGTAAGACCCCCGTCATTCAGCTCACACAAGTCTCTTGAAGACTTCTGAGGGTTGCTCGTAAGGGGGCAACCGAATGATGGATAAGAACAAGTTTAGAACGATTTGTTTCAATTAAACAAGGAGGTCAGGTCGTCCAAAGTATCAAAACTCGCAAATTTTGCTTTCGCTCGGCTTCGCTAAACGCTCCGCCTCGCAAATGCAAAATTCGCTTGTCAAACAAAGTGTCACTTTTGATCCTAATAAAACAATCTACTATTATTCTTGATGACATCCTTTCTAGTTCCTAGGAGCTGAAGTGTTGCCAAGCAACATATCTATCTTTGTGTCAGTAATAGAAACTAGAGCTAATTTTGGTATTAAAATGGACGACTTTGGTTTCGGTTGCAGAAAAATGTCATATGTAACATATCGTGGTCGAATCGTGGTCAAATAAAGCTCTATCTATTATACGTTATCACGTGTGTTTGAGGTGTCATTCCAAATTCTTCTGAGAGAAAATGATCTTCAGCAGATGTTTGAAGTTACGAATCCGTCCCAGATACTCTCTGTAAATAATCGAAGAGATGGAATATTAATTTTTTAGATTCTGGGATTGTCTCTCCTCGTATCTATAAATATAAATATGAATATTATTTCATATTGATATCAATGTGTGACTATGTATTATGTATTCGAGTTTGTTGAACCTTTACTGCTATATATATGAAGTGTTTTCATTGAAATTATAATCAGCCATCTGAATTATCATTAATTGATATAATATTCAGGTTTTATATATCGGTAGAAGTGGAAAATGATATTTATTTCAATGAAATGAGTTAGCTAAATACGTGATACAAAACAAAACAGTTAGATGTAAATTGAGAAAATAATGTATTTTTCAAACTGTATGCAGTCAAAATGATCAAGATCAGAAGGTGGAGGAAATTTAATGAATTTTCTTCCTTAATAATAGGTGCAGTAGGTAATTGATAATTCGAAGTTATGATGTTATGACATAAAATTTCATTTTCCGCCATTTTTTTTCTAGGAATTCCTGCATATTCGGAGAATTAGGAAGCATTTTAATTTTTTGATAAGAAGCATCATATCGTTGACCCGTTATCACATTCTTATCGGAAATCATTAAATTATAAATATTAAAGCACTAATGGAATTCGTGGACTAATGACCAACATTTTCTAAGAATTTGATCATGTTTTCATTCAGCAGACGATGTAGATTCCTTATACCACAATGCTGATAAAAGAGTTATTGCATTCATCTCCGTCTTTGTTTTAATATCTTTCTTCAGCTGGCAGTCTATCAATTTGGTGAGTACTCTTTTCGTGTTTTCATTCAGTATGATTCAATGACGGAAGTTCCATAACGATAATTATGATTCTAGAAAACGTCGATGTGTAGGTATAGGTATAGTTCCAGTAAATCAAAAATTCATGATAGTTGGAAATACTACTTTTGATAAATCAAAACGGGGCTCAGCTACCGACAACAGTAAACGTATTGCTTACTACAGGGGACAAAAACTTTTTTGACATATTGGTCAAATTCATAACAAAAAACAATATTGAAATATAAACGAAAAATTTAAATTGCGTGTGGCTGAAGGACTAATGCCCATGGCCATTAAGGTAGGAGAAAAAAAAAATTCATGATAGTTGGAAATACTACTTTTGATAAATCAAAACTTCCACTTCAACACAATAGTTTTGATATCAATCAAGTTCAAGTTATTTCATCTGACGTATCGCCTCTCTTTGTTACTTGAGTCAAAGGTATTGGTTTTTTCATCTACAAATAGATATTCCAACTAAATAGTTGAGAAGAAATGAACTGAATACAAGTAAAACTGTTTTCACTAATTGATTTCATTCGCTCCACGGTCGTCGATTGTAACAAATGTATATATACTGGGTGTTTTGGAGAAACCGGACCCCCTTGCTTAGCGGAAAAATGTCGTAACTGCATCCGTATTCAAGATACAAGGTGTTCAAGAAGGTTTCTTCTACCCATTTTTCACGATTATGTCGAAACTACTGGAAACATTGTAATGAAATTTTGTCTAAATGTGTTTTGGAAGCTGACACATCGCATGAGTTTGTTTTTATATCTGACTCTCATAAAGGGCGCTAGTTAAACTATTCGTACTCAGTAGTTTCAAACATAACTTTCTTGAGGTTAAATGTTTCAATGAAAATTCAATTGTGTTTCCGTACCACTCGTCCTGACGGAGTCATGGTATTGCTGGGCAACACAATTTCGTGAACAATGAAGCGACAGAATTATCCCGAATATTCAGAATATCGTGATATTACTTATGGATATCATTGATGAAGCTGTTGAACACAATGTAGGACCTAGCTTTGGTCCTTGAGGTACGCGTCAATCCTTCTTTTGTTTCTGGTGCCAAGAAATCCTATTTCATGTTGCAGTTCTGTCTTCTGGGTCTCCCCATATTGATCTGAAGTCAGTATCCAATGCTACTATAATGGTTTTTATGCAGTCAAATCTGGTGGATGTTGTTGAAAGATGTAGCACAAATTTTGTCCGACTCCAGCAGATCCTTTAGTCAATCCAAATTTGAAGCTACCACCTTACTCGAAAATCACAGAATTATCTCGAATATTCAGAACACCGTGATATTACTTATGATAACAGAACGACAAAGATGCGACAGGCTCCGAATATATGTTCAGTGTTTGGCGAATACGGGAAAAATTCAGATATTTGTTCGAAATGTAGTTAGTCTCTGTGATAATAGGGCATATCAATCATGTGCTGATATTGAAAAGAAAATTTTGACTTGTAATTATTGTATTTGAATTACGTATTTAATTATTTCAGATATTCAACAAATTTTCATCGACAGGAATATCATATCTATTTGTTTCCTCGTTTTTGTGATCAATTACCACCATTTCCCCGCTCTCCAAAAAGTTTCCTATTCGACCACAATATGTCCGATAATGCTACATTTCCGATTAAAGAAAAGAAACAAGACATTTCTTCAATATATAACCATTGAGCGAAAACTTTGTCATGAAACAATCTTTGTCAATACTCCATACAGATCTGGGTATACCAATAATGAATCCATTTTTTTATCGCTTGGAGCGCACGAAAGGGGATCCCTATAATGTTCGAAGAACTTCGCGGATGATAGTACCCTCTATACCGCCTTCTCTTCCAGGGCTCCAATACCAGCCAGGCAACAATTCTCGAATAGGAATCCAATCACTTGGTAGATTTCAATGCAAACAAAACACAAGCATGCCTTTTGTCTAGAAAAGCCGATCAGCACCCAAACATACCCTGAAACTGTTGGATTCTGTCCAAAATTTTCATGGACGATGCTCTTCTGAAATATCAACAATTGTTCCTCCCTTGGCAGTCCCCGCGAGATTAACCCGTCGAGTTGAGGCTTCGCACCCCATCGTGGTAACTTTGGAGACCTACAGAACATCTCTTTCCAAAGACTCGTTCATCCAACGAACAGCGAGGCTCTGGAACACATTGCCAAGGGAGGTGTTCCTCGAGGCATATAACCTCCAGAAATTCAAGAAAAACCCCAATTCCTATTTCATTTCCCATGGTTCTCACGGTGTTCTCTGAACATTACAGCATATCCTTTTTCGTGGAAACCAGAACATGAAAAAAACTAGGGAGGATAGGGAGAGGAGGTAGGTATTGATGATATACGTTGGTATATTTCGATTTCGAGAAAGTCTAATGTGTTTAATAAGTTTGACGTTACAGTCTCCTTCCCAGATAGCACAATGTCATTCACAGAACGCCCAAAGGATATTCTTTGAGAATATTTGAATGATCTCAAAATATTCTCACAAATATTTTAGGGGCCTTCTATGAACATTCGGAATGGACTGTTTCAACTATTCTAAGAATATTCCTAGTATATTGAACGAGGAGGAAGAGTATTAAAAAAAAGCTTGCTCTGGTAGAGATGCGAACCTACTAAGTATCTTGTGATTAAATATGTTCACGAACCTGAAACCTTAACACTCTGCCACGAACTGATTGATGAATAAAATGAATAGCAAGATGACAACCCATGCAGTATTAGTGGAATAATCAGCATTGATTCTAGAGAATAATTCACCATCTATCATTCTATTCGAAAAGAGTATTCTGAGAATATGTCAAATAGAATGTTCATAGAATATTGTTTGCAGAATGAAAATATTCTATGATCATTCTGAGAACGTTCTATAAGAATATTCTTAAATAGATATCAGAATATTCATAGAATATAGAAGGTTATTAGTGGAGACCCACGTGACTATAATATTGAATTGAAGCTCTGTTACCTATATAGAGTCACTTATTTCATCAAACTCTCAGCTAACTTGGAATAAACAATCTGAAATTCCCCTTGGCATACTCTGTATATGCATAACTAATATACCTGAATCATCAAAACTTCGAACATTACAATTTCGAACCCCTGATACATCTAGATTCTCTAGTGTGTCCAGGGGCGTATCGAAAACATATTCATAAACAACTTTTGTATTTTTGACCACCCTGCAGCGATTTGAAGCAATAACGTGTGATGAATTTTTGCGAACAGCTCAGATGAGCTCAGCAAGGAAAATCCAACAGATTGAAATAAATGGGTATACATTTGAAATACCTATTGGTGTTGACGTCATTCACCCTGTATATTTGATAACTATTCTGAGAAACTGTTTATTATTGGTACATTGTAAACCCAGGGACTGAATTAGCCAGACCGGAGGAAATATTTCATTTTTAGGGAATTTTGTCGACCTCAATTTTATATTTTATTTATTATTTTATATAATAGATATTCACGATACGAGTATCGGAAAGATTGATATAGATATTACGATATGAGAAGGCCCAGTTTAACAACCCATCGATTATCATAATATGAATTTACGATATGAATATAGTAGCAATTTTGATACCAAGGTAGTAAAGAATATCAGTAATACCCAAGGACCCAGATTATATCCCGAGGCTTCAGCCGAGGGGTAAAAGGTATAAGGCTCCGTGGTAATAATATTTTTTACTACCAAGGTGTATATTGAACTTTTGAACCACTAGCAAATCATGTCAATCAATTAACTTCTCTGAAAATGAAATATGAACCTATTGTCAATATGAAAGCACTCCTTTCTTCTCTTCAATTCTAATTGAAATCTAGTAGCAATGACCATGACAACATATAATAAGTCGTTGATAAATACCTAATGAATTCGAGTGCCATTCTTGCGAATCTCGCATCAGTACAGTGAATTTGGGTTAATTATAAGTGAGGTGGATATGTTTTTATGTTTTTATGTTAATAAAATCACGAAAACTACCTTGGTAGTAAAATCACACTTCACACCTCGAAAAGGAGTAAATAATGGTAGGTTTCAAAGCTAGTGGTGGAAAAAAATATTTTTGCCACCACTAGCATCGATATAGTGCAGTCTTGGTAAGCATGGTGGTACCAGACATTGCTATATCAGGCATACTGAGTTCCGCCTTTCTAGAGAAAATACAGGCTTGAGTTTTGAACTGAAAAACCGTATCAAATTTCAAAACTCACGGGTACAGCTGTCGTATTCATTAAAAAAATCTTACAAGTAATAAAAAGAGAGGTTAACATAATCCTATTTCTAGTTGTGTAATACTGGCTCAGCCAATAATGCTTTGTATTTCTGACAACCTATGACCAATGTCGACATTTCTCTGGTAGAAGTCCATCGTTTCTCAAAGTGGTTAATACTGAATAATACACAAAGTCATCTCTATGACAATTTATTGTGAAAACTCACGGGTTCATTGTGCCTAATAAGAAATTACATAGTCCTACATTGAGAAAAATTAATTAGGTAACACGAGGAATCCTTACCATAGATAGCTTACATGGAGGTGAAAAAATTTTCATAATAACCGTAGGGAATCAAAATACATAAAAGTTGAATGGTTAATTGTTTTCTAGGGGGATAACCATAAAAACCCCCATTGTAGGTTGGAGATTAATGACAGCTTTGTTTGTCTAATTTCATTTGTCACTAAATTGACATTTGTAGTTTGTCTTGGTGGTCATGTGATTTCCTGCCTCCACATGTGGTTTGTTTAACAAGATGGAAGTCATTCATCATTGTTCCGTCAGCATGCTCATGGCAGTGCCCCAAATATTAGGGGGCTGTTTAGTTTTTTATTATGCACCACCACCACTATGGGGGTTTTCATGGTCATCCCCCTAGAAAACAACTAACCACTTAACTTTCATTTATTTTAATTCTCTACGGTTATTATAAAAAAAAATTCACCTCAATGTAAGCTATCTATGGTGAGAATTCCTCATTAAGTATGTCCGAAAACATGTTCCCTTGTAGTGATTATTCACAATGAACCCGTGAGTTTTCACAATAAATTGTCGTGGAGATGACTTTGTGTATTATTCAGTATTAATGTCAACATTTTTTAAACAATCATTCTCGATAGCCTGTTTTATGCAAATAGGACGTCGTTGATTTCTCTCTCTAATACTCGTACGCTTTTTTCAATACAACTGTATTACACTCGATCACATCATTTTGTCTCAGTCCGATGGGATATCGGGACAAGATAGTGAAATAATTATGGAAAGCAGGTAAGATGTTGAAGACATTAATGAGTTCGTTCGATATAACATCCAGACATCAGGAATGCTTTGTGTCTCTCCAGCGAGGTATCTGGCTTTGTGTTAAAATTGCGTTTGGAAAGATCTCTATCCTTCCCAAAATTTAATCAAATGCGAGGAAAGTTTGCCTAACTGGCCATTCGCCTTCAAGACAATTCAATCTCATTCAAGAGAGACAATTTCTGTAGGTACTTTCTGCCGAATTATTGCCACATGATGAGTTTCTCTCGGATATTTTCTGATCTCAAATTCCACTCCTGAAATCTACAAATTTGGCATTCGCATATAAAAGGCTATTCAATATTCGGATAATTGAACCGTTTTTATACTTTTTCCATCTCTTGGAGCGCACGGAAGGAAATCTCTATAATGTTCGAAGAGCATGGTGCGTATAGGGAGGATAGGGACGGTATGGTATTGAAATTTTTCTTGATTTCATGGAGATTTTGAGTTCTTCGAAAAAGTTCCTTTGACAAAGATTTCCAAAGTTTTACCTAAAATTACAAAAAAAAATACAGATTTCAGATCTAGTTCTGCTTAATCATCATCATCATCACAATTATTGCGTGCAACAGTTTGTTGGAATATTGTTGTCATTGTTTCATCTTAATCAGTAAATGTTGTAGCTGCTTTGTGTGATTTACGTTTTATAACAGTTATGGGAATGAATATATACCGATTTACCAAAGAAAAAAATTGCCGGATCCAGGCCCTATAGGAGGTATCCGAGGTAAAAAAACACAAATAATGTACAAGTGGAAAATAAATTGATGTATTTTTCTAATTCATGTGCCTTGCAGTGGCAACGCACATGTGTATATACTTACATACATGAATCAGAATATTTCATAACGTCGCAAAGTAGTCCTGATTAATAATGATAATTATGATGTATACTCTATACTCTTGCCATTAATGAAATATTCTACACACTATTCTATTGAATAAAAAACATCATTAGTGAAAAATAATTAGTTACTTCACCTTCAAAGTCTGACTCAGGTTGTTATCAGGAACAAATATCGGGAGCAGAATATTATATGTTTCCATAATTACCGAAAGTTTGAAACGTGATGGATTTGAATACAACCCACGTAGCGAACTGGTGAAATGACGATAATACATTGGATATTTTAAATTCGATTCTGACATTGGGATCTCGAAAAATATATTTCCTCAATGAGTAACGTCACAAAAAATTCAAACAAGTACCCAAAATTTCATTTTCTTCATAGCTCTGGACATACTGGGAAATTCGGTTGTAGCTTTGAGTATTAGTGTATATAGAGATTACTTCTGAATACAGGCAAAATAGTTTCTCAAGCCCTATAGTGAGAATTGAATTTGAGACACCTTATATATGATCAAATGAAGTTGCGTTTATTTCGATGTTGTTCGGAAGAGAAATAAACCAGTTGAACAATAATTATTTTTTTCTTCCAAATTATCTATAAGTTCACCTCATTCTATCATTAAAGCTAACGACTACTGCGTATTTTTCATTAAATGCTGTTTTATTATTGTAATTGGGTTGGGGAAATATGCTGTTAATAGTTGTTATATATATTTTCTGGGTGATGAGCAGACAGGTGATCACCGTGGCCCTAAGTGACTATAGCTCTATATTAGGTAGGGTAAGTGTATACGACACCTTTATTATAAAAAAATGCGATCGGTTTGGATGTTCACAATGAAAATATCTTGTCCAGTAGTCCTCACAGCAGTCGTTATAGCTGATAAGGATATTTGTGAAAAATGAATTGTCTGTGGCAAAGTTGACCTGCATTTGGAAAAATAACCTTAACATTGACCCTTAATATCTAGATAAATCACAATCTCCAATTTATCTCGTATATAATATTGTATTGTAAAACAATTGAGTTGACGACAAATACTATAAACTTGAATCGTCGAAAACATTGATGGCGATAACAGTTATATGGAACTCCATTTGCCACTATAAGTTATAATGTAACACTGGGTGTAGAAGGTAAAGATAAGTCATCCTGATGAAAAACTGCGCCAGTGAGATAAAGGTGAGAATATTGTTCATAATAAGGTCAGTGGAAAATTCGGATTGGGGAAAAGATTTTCGTTCGAGAAACAGAGTTTTCTATGTGGATTGATCTGTGATTCGAAAAAAATTTATTTCCATGGTCTTGCTGTCTATAAACATTGAGAATGTACCTAAATACGTGTTTCTGTAGACCAAAAATTGGGTTCATACAGAAAAGTATCTATTTGCATTGGCCAAAATCGGTTTCATAATGAAAAACCGTGTTAAAATTAATAGGTAGCAGATATCTTATTCGAGTATTGCTGTACGGGAGAAGAAAATGATTATTTATGTATCAAGAGCGTAAAATAGGCATTTATGAACCCTAGCGTGTAAGTAAGAGTCCGAGCGATAGCGTGGGCTATTAACACCTCAAGGTCCATAAAGACAAGTTACGGCCGAAATACATATAACATTCCACATCTCAAGAACAATAGAAATAGAAATACATGATGCTGACGTGAGGATCAGATTTTAATTTAGGTAAGGTTCCTAAATAATCCTTTGATCATAATGAAATATTAAAAGCCATCAATTCTTGAAGTTACCCTGGATGATACCACATTATAATACCGTCAACTTCGATTTATTCCTTTATAATGTAATTAAAATATAGCAAAACATAATGTCAGTAACTTTGAGGGACAGGAGAGAGCCATTGCAAATGATAATGAAATGAACTGCGATAATGATTTCATTTAGTTCGGTGGGATCTCGAAACTCACACCCTTCAATCCAACATTATTGCTTCAGATCTTGGTATTGAATATTGAATATTGGTCAGGGTTAACCTAGGTATATGTATTCTTTTTCTCAAATCTGTTTAGCATGATAGGACTACACTACACTACTTGTCATTTACTGATTCAAACTTGGTTTATAAGTTTATGGTTTACTCTAAGGAAATTCCCATTATATTAGGCTTGTTGCTTGATGATTGATAATTCCATTGATAATGTATGAGAAAAATGATTAGGCTGAAGCTTCATTGTCAAACCATTGTCGATCTAAATGAAAACCTAGTAGGCGACCTAGTGCGAGGAGGTATAATATATTATAGCTCCTGCCTACTAACTATACCTAACTAGGTTGTCATCTAGAACGACAATGGTCAAAATCATAATGAACCAACCATTACCAACAAAGCTTTGGATGTTATCAAATGTAATCATGTTTTTTTATCCATAGGTAAAATAGCCTTTATTAGTACCGTACTACCTATGCATGAAAGCTTTCTCCTGAATCCTAACTTCAGTTCTATGATTTTCAGCTTCAGATCTACCTACTTATTTGCAAGCCCAAGATTTTGAAAATTCAAACTTACTTACTAGAGACATAAGTTGGTCCCGCTTTGAGGACAGCTATCCTTCATAATATAAATATGAGTAGTAGATATATGATTGAAATAAACCATTTACAGCTGCATATTTAGAAAAGGACACCATGATTTCCAACGAACCAGACACAAATTCGAAGGAAGAAAACCATCTCTGTTCGAACGAAAGATGGAGGATATGGAAGAATGTTTTTCTGATCGGTCTCTCCTTCATGGTTCATTTCACCGCCTTCTGGGGTGCTTCAAATCTGCAAAGCTCTATCAACGCAGAAGCTGCTTTGGGTACCATCACATTAGCTGCCACATACGGATCTCTCATCATATCCAATACATTCCTTCCTGTCCTCATAATCGAGTGAGTATTCAAATCGATTTATGGTTATATACTGCATTATATCAATCTGACCAACTATACAAAGATTTAAGAATACTAGATGTGAGACAAATCTATGTGAAATCGGTTCTGTTGTTCACATTCTCGAATAAATCAACTTACCTCACCAAACCGAACCACTAATATAACACGCGCAGTATGAAGATGAAAAATGTTTCCCTACCTAAAGCAAACAAAGCATTCGGGCAGCGGTCTCTCTTCTATACCGCTCCAAGATTCTATAACCTCCTCCCTGAATCTATCAGAAATATAAAATCCAAACTTGGTTTCAAAAGAAATATGAAAGACTGGATTCTCGAACAAGAGAGAACATTTTTCAATACAGTTGTTGAATGAATCAATCCAATCATGTAAAACTTTTTATGTTAAAGTCAATTAAACTAACTAACTAACTAACTACTTACTTTGAATACTATTATATTAGAGATTATATTACTACATTTTCTATACAGTCGATTTATCCATTTCTGAATGTGCTACTAACCTTAGATTAATAATCTAAACTAATATAATATACTTCCTCAACTATATTCTTGCCATTAGAAATAAGATAATCATAGTCCATAATATGTCTAATACTCACTTACAAAATTGAAGTCTATTAAATAATCAAAGAAATCTTATCCATAGACAGTCCTCGTGAAGGACTAAATGGTGTTTCTGTTTATTTTCATAGGCCCAAAAATTTGTAAAACATGTATTATTTCCACTTATGTGAATAAACTTCTATTCTATTCTATTCTATACTGGGTGATAACACAGATAAATGAATCTATAAGACACCCATGAAAGACCCTCTCACGTTGCTTATGCAAGGAAAAAATCAACTAAATTGTGACATGATGGATTTAATGAGAAATAATATTCTCATTAGTTTGACTTGTGGGACTCCAATAACAAAAGAAAACAGTATTGCTTCGACAAATCTATCGATATGGAATTTTGGTCACTGAATTTCAAATTTTTCTTGTTTTAACGAGATGAAAAATCTAAATTAGAAGCCTATCCAACTCCCAATATATCAAAAATCAGTTGATTCACAACAGAACGAGAAAGAACGTATTGAATATTTTTTCCACCACTAGCTATCAAACCTACCATTGTTTACTCCTTTTCGAGGTTGAAGTGTTTTTACTACCAAGGTTGTTTTTGTCATTTTATGAACCACTAGTCAATAAAGACATAGCCACCTCTGATGTAATCAACAAATAATACTTTTCAGTATTTAAATACTTTTCGGTATTCAAATAGCCAGTATTCAAATACTTTCTGGTTCAGGTCATTATATTTATACTTACAAATATTCGTTGGAATATATTCATAACGTAGTATTTGCAAATACTTTCGCAAAGTATTTAAATATATCTGAAGTATTCAAATACTTTCGGAGTATTTAAATACTCTAAAGTATTTGAATATTTCAGAAGTATTCAAATACTCAAAAAAAATATTCAAATACTGTGAAAATATTTGAATACTTAGGAGTATTTAAATACTACGAGAATAATTATAAATATTTAGATTCTGACTTACGGTCAACACGGCGATGATATCCTCTCCTTGAATGGAACACCCTGTGGATTCTAGCTTTTCAGAATCTGAATCCAACAGCCAATATATGTATAGTGGTGAATTTATTTCACCAATCTGATAATGATAATTCATACATTTTCAGACACAAGGATCGAAAACCCAAAGAAATTTAGTAAAAATAAATGGTAATTCTGTTTAACAATCATAAGTAAGTGAGTAAGTCACTAATCAGACACCATACTTTTCTATTGATGTCGGATTTCGACAAATTGACTTCTCTCCACTGCAGTACAAAGAATAATTTATGTTTTTGTACTTTTGCTATGGAAACTGCCTCAATTACTCAAATCTACATCACACAAGGTGATTGAAAGCGTCAAAAATACTCAAGTTACATGAATGTATTCAAATACTTGAGAATATTTGAATACTTATGATGTATTTAACTTCGGAAATATTCAAATACTTTCAGCGTGTTTGAATACTTCGCAAATAATCAAATACTTTGAAAGTATTTAAATACTTACTGTGAACCATTCAAATACTTTTGTATTTGTTATTCAAATACTTTTTGACAATTTCCGAAAGTATTCAATACTTAATATTCAAATAGTTTTCTCAGAGTATTTGCCCAGCTCCGAATCTGGTAGGTATTTATCAATAACGATTTGTCAAATGCTGTCATGGTCACGGCTACTAAATTTTTATTAGAATTGAAAAGAAGTGCTTTTATAGTGACAATAGGTTCATTTTTGAGTGTCACAGAACTAAAATGATTGGAACGTATTGCTAGTGGTGGAAAAAATGTAATATACACCTTGGTAGTAAAGAATATCAATACCACGGGACCTTTATACCACTCGGCTGAAGTCTCAGGATATAATCTTGGTCCCTGGGTAATACTGATATTCTTCACTATACCTTGGTGTTTCTATTAAGTACCTGATGGATATTTTTTTCACGAATACCTAACCAATATCCGGGAAATGTTTATTGATTTGTTTTAGGTGGATAGGAACGAAATGGACTATCGCCATATCGCTAATTACCTATATGCCATTCATTTTATCCCAGTTTTATCCCAGCTTTTACACAATGATTCCAGCAGCAATCGCTATGGGCCTGGGCGGAGCTCCATTATGGTGTGCAAAGTGTACATATCTGACAGTTATATCTGAAGCATATTCCGAGTTAACTGGGATGAACAGCGAAATTTCGGTTACACGATTCTTCGGGATATTCTTCATGTTTTACTCATCTTCCCAAGTCTGGGGCAACCTCATCAGTTCAGCCGGTGAGTAATCATTTCCGATATTCCGATATTCCGATTTCATATTACGATAATTTATTTCATCCCAAATCAAATTGAAGTTCAGTTCAGTTCCTTCAGCTATATGTATACATATTCCTTGACAAAACGGTTGTATGTATTCTGAAGTCTTTGCACGTACATTATTTTGACTATTCCACTCATCTCGACATTCACAATAATCCGACCAATCGCAAGCCCAAAACAACTTGCGTTTTCGCGAAAACACCAGCTGTCTTTCAATTCTGATTGGTCTAACAGCTTTCACATTGTTCTGTTGTACAATGTACAAAAAATGCATCGAGAGACGAAGAAATCCGGTTGGTACATTATGATTCAAAAGTAAGTACCTACTATAGTCACTCACATATAGTTTTCATTTTTGAAATTTGGTAATTTCTCTGATTTCTCATCGGAATTCCTTCTCTAATAGGAACTAATAGAAATACTGGTGAAATTTCTGAAATAATGCAAGAAGATTGGATTCATGCAATCAAACGGGAGGACTGGTCTGACATGCTGACGAAATATGATCGTGTGTGTTGTAGAAATTTTCAATCTATTAGCAGTATTAGCTTCTATTGCAGAAGTGGCAGAAGAGATTTTAATAAGAAATAACAAAATTTCATAATGAAAACTATGTGAGATTACTATTTTCATGGAAAATCATATTACTTCGTCTCTCGCTGCATTTCTGCATGAGAAGGCATCCTTGAATTATTGAATAGCCAAAACACACGATTTGTATGCCGAAATATTGTGAAAAGCTATTTAAATCCTTTGAATTCTTTGTGAATAAGGAATAAAAGTTAGGTTAGGTTAGGTTTGAATTAATGAATAGCCAAAAAACACGATTTGTATGCCAAAATATTGTGAAAAGCTATTCAAATCCTTTGTATCCTTTGTAAATAAATAATAAAAGTTAGGTTGTGTTTCAATGTTTCACAGGAAAGTCAGGTTGTGTTTCACTGTTTCACCTCCAGGGTCACAGTCTTCGTGCACGCGACCTATATATGCTTCTAATCCTTAGCAAAATACCACTCTGTTCTGAATATCTTCTCATAATTCTGTATATGTATATATATTCATTGCTAATTGTTCATATAATACCTTTATATTTTATAATAATATGTTTGTTTTCTTCGAATTGTCACTCAGTCTCATTTATACCTATAATGTATATGTCATTTATAGATTTATGATGCTACAGTGTCTATTTATATTGTGATCCAATAGCAAGGTTTGTTCTTATCGGTTTTCATTCTTTTATCTATTGTTTCTGGTGCCAATGAATCCTATTTCATGTTGCAGTTCTGTCTTCTGGGTCTCCCCATATTGATCTGAAGTCAGTATCAGTATCCAATGCTACTCAAGTGGTTTTTGTGCAGTCAAATCTGGTGGATGTTGGTGAAAGATGTGGCGCAAATTTTTGTCCGACTCCAGCAGAACCTTCAGTCAATCCAAATTTGAAACTTCCACCTTCCTCAAAAATCAATTTGGTGTTTGGAATTTACCTGGGATGCATGATAGTGGCGTGCTTGATCGTTATGTTTGGAGTAGACCAAATGTCAAGGTAATAAGATAATATTGGAAAAGTAAAAGTTCGAGTTGAGGAAATTCTATGAATGAATTGATATAATTTATACTTTTATTTACAGATACAGTAAGCATAGGAAAAGTTCTGGCAGTGGATTATCGGGCAAGGAACTATTGGCAGTAACATTAAAACAATTCGGGAATATGAAGCAAATTCTGATAATTCCTATAACAATGTTCATAGGAGCTGAACAAGCTTATATAGCCGCTGATTACACATCTGTAGGTATACCAGAAGAACCAGAAACGAAGTACAACTAGAATACTAGTGGGACTTCTCACAGGGCATTGTGAGCTCAACAAACACATGAGTACGATAGGTCTGACTGAAGAACTGCTGTGCAGGTTCTGTCAGGAAGAGGAGGAAACAGCAGTACACATACTTTGCCACTGTGAGGGCTTGTCAAAACTATATAAGGGCTAGCCAAAGAACTCTAAAGAGAGGGCGGACACAATAGATCTGAAAAGTTCGCGATGTGGAGGCAGATAGCCCGAAGGCCCCACTCAAAATCTAATCTAAATCTAATACCAGAAGAAAATCTATATTATTTCTAATATTCTTGAAGATGCTCAGACTCTGTTGCCTCCTCTGAGGAACCGCTTATAGTCGATATTGCAATAGATATCTATCGTTTTTTTTTATTTTAGGCATTCGTATCTTGTAGTTGGGGGATCAGCAATATTGGTTTCGTTATGATATGCTTCGGAGTTTGCAACGCTGTAGCTTCAGTTGTATCCGGAAGTGTTGCTAAGATAACTGGTCGTACACCGGTTGTGTGTTTTGCTTTGTTACTGCACATTGCTCTACTAATAACGTTACTGTTTTGGAGACCGAGTGGAGATAAGAAGATCATTTACTTCGTGATCTCTGGACTTTGGGGTGTCTGTGATGCTCTCTGGTTGGTTCAAATCAACAGTAAGTCTTGTGATGCGAGGTTCTTGACATGTCCCAATATATCAATTCGTCATGAAAATGAGTGTTCAATCAGCCAATGCAATTACGCCCTCCAGGACCACCCTGGTGATTTTGAAATAATTTCCAGCGAGTCCGCTTGGCTTTGTTGATGAATATTTCTTCCAGCAACCGTGCGGGAAGTACCCACTTCCCAGAAACATTTTTATTGAGAAAATAGCATTTTTATAGCCTAGTCCGGGAAGTACGTATACCGAGAAGAATCACATCGTTCATCGTTGTGATCATTGTAAATATGAAAATCTTGGTAGGTATGATTTTGATAAATGCGGTTGATTATTACATTGGGCGACATCTAGGTTACATAATACGAACTTCAAACTGGGGGAAAACAAACCGTTGTCTATTGATAAAAGTGCTTAGACTAAATTGCATTCAACTTGCTGTAGCTGTAGTCAAACTTGTCAATGACATAAAGTGTTGGCACTGTTGGTAGTGATGATGGTTGAGTTGGGTAATTTTTTCACATAATTACATTTGTATTAGTTCAGTGAACAGTGAACGGGTAAAGAATTGGAGATAGTTCAAACAATTCAAACTAATTATGACGAGCAAATCAATTGACATATAAAAGAACAGCTACAACATGTTTACAATAGCCAGATTGTCCTGCTTTGCATGAACAAATACAAATCCATTGTTCTACAGCAGTTCCTCGGGAAACCACCTTCAATTTTACTTCATGTGGGGAAGATTTCATCGCCGAAGTTTGTAGACAAAGTGCAAAAATGTGCCTTTTGTTGAAATCTTCTGCCTCACACAAAATCACATGATTAGCACGGAGAACTGCTTCTCCTTCCACTACTGGTCGGCTTTTTCCGTCTAAATAGAGCATATAATATCTGCCAAAAGAACATCTACAACAGGCATTATTAGCGTTTTCGATCGAATATTGACAATTAATGTCAAGAAATGTTAAAACTTATCACTCTTATCAGTACACAGTACACAAGCTAATGGCACTAATTAGATTGAATGAGGATTGAGTTTGTTTTCCCCCAGTTTTGACGTGGCTTTGACATGGAACGATGAAAACCGAGCGCCACCTGGTAACATTGATTCCCGCGAATAGCAGCAGAATAACGACTGACAGCTATTTGACATGAAATAAGTTGACATTATTTCTATTTTCGAAAGTTTGCATGGTTATTCATTGCAATTATCGCAATAAACTATGGAAAGTAGCAGCAATAGCAAGTTTGAAAATTTGCCTTTCGAAAATTCCAATGACGCAAGAAGCACAATTATTGCCTGAAAAATCAATTGTTCTGGAAACGTTTATGATTCGTTCTCGAATCGAATGGATGGATATGAAGGGGTGCGTTCATAAACTCACGCGGAGTAAGGATTGCTTACTCCAAAGCGTTTATAAACTGACTCTAGCAGTCACAATCGTTCAGAAACAGATCTCAAAGTTAGACCTGCTTATAATACCCTGCCAAAGAACTCTGCATTTGAATAGAGTAATGATATGGATATTGGTGTTTATTCATATCTTGAACCACTATCTGATCGATTCCATGTAAAACATACATCCATATGGATACCGTAGTCTTCAGTGTGGTATGAACTGGTAGAGATACTGTTTCCATTAAATAGATAGGGGTTTGCTGACAAAGTAGTAGTATTCAAATATATTTCATATCTGGTATTCCGTATCATGATGATATAATTATCATGAAACGAAACATCTTCTTCTTATTCTTCTTCTTCTTCGAAGCACTGGTGGGCGGGTGAACCCCCTGCACGTGGGCCTCCTTATTCGGGCCCATTGTGCGCCCACATGTTACGACATTCAGCTGGGTATGCCGACTGCCTTGGAGAAGTTCAGCAGCTTCTGAATCTGAATCTCTTTTACGTCCTCTGGCCTCAAAATTATGTGGCCAAGGACAGCCCTCCTCTGATGCGTCAGTGCTGGACACTCAGTGAGGACATGTGAAGACGTTTCGTCATCTTCCAGGCACCATCTGCAAAGGGGGTCATCCTTGATCCCAATAAGCTCTAGGTGCCTATTGAGGTGGTTGTGCCCCGTTAGGAGCCCCACTACCATTTTAAGGTTTCGCCTGTTTAGGAATAAAACCGAAACGAAACATAAATACCTGTAAGTTTTATAACATTCGACATTTTTTATCTTGCATACCTCCACATGGGAGTTTTTGAACGGTTACTCTGAGTAACCTCCAACGATATAGCTCTATTCAAGTGACCATACTTTTACTCTACTCACAGGAGTAAGTTTATGAACGCAGCCGAGAAATGCCGAATTATTGCAGTGGATATCATTTTGGCTAATCTACCCTCTATGTGCAAGAGTACCATCAATTCAGTGAATAAAAAATGTAAACATAGCCACTTTCCCCATTGATTTGTTATTCCACACGGTTGCCGAAAAAATAGTGTACGCAATACGTCCGAAAACAGTTTTTTTGGACTCGCAGACTTCTACGATCCAAAAAAACAGTTTTTTTCCGAACTTGTTGAAATTTCTATGTTCGAACTCTGTGCGGCAAACAGTTCCCAACTCAAAATAGTACCGGCATCCCTTCTCAGTTTCACATCCGGTACATATACGATAGAGAATATCACTAAACCTTCGTATAAAAAAAATAGGTAATGAACAGAGTTTCTATGAATGAAAGTTACATCGTAGTGTCTGTTGAAAAATTCTTTCCATGAGTCATCTATGGAGAATTCAACTATGACAGTATCCTGTATGTTAGATATGATACGCGAATATTTTGATTGTCTATAACCGGAAGGCGGCAAGTGGGGGAAATAATTAACCGGTCACTTGTTATCTTATACAATCATTCATAAAAACACTGTGGAATTTTGGTCTCTGAAGAGGCAGTAATGTAGTACAGGCAGTAAAAGTGCTATTTCACTGCCTCTGCATGGCTGGTGAAGTTGCTAATGACAGTCGAATAATAGTAGATCGTTTCATCAGGATCAAAAGTGATACCGAGGAGCGAAAGCAAAATTTGCGAGTCGAACAAAGTCACTTTTGATCCGAATGAAACATGCTATTTTTTCTGCAACCGAAACAATTATCTCAAATAAATATGTAAAGTAACCACCAATGCCATGCCATATGTATGCAATGCAACAAATATTGACAAATAATCCGTGTGGTAAGAATATTCTACCTGCACTAACAGCAGGTTTATTCAATTTTCGAGGATGTTCGAATTGTAGTTCCAATATAAATACAACCACAGAGTGTCATATCTGTGTATGGACCAGGTGCTCTAATGGCAAATACCGCGCCAGTGCCAGGTATAGGAACAAGACGTGGAAAATGTTAGGTTAGTGAGCATATTAACAATATTTATTTCTCTCCATACTCCACTGTGTTTTTTGAGACAAAAAACTATTGCTGGCCGTGATTATTCAAAAACAAGCTATCCATCTCGAGAATAACGAATGAAATACAGATCAAGCGAGTATGTGAATCTTGAAGGCTTCCCTGATCAAAACAAAAATACCTATAATAAGGTGTATTTATATCTCCAGCATGGATATGAAATTCCAAATCTGCCAAAATCGGAAAGTAATCAGTTATGTACATTTTTTCTAGTTCCTAGGAGCTAAAGTTCAACTTTAGGAACTAGATGTGTTGCCTAGCAACATACCTATATTTTTGTGTCAGTAATAGAAACGTCAATTCAAGAGCTAATTTTGGTATTAAAATGGACGACTTTTGTTTCGGTTGCAGAAGAATATATTTTTCAGCTTTATATGGAATCCTCTTCTCTGGCAATGAAGAAGCTGCGTACAGCAACTTCCGTATCTGTGAAGCTGTCGGGTCTGTCATCACTTATGCCTGTAGCTCGTACTTATGCCAAGCTGCGAAGCTGTACCTTCTGCTCGGCCTGCTGGGAATTGGGGTGATTGGATATGCCGGAGTTCATATGATGAAAGACGAAAAAAGTCCCTGTGAACGATCTCCGATTACTCGATTCGAACTGCAGAAAGCGAAAGATCTGAAGTAGTTTCCTGACACATCTGTGATATATTTTTGTTTTTCTCTGCGACATTTAGGTTAATGTTTTTCTAATAAATTATCAAAACTTGTGCTTTCGTACAAGGTGTCTCCGTATATTTTGACCCCTATAGCTACTGTTTAACTATATACGAACGAACGGATGCGAATCACAAAATGATAAAAACGAGTCCAAATCAGTTTTTTTATGAAACATCCTGTATATTTTCAACTCGAGTGGAAGATCTGTTTCTTCTCATCACAAATTTTTTCAGAAAAAAGGTACTCCTGTTCCGTATCGATCAGATGTGTCATTCTGGAATAAAATCGATTTAAACATATTTTTTGCCATCACTGTCGGTTTTTCAATTGAAATTGATTATTCCGCAGAGGAAAAATACGAAATACTGAGATCATATTATGAAAATATTGCAAAAATGTCTGTAGTGCAGCAAGAATTTAGTCGAAAACGGTTCAAGGAAACATTAATCGAGAATGTTTTTACAAACATCCGATCTCATGTTCTAAATTCATCAACTTTTGGTGACATGACTAATGTATTCATCCCACAGCCAGAACATTTGAAAAAATAAATAACTGAATATTTTATGGTTGTTCTCATCTTCATTGTATCACAGGGTGTTTCGTGAAGAGCAGGTCTAACTCAAGGATAATGTAGTTAATCTAACCTGTCATTATGAAAGTTTTATCGTTTTGAAGATATAATTCATCACGAGAAAAAAATGCACTCACACAACTTCTAATAAAAACATTTCTCACAGCCTCTTACTAAAATAATTGGAGTATTTTTTCATTGTAGCAGTAAGAAAGTACTGAGAGCGGAAATTTTCAATGCCTTGATAAAATCTCCGAATTTATTATGGGAATTGACTCATGAAAGGTGGAGTACCCTCCACCACATTTACATATATTTTGACGTGTTTTTACTGAACACCCTGATACATGGATGATGTGGGTTGCATATTTCCAATTCATTTATTCTAGGTTGATCAGTATTTTGCAATGATAATGTCATTAATTCTTCTCGCTTACATTTAAGGTCAATGTGTTATAATCAAACATTTTCTACATTTTATGGAGGCCATCTTCAGCGAATTATAAACGTTTTGCTATGAATCACCTGCAGAGATTCACGGCTTGACTTGATATTCAAGCTACTTGACTTGACTTGACTTGAAATCAAGTCAAGTTCAAGTCAAGCGAAAGTTTTTTAATGTCAAGTCAAGTAATTATTTATCAAGTACTTGAAAAATCAAGTAGTTCTATCAAGCTACTTGATTTTCAGCAGTTTTATTGTGTATCTATACAGCGTGACTCACGGTCGATGTTAAAGGTTAGACGTTTATGGAGAACGCGACACGGGATTTTTCTGAAAATTTCGCATACACAAAAAATTCCTGAAGTTGAAAAATCTCGATTTTTCGCACTCTATATCTCCATAATCTTTCCCGCTATACCCCGAGTGTGATGTATCGATGAAATCAACTCTTCAAGGAGAATCTGAAAATGCAATAAAATACAGGGTGTTCAATTCGAAATAACAAAGTGGTTCCTACTTTTCTATAGAAGCGGCAACGTCGTGATTTTGAAAATATATTAGATCGATAGTACCGGTGATGAAATGTGAGATGCGAAATTTTCAGAAAAATCTTGCGTTGCGTTCCTATCATAAACGTGAACGTCTAACCTACCATCGACCGTGAGTCACCCTGTATATAACTGATGAGATGAAAATGGCATCGTAAGACTGACTGCGCGATCGATTCAGTCAGCTCGGATCTCGGGGAACCCCCGTATTTTGTCTAAGCGTGAGCTAGCTTGCAGAAATATATACGCCGTGCGACTCTTGCGTATCAAGATCAAGTATTATCAAGTAGCTTGATTTCAAGTCAAGTAATAAATATCCCAAATTCAAGTCAAGTCAAGTACGTAATTTGCCACGAGCTTGATTTTCAGGTCAAGTCAAGTAGTTTGATAAAATATCAAGCTACTTGACTTGATGAATCTCTAATCACCTGTGTGAACGGTAGCTCTGTTATCACCATGGCAGATGCGATGAGCACGTGAGTCAGTCATTTCTATGATGCTGTTTATATAAATGAGCGAAATGATTGGTCCAAGTACCGATCCTTGTGGAACACCAAACGCAACTTCTAGGGTTCACTCTATTGATAATCAATTTTTGGGATATTTGTGCATGTTATGCACTGTAAGTTCTCATCAATGTATTTCTGCGTTGATTTGAATATACATTTCCATCTGATTTTTGGGCAAATATATCGTAGAAGAAATATTGACGTGAGTTTTCTCTAAAATCTTATCCTCACCTATTGGTGAAACAAACAGTGGGTAAGTATTATAGTGAGCTTTCGATTCATTACTTCAAGTAATATGAGATGATACAAATCTGAATGAGAATGGTTTATATGTGCTATAGACCCAGACTCGTTATGCAGCGGCGTGTATAAACTATTGTTTCAAGTGAGGAAAATTGGGTTTTAACTTTCAATTCCCCATGAAAACTTCATCAAACCAAGTGCATCCAGTTAAATTTTGTTCATCTAAAATGCATGAATGCACATTATCACCTCTACATCAAAGTAGGTATACAGTTTATTATAACCATGGTAGTAGTTAGAAGCATATTACGCACGACTGGAAAAGTGTGTGTAATTGCTTTACAACACGCATTACGTACTATACTTTACCTACTGCCATATAGTACATCAAAAACGTTTGGAAAAACAGTCTGAATTATAATTCTTGACAGTTATGTCATCCGCTGTTGACGGCGTTTATGCGATCATGACATACCTATACTGGCGGAATAAACAAAAAATTTTGCGATGTGGATACTGTGCTCAAAGAGCTACTTACTGAGGCTGTATCTCGTGTGATCTTGCCTACTTTCTATAGTGGCCGTAAGTAAAGGAACAAAACAACATAGAAGAGAAAGGTACTACACTTCCTAAAGAGAGTCGATGTTATGTGACGATATTTAGTACCCATATAAATTAAAACATCGACTCTCTTTAGGTAGTGTAGTACCTTTCTTTTCTAAGTTGTTATGTTTCTTTTTCTACTCACATAACTAAAATGGCATTTAGCGTACGAATATGTACCACGCTAAATGATCGATTAATCACGGATTGTCGATCTGTGATTTATTCAAAATATTAAACACGTTACCATGGCAACGCAGTTCATTAAACACAGCTTCAGTAATTTGAGACATGTCTGGCCTGTCAATTGTATTAACTGTCAACTGTTATTTTCGAATTTTGTATCAGAATTATTCAAACAATATTCGTTTGTATCAGAATTCTCCATTAAAAATATATGCGAAAAGTAGACGAGAGTGAAATCGAAGAGAATGTTCTGGTACTTGCATATCTCCAAGAAGTATAAAAATGAAGCATCCATCTTTGAGAACAATTTGTTTATTCTGCGCTAAGCATGACAATTAACGTGAAACAATGGTTAGTTAGCAATGGACTGGACACATCTACAACCGATATCACTTATACGTGTCTCGCTGGTTGCATGCAGTTGCATGTATTATGTTCTCAATTCCCATTCTTTTCGAATTATTTTGTAGGTTAGCAGGAATAGCAGGTATGTTAATGTAATTTTCGGAGTTCGTAGAAAAAGCATAGTATGTAACGCGTTTATAAACTCTTCTAGATACTCGTTTATTAAACACTCGCTCCGCTCGTGCTTAAAATACTCGTTGCTAAAAAGACATTTATAACACTTGTTACATAATATACTATTATCTACGGCCACTATAGGGAGTAGGCAAGAACACACGAGATACAGCCTTATATCCTATATTGTTAGATTATTTCAATTCATTGAATAGAATTTGTTCATTCAGGTTCGAGAAAAAATCCGAATTTGTCTTTCACATCACGTATTCTGGGGGTAGGTTCCAACCCCCAAAGTTCCCCTTTAATCATACCACTGTTTTCATGAATAATACTTGGCCAACACCAAGTTGGAGAAAGTTTACTTCAGTAAGTGGCCTTTGTAATGGAGTAGCATTTCAGGAATCTAAATTGAACTCAAACTTCCTAAATGAATTAGAGATCCAAGGCTATCCTTGCCGTCTCAAACAATAAGCGGGCTATGTATGTACCATTCATAATTCATTTCTGGAGTTAATAAACTCACTGGTATTATTATACATATCACATTATTATTCCGAAGTAGTTTAAATGAACTGAATTAACTTTATACATCATCGTTGTATTATAGTAACCTAACAAAGATTGTTTTGAACAAGTTAGAGGATCTATAACCTATATACGACGGTGAACAACTTTTTCTAAATAGCTACTGTCTGGAGCTTAATTGAGGAGGCAGAAGATTCATTTCGATAGATTATCAGAGATTATCTCTCCTCGTTTCTACAAATGAAAATATGAGAATATGTATAAGAAGTAAGTACAAATCCGATGATCTGCTTCAAAATGTCACTGCGTTTAAAAATTCCACTATTAGAGAACATCAATTTCTAGTGATACCTTGTTTTGAAAGATGTTCGAAAAAGTGAAATAAAGATATATCGAGAAAATATCAAAATTTTACCAAGCTTCTCAACTCGAGAACCAATCAGAATCGACCATTTTCACGGTTTCTTCTGTATTCTAGCGATATTTTTTGTTTATTAAATTTCATCGGACTTGCTGTACCAATACAGAAGCCGAATTGTCCCACACGTGACCAACAAACCTCGTTTATCAGCAATAAAATTTTGACATCGTGTCTGGTCAACATTGCTTTGGATTCAAATCTGAGACAATAACCTAAGTTCCTACTTCATTTTATTTACTTATAATTCGCGTTAGTGAGATATTTTGTACGAAAGGCGAGTCAATTTTATTCTGGCTGGACGTATCATGTGTAATTTAAAAAGTTTGCATATTTGTGAATGGTCTGACACAACAATACTAGAATTCAATTTCCTTTTTAAAGTAATTTTCTTCAATCACTCAAGTTATTGTGACTGACTGATATAATTACCAGCTGATGTAGCGCAACTGATAGGATTGTTGCATACGAAGGTCGACGGTTCGAGCCCTCGGCAACGATATCTTTTTTTTTAATTATTCCATGTCAGGTAAATTCAATTTATTTCGTTCGAATTGGATAGCAATTGTATACACTTTTTGAGAGCAACCATAATAAAAAAATACTGTTTATCAAAATTGTACATTCCCCTTTGTGAATAACTATAAGTAGGTAGTTCATTTCTAAAAAAGTGGATTCTGTATTTCATAACTATCATCATGTTCTTCTTCGCAGTTTGAGTTGGAATATACTTAAATTATATTTCCTATTTCTTATATATATTGTTTCATTCAATCATGAAATATTCATACGAATACAACTCGTGATACTATTTTTCCTGGAAATATTCGTTAATTGACAGCATACTCCAGCTTGCTGCTCTAATTTCGCTCATGACATTGATCCAAAACTACTCGCCTACGGCTCGTAGTTTTGATAATAATGTCATTCACGAAATTACTAGGCAACAAGCTGTCGTAACAATCACCGAATATTATCACTTGTGGTATTATATATGACAATTCAATTCATGTATGAAAAATCCCACAATTCACGTGGTTTTGTCATTATGACAGCGAAAAAAGTTTGCCCTAACTTTTCCAGCGACAATAACGGAACCTAACTTTCGAATGCATGACAACCAGCCATAAACAAAATGTTTGATGAATTAAATTGTCTTTCCGATTTACACTCTAGCTTTTTTTCTGTTAGTCGAAGTAAACTTGGCATTTATAATTCGAATTTTGTTGCCATTAGGTAATTCAACTCAAAAAACTGCCAGAAAAAATTACTCGTCCTACGGACTCGTAATTAAGCATAGTACCATCGCCATCAAACAAAACTATGGAATCATCAACATATATTTAATAGAACTTAACATTATTTTGAAAAATAGGGTTCTTGTGAAATTCTTTTTCTAGATTGCTCATGAAAATTTCGGCAAGTAGGGGGGATAAATTACAACCCATAGCTAGACCTTCTGTTTGACTATAAATTTTGTCATTGAACTTGAAGAAATTCTGTTCAAGGACAATGCTAAGTAATGTGCATAAATTGAGTGTATGTTGAATAAGAATGCCACACTGAAGTAAAATGTCCCTCACTAGTTGGATACATTGGTCTGGTGGGATGCTGGGGAAAAGATTTGAGACATCGAAGGAAACTAATATGGAGTCAGGTGGAACTACAATTTTTTTAATTTTGTTAGTTAAATCAAATGAATTTTTGAATGAATAAGTATTTCTGAAATCAAGAAGATCCTTGAGAATGTTATTCAACCAAGAAGCTAGTAGACTGGCTGGTGAGTTGACAAAGGAAACAACCGGTCTGATAGGGATCAGGGCCTTATGGATTTTAGGAAGTCCATAGAGTGGGGGAATGAAGGAATTCATAGAGTATTAGCTATATTTGTTAGTCTGGAAAAAATTAAGAGTGTCTATGGAGCTATCAAGAGCCAATTTCAAACAAGATAGATATTTTTGGTGGGGTCTTCGTTAAGTAAACGAAAACCAGTGCTTAAGAATTCCTCAAGCTTCTGCACGTTATCACCTTTATCTAAAACGACAATGCAGGATCCCATCTGCCTAAGTAGTAGAAATCAATTGTTTATTCTTTTGTGAAAAGGTAGGACGAGAATTCTTATTGATACATGTTGAGTTCACTTCGACAAAAAAAAAGCTCTCTTGAAAACTGGAAACGTTACTGAAACGCCCAAAGCGTAACCACTAGAAAACGAAAGGGTATTTGGATACCTACTGAAAACAATTATCACGATAAAATAAAATCAAATAACACATTCACTGGGTTCTAACTTCACTAATGCTTTAGTATTCTCGAACACTCTGTTGCATAAATCTATGTTGTAAGTTTGGTAGGGTTGAACAAATTTTCTACATTCCATGAAGAAGGATCCGGTATCAGCCACCACTTTCTGGTCACAAGCTAGATGAATAGTGGTCTGTGCTGCTTCTTCAGTATTCTATAGGAAACAAAAAAAAACGCTTCATTATCACCCTGTATATCAAATTATTCTATGGAAGCTTTTAGTTTAGTCATTGTCGATCTGAATGAAAACCTAGTAGGCGACCTAGTACGCGAGGAGGTACAATAGCTCTTGCCTACTAACAACTTAACTAGGTTGTCATCTAGAACGACAATGGTTTAGTCAATAGATGAATCCAAACTGGATCCATGAGTCAATCTAAAACAATACCTGGTCAAGACAATTTGATTGAATAATATTTGGCATGATATGATCACTTCCTCAGAATTGAAATGTTATAGCTTTCATCTTAAGGAAAAGAATGAGTGGAATTCATTAGTTAACATTTTGTTATTATTTAATTTTTCTTATATAAATTCTTGTATATCCCGATTAGATATGTTTCTTTGGTTAATGAAGGCAATCAATCAATCATATCGTTGTGGTTACCTCCTAGAGGTTACATTTCACTGTACCATCCACTACTTTTTGCAAAGTCAATGTTTCAATGTATTGAGATCCTCCTCAAATCGATAGGTTCTTTATCAATGAAACCAAATGCGTTAGAGCATAAACATAATGTGTAATCAGCTATTTCGTCTTCCACATATTAGAAATGACAGTGCGTTTGCTTTTTCAGGCATATCCTTCTCAGGTGGTAAATCAGACGACATCAGTGTCCTGCAAGCAGTCCTGTTAGAATCGGCAGGTTATTTCTGCTTCATTCTAGGACCTGCTTGGTTATATTTTTCATTGGTTATAGCAGCGAAACCTAGTTGTTTTTTGGTGACACTAAAGTATTATTATATGAACCCAGATTCGGTTCCCTATTTCAGTTCCCCTAAGTTATAGGCATACTCGTTGCCCTCCACCCCCTAGTTTCTGGAAACCCACAACAAAGTAACTCTGTTTTTAGTACCAAGGTACTCCATATATTCTATACATCTCGCTCTTTTCGAAGCAGTCTGACAATTTTATGAAATGCTAATAATTTTGTTCACTAAAGGTCTGTTAGTCAATTCTCTTGGACAAAATTTAACAAAGAGTTTTGCCTGAATTACTCTTCGATATTGACTGAGGTTTCAGATTTCGGTTTTCTGCTGAAAACACCAGTTCCAATCCTCGAACCATTTTTATTTGATTTATGACAGAAAAGTGTGAGACATAAGCATGACCTACCCTGTTGCGTTTCGTTATAGAGGCAGAAGGTCTCTAAACGAAGGAAATGCCTTTATGACCTGACTATCAGATAGGAGGATGAAATAAACCTTCACCCTATACGAACCTTTCCAAAGGGTAAAGTAAGCAGTCCCGCTATGAGAGGATACAAGGACCTTTCCTCCTTGAAGGCCTTGGAAAATATTCCGGATCTAGCTCCTCCAGGATGTAGGCTGTTCACCGTAACTCCGGTGCCTTTCAATTTTTTGGCGAAGACTTTTGCAGCGATCATCAAACACAGCTTGGAATTGGGATAGACTTGTTGATTCTGGGAGTAGCTAGGCAATGGATTCAGATTTTCGGGGTCTACTCTGGTAAGGAAGGCTGCTATGGAGCTGGTGAAGATTATCCGACTTGGCGCTGATTTTTTCATCAAATCTGGAAAAGTTTATAATATGCACATGCTTGCTTGCCTTGGAGGAGAATTCAAAGCATGAACATTGATGCTGATTTGGCGGTAAATTCAAATGAACTGAGTAACAAGTCTGGGAATGCACAGACAGTGACAAATCTCAGAAAAATCTCAAGACCAAGATCTAGGGAAATTTCGTGATTCTATTGTCAGCTGATGCAATATAACTTGACGTTCAAATTGAAGTGATGATCATATAATCCGAAAATGAAATCAAACACCCACTTTTCAATAATGCGTTTCCATGGTTGGGGAGGGAGACTAGGTTAGGTTAGGTTCCAAGTGAGTGGGGCGAACACCTCCCCTCCACTGCGACCCCAGATGGGTCTATTGTGGCTCACCCCTAGAGGTTACAGTTCACCGTACAATCCACATCTTTTTACAAAGTTCATGGTTGAATTGGGTGAGATTTGTCTGAAATCGATAGGTTCTAGGTTGGTAAAGCCAAATGTGTCGAACCTTAGTCTTTCTAAGCTAGAGCATGAGCATAATATGTGTTCAGCCGTTTCGTCTTCCACACAACAGAACCGACAGTCCGTTTGTTGGTTCAGACCCATCCTTCCCAGGTGGTATCTTAGACGACAGTGTCCCGTAAGCAGTCCAGTCAGAATTCGCAGGTTACCCCTGCTCCATTCTAGGATCTGCCTGGTTATTTTTTCCGATGGTTTAGGCAGGAACGCCTTCGAATGGGTTAATCCTGGTAATTCGGACCAGTACGTGAGTGTTTTTCCCTCCGCCCAGCCCGAGATAGTTGTTTTCGCCGCACTTGCGGTGACCCCAAAATATGGTTCTGGTCCTATGAACACAGATTGGGTTCCCTGTTTGGCGAGGATGTCGGCTTTCTCGTTACCCTCCACCCCCTGGTGTCCAGGCACCCACAGCAAAGTGACTCTGTTGTTAGCACCCAGGCTTTCTAGGGATTCAATGCAGCTCCATACAAGCTTGGAATTTATCTTGCTGGAGCTCAGTGCTTTAAGAGCAGCCTGACTGTCTGATACAATACTGATATTTTTGTTTACTAGAGGTTTATTCGACAACTCTCTAGCACACAATTCAATTGCGAATACCTCCGCCTGAAAGATTGTAGCATATTTGCCGAGATTGACGGAAATTTCCGTCTTCGGTTTTCTGCTGAACACACCGGCTCCCACTCCACGAGGGGTTTTCGAACCATCTGTGTACATTACGTGTTCGGTCTCTGGGAATCGGACTGATCCGCTTGCCCATTCGTCTCTCTTCGGGAAGAGGACTTTGAAAGACTTTTTCACGTGTGTCTGAGTGGCCAACATGTCGGAAACCATTCCTAGAGTTTGGTGATTTTTTGTTTCACACAGTATCTCGGAGTGGTCCAGCAGTCGCCCCCCTCTGATTTGATTTTCCAATGACAGGAATCTGTAGGAAACCATCCTGGCTTCCCTCTCCAAGACAATGTGGAGGGGAGTGAGGTTCAGGAGGTTTTCCATCGCTGCCGTTGGAGTAGAGGACATCGCCCCTGTAATGGCCAGGCACGCCAGCCGCTGGAGACCAGCAAGCTTTGCCCTGGCTGTTCCCTGCAGACCTTTGGTCCACCAGACTACCGAGCCATACGTGACCATTGGTTTTACCATTGTTTGGTAAATCCAGTAAATCTGTTTGGGGTTCATTCCCCATGATTTGCCGCATACCCTTCTGAGGTTCCAGAGGGAAAATCTGGCTTTGTTAATAGTTTTTGCCATATGGGCGTTCCAGGTGAGTCTTTTATCTAGGGTGACCCCTAGATATTTCACCTCCGTCGCAAACGGAATGCTCTCTCCATATAGGACAGGCTGACGAAGCTTATCTAGCTTTTGCCTTTTGGTAAAAGGGATAATTACAGTTTTCCGGGGGTTCACAGACATCTGCTCCCTCTCGCACCACCTGTACACAGTATTGAGGGCTTCTTGTAGGCCGTTTGAGATCGTCGCTTCAAATTTCCCTCTTACTATTAGGACGAGATCATCTGCATAGCATTGGAAATCCACCCCCTGCATGGAGAGATCGCTCAGCAGAGAGTCAACCAAAAATGACCACATAAGGGGGGAAAGTACCCCGCCCTGTGGACAACCTTTTGCCGCTCTAAACCTGATCGACCCTCCATGCAGTGATGATATGATGATGAGGGAGACTAAGTGATAGGTATGTAGGGAGAATTTGAGAGTAAATAGTTTTTTTTTTTATTTTCCGATGACGCAAATAATGATCTCAATATCATATGTTGAGTTGCGAATTCATAATTTTCAGATATTTCCATAAGGTTTCCCATAAAGAGATAAGACGTTCAAAACAATAATTTTCCTGAGTATTAATCAAATCAAATCAAATCAAATATGCTTCATTGTCTAAAATGATTACATTTTGTCGACAAAGTCAAAATAGAAGTCCACCCAACAATATATATACCTGCTGTAAGAAATAAATTTACGAATAAAATGAAATAATAATATAAAAGAGACACATTATAGGGTTTACATTTATAAAAAACAAGAAAATATACCACAGTTCACTTCACATGGAAAGACTAGAACCTATAAGCTAAGTATTCCTCTAAGGTATAAAAACATTTCCCTTTGAGAAGTTTTTTAACTTTATTTTTGAAGTGTTTCATATCATTTATACATGTAATTTCCGTTGGTAAATGATTGTACACCTGCTTACTTCTGTAAATCAGAGATTCCCTTGTCAAGGATGAAGTGGGAATTGGGGGTAGCAAGTTTTTTTTCTGCCGAGTAGGCCTCTCTACATTAGTGATAAGGAAGTTACTTCTGTATTTATGCAATAAACAAGTCGTCTCTAGAATGAAGATTTCTATTGGTGTCAAAATTTTGTATCCGGAGAAAATAGGGCGGCACGATTCTCGCATCTTGACTCAGAGCACGTTTCTGTAGCACGAATATACTTTGCAACAGAGTTTGATTGCAATTATATTATACATCAAGGATTGATTCATAATTATTCATCTTATCAATTTTACCATTGGTAAGTGTGCGTATTCGATTCCTAGGTATTCTATAATTTCACATATGTTAGAATGCTAATGTGACCTACAGTTATCATATTATAATGTTTAACCATTGTCGATCTAAATGGAAAAGCTAGTTTCCTAGTTAGTAGGCGAGAGAATGGTTCAACAAATATTTATCGAAAGTGGGTAAATAACATGACAATTCCAATAATATTATGATGAACGTTAGGTCCAAAGTACCCTGTTGAGATGAGAAATGTATATATGTCCCTAAATAACGTTTGTATATTTCGTCTTTAGGGCAATGAATAATGAATTGATCAATAGGTAGGTATATATTCTATGAAGAACTGTGTGTATACATACCCCAAAGTCATACACTGAATATGTTTATTGATGCAATATGTTGAACTTAACATAAATAAAATGCTCAAAGAATCAAGTGGACAACTAAAATGCAATAACTTTTTTACAAATGAACCGATTTTCAATCGGAATGCAGAGTTCAGCAGATGCGTCCTTTCTGTTTTCCAGTTATCACATACCAAGTGGTCAAAAAGAGTGTTACATAAGCGAAAAAGTTCCGAAGCTTCCGGCGTATTCCCCAGGAATTTTGCATGCATCCTTCTGAAATTAACTTTCGAAGATTTGAAAAAGTTGATTTGCAGAAGGATGAAAACATTCTTTTTCGCTTATGTAACACTCTTTTTGACCTCTTGGTATGTTATAACAGAAAAACTTCGGAAAGTTTCGAACAATGAATCATAATTGGAAAGGACGTATCTTCTGAAAACTGCATTCTGATTGAACATCGGTTCAATTGCAAAAAAGTTATCGCATTTTGAAAAACGTCGAAAGTTTGAGTGGTTCATTCAATTCTTTCAGTTCACTACATTTTGCATTCAATATGCCAATGAGTTTATAATAGCAGCTTGTTACTCAAACAAACCCTAATGTTACCTACGTCGAGTTTTAGTTTTCTCTGTGAATTCATAATAAATGGCCCCTATTTATAATTGGTAAAAGTCCATGATTTCTCAAAAAGTGGAGTAGAGTATTCAATTCTATAATTCATCAGCACAATTTAACGCGAACTCAGATTTCGCTGTCCTCAATACTTTCAAACGAGTATACACTGTTGTTCAATAGTATGACAAACTTCATCAAAATATACCATTTCACATCAAAATAATCCAGTCGAACCATTCAGTCATTGTAGCGTTGTTGTAATGAAATTATGGTTCAAATTTTTTTTTCAAGTGCCTCTGACCAAAAATTCAATAACACTCACCTACAAGTAAATATGTAAGCAAGAAATGTCCAAAATAATTCACTTGCATGGTTTTCTGCAACCCATCAGCAGTATAATTCAACGCTATCGTTCCGATACCCGCGTTGTTTATCAATATATTGATCTGGGGCTCTGTTTCCACTATATTCTTAGCAAAACTCCTGACGGAATCCAAGGAAGCCAAATCTAATTTTTTGACAATGACATTCTGGTTGTTTGACTGACTGATGATTTTGTCTCTGGAACCAGAAGCGTCATCTTTATCAGCAATGATGATACGGCAGCCTCTTGAAGCAAGGGAAAGGGCGACTTGGTAGCCAATACCTTCAAATAAGAATACAGGGTGTTTCAATATTGAGGGTCAATATGGGGGTTAGCATTATTTTGAAACGAAAAGTTTATGGAAACATAGGTTCGTTTTCATCAATGCTAAATAATGTTGAAAATCGCAAGATAAAATTTCATCAGTGGTGTAGCTGGAGGGGGTCATCTTGTATGAAAACAAGGTTTCCAGGTTCTGAACAATGCATTTTCAATGCTAAGAACCTCTAGGACCTGTTATTCGCGATACAATATGTCATAACTGTTGGAAAATCAGTGAGACAATTTTTCGTTTTCTGTGTTGCCCAATACTTGAACTTCCCTCGCATATAAGACATACTCACCGAAATCAGCTCCAAAAAATCAGTAGCGAATCAAGTGTGACTCTTTCTTTCTTTGTGTGTTTTTGATTCAATATGACCCAACAGATAATATGAGACAAGAGACAAAACAAGACAAGTTTAAACGTATTCCACTGAGGGGAACAAGATTTGTATCAGTTGACATAATAACAAAAAGGATGATTCATCTTATTTCTATGGACTCAAAATTCATTCCAAACTCGATTAGACCCAGCTGCTGTTTAATTGTTGCTATCAGGAATTCTGATGGTAATAATTTCATCCCCCATCTCTTATTGTACCCCGTAATGAAGTATTTAATCACCCTGTATATTCTTTCTCCCGTTTTTTTTTCTACAACTTCAAGGATAGTTGCTGTCATTCAATCTCGAACACTATACAAGTTAATCAATGTGTTGTGCTCGGTCTTCCTGTAATAATATCTATCAAATATTGTTACCAAACACTCTGTATATAAATAATATGAGATTTCATACAATTAAAGTCACAATAGCTCATCCAAGAGAAAATCTGTGGTATTTGAGCTGCAAATAAGAATATTTCTGGTCAGTAGTACAAATTATCAAATTTTTCGAAAAAAAAAACTCTTTTTCGAAAATCTTGGAAGATAAGAGGAAAATTACGAAACCATTTCGAGGAATATGCTCGAGAATTATGAAAATATACTTGAAAAAAATCTCGAAAATTTTTCATCAAATTATGGAGTATGGAGAATTTTTCAATATTGTCACTCTATACTTATAGCCAAAGGTTACCATGTATTTCCATCAGCGTTCTTACTGTCATATACCCAATGGATCAATCTCCAGAATAAAGAAAACCGCATCCGAATAAGTGGATTTTTTGCGAAAATATATGCGGTTCGATTGATCAGCCAGTTTAGTTGTGTAAAACAATAATTCCCGATAGCGCGTTTTACGCAAATAGAATGACGTTAATTTCTCTCTGTAATATACCTACTTGTACGCTTTTTTTCTGAATACAACTGTACATGGTAGATCGAAATATACATAGCTCCAATCATAGTTATCATCAAAACGAAATCAATATTGATAGGTGCATTTACTCGAATATCACAGATATGTCTCAGATATAGCGTGTTAAAATTGATAACTATAACGAAAAAAATTACTTCCCTCGAAACAATATTTTTCGACACTGTGGGTAGGAGTGGTAGGTATGGTCAATTGCAATTTCCTCATATTCTGGTGTGGACAAGAGCAATATTCACCCGAGAAATTTGAAGTTATTCCATTTTTCTTATTCTTTTTCGCGTAAAATTTAGGCCTACTCTTTCCTACTCATTTGAGAAATGATTTACTCACCCGAATTACCCCCTGTTATAATTGCCGTTTTACCAACTAAGCACACTTTGCTCGAACACCACTTGCATGTCAATTTATTGAATGAAAATATTGCTATCACAATACAGATAATGATGAATAAAACCATTCTTCAACTGAATTAAAGACTATAAGTACCTAATTCTATATTAGATAATGCATGTCCGCTACATGAATTGATTCAGAAAAATGATACTATGGTATAGGTATTGAAAATGGTTGCCATTCTATGGATAATAATAATTAGATATTGAGCTTAATTGTTGCACAACAGAGAGACATCAACTTCTAATGAGAATAACTTGTAGTTTCGCATGTTATTGTGTTTCTGCACTTATCAATCACCTTGGAAATTCACAGTTGATTAATAAATTAATAGGTCATCATGTTTGAAAACTAAAAAAAAGTTTATTCCATAGTCAGTGATAGCTTGTCTGAGAAACGTTCGGAGAAGAATAATAATATATAGGACAAAATACCTATAAAATTTCTTCTTTGGACATTTTGGTAACGAATGTGCTCTCGTTAAAATCGAAAACGGAAGCTGATATGTTATAAATTTTCTCAATAGACCTCCAGGTTTGCCCTGCAGCTATTGTTTATGATATTTTATGAGGGTGTTAGATTTTTGACAGGGCCGAACATGTATAGTGTATATTATAACAACGAATGCTGGTTTTCTATCGAGTTTCAGAGATCAGATGGTTGTACGTTTAGTCGAGAGAATGAGCAAAGAACGACAGACGGTGTCATTTATTCGATAAAGGAATAACCGGTGATATTGAGCACTGAGAATGAGCGACGAACTCAAATAACGGTGGATTTGAATGTTTGTGTCGCGAACGCGCTGTAAATGAGTGATATACACAAATAACGGTAGATCTGAATGCTAGTTTTTTTTTATGTTCTGGTTCCCACGAAAAGGGATATCCTGTAATGTTCAGAGAACATCGTGAGAACCAAGGGGAATAAGGTAGGAATTGGTGTTCTTCTTGAATTTCTGGAATGCCTTGGAGATATCAAGTGTAAGGTTCACCATATTTTTCAATAGATTGCTGCCATATATGTGAGACGTAAACGAGCAGGTCACCAGTTGATCTCTGATGACGGAAGCCATATTGCCTATCGTTGATAATACCCGAATGTTCCAGGTTCGTTTCATGAGCTCGATGTTGATAGCTTTCTCCATGATCGTTAAAATATTAGATAGCAATGCGATCGGTCTGTAGTTGCTAGGTAGGGACTTTTTGCCTTTTTTAGGAACTGGTTGTACTCTTGCAATTTCCCAGTTGGACGGGAATATCCCCAATTTGTAAAAGTAGTTGAACAACTTGTAGAGAACAGGTGTTAGTTCGGGAGCACATTTCTTGAAAACAACAAGCTTTGTTGTTGTTGAGACCTAATAGAATCTGCTTCATAGTACGTTGGCGAGAGGTGATCTCGGGCATATGACTGTCAATTGGTGTTATGTTTGGAGGTTGTATTCCCGATGAATACAGAGTGGAATTTCCAGCAAATGAATGCGCAAAAATGTTGGCTTTCTCCTGGGCAGTTGTGGCTAGTTTTCCATCTTCCTTGGTTAAAGGAGGAAACGAGCTGGAAGTGAAGTTTCTTCCTACAGCTTTGGCGAAGGACCAAAATGAACGGGATCCGTTAGGACATTCAACAAGTTTTGATCCTATTTTGGCATTATGAGCATCCTTTGATGATCGAATTGCATATGCCTCTAACCTCGACATATTCTGCTCTAGTCTCAGGGCCTGGATTTTTCTGCCATCGAAGTGACAGCTCTAGAGCAGTTTCTACTGAACCAGGCCATATCGGAAGATGTTCTCCTTGCAGTGTTCGGTATGTAGGTTCGCATCCCCAACATGATGATTTCAGAAATTCTCTCAGCACATCGTGTTGGACCTACTGAGCAGAAAGAAACGGGTACGAATTGTGGTGCTGGATGGTACATGGAAAGAGCAGGTTGTGGAGATGAGGGTGTGGTCAGAGTTTCCAAGTGGGGCACAAACTTGTGTCGCGTTGTGAATGAGCGAAGACTCAAATAATGGTAGATTTGAATCGTTGTGTCGCGGGGGGGGGGTGTGAATGAGCGACTGACTCGGATATAACGATTGGTTTGAATGCCCATGATGCGAATGCGTAGATTTGAGTGCAAGTGAGTATGTTAGAGAAAATAAATAAACTTGTTGATATCCATACAACTATTTGAAGTTGCCAGAATGACCGATATGATTCAACAGAATTGAACAGTATTGGCTTATGAGAAGAATTTTGAAGAGCTGACCAAATAGGTTGATGAGTTGACCTTATCTGAATAAGTCATTTCAAAGGGAATTGTCAACATTCCCGATATAATTTCCATCAAGTTTCGATTCGAATCGAGGTATTCTATAATTCTCTGAAACGAAATCTAAGACACCATGGGTATTAGGACCATGATGCAAATCTGAGAGATATTGTATTAAGATAATTATGCTAATCGGATATTGAATAACCATCGGAGAAACTCCATTGAAAATATGAAAATGTACATACAATACACAGAAATAAAATGATGAGTAAAACTATGCTTATGTCCATACTGATAGTCGATAATTTCTTTCCCTACAGACCTTTATCTCCTTTTTCTGAAAGTTTTTTTAACAAGATTGAATTTGTCTCAATACGGTTCCTAATAGTGAAAATGTAAACGCAGTGACATTTACGGGCAAATCATCATTATTACGTTCAATAATATTCAAGTGATGTGGTATGGTGAGAGCGTAAAATTTTCAAAGAAATGTTCAATTTTTTTTCAAAAACATCATATCTCGGGCATATTTGCATGCCTTTCCTCTAGACAAGCCGATCTCACTGTGCCCAACATAAGCTTGTCAGGAGTAACCATACCTTTGAAGACATTCATTTCCATGCCTGGTATTACTATCAGCAATAACCTTTATTGGGAAAATCACGTGGAGATCAATTGCTAAAAGTTCATCCCAAAAACTTGGTTTTCTGTTTCAGGCCAGGAGCTATTTCACTTCCAGTCAGCTGCTTATGATCTATAAGGCACAGATCCGACCTGTCCTGGAATACTGTTCCCATATTTGAAGTGCAGCACCCAAACATACCCTCGTGGGTGATGCCTCGCTCACAAACTCACTCATTTCTCTGGAACACCGATCTGGCTCTATTTTATAGATATTTTTCATGGACGATGCTCTTCTGGAATATCAACAATTGTTCCTTCCTCGAGATTAACCCGTCGAGTTGAGGCTTTGCACTCCTTCGTGGTCACTTTGGAGACCTGCAAAATATCTCTTTCCAAGGACTCGTTCATCCAACGAACAGCGAGGCTGTGTAACACATTGCCATGGAAGGTGTTCCCCTGGGCATATAACCTCCAGAAATTCACGAAGAACAACAATTCCTACTTTATTTCCCTAGGTTCTCACGATGTTCTCTGAACATTACAGGATATCTTTTTTCGTGGGAACCAGAACATAAAAAAATAAAATTCACATTCATATTTGTATTTGTTCAACATAAAAATTGAATAGGTATCTTATGAAAATTCACAATGGCACGAAAAACTGATATAGATACCTATACTCTATTATTGACAGCTGATTTTACTGTATTAATGAGTTACCTATACTCTACATATCTCGAGTTACGCATTCCAACCATTCCAACATTATCAAGATAATATATGTTCAAGAAAACCAAATTTCATCCTATTTCAAGAATCAAACCTGACGTCAATAAATGCGTAGACTAAGCAGAGGAAACAGACAAATACATTCCCCGTCTTCTGATGATTTCCTAACTTTCGGACAAAATGAACAAACAACCTGTTCATTGTTACGAACAATATGTTGTCGTTGATTCATTCATGTTTTTAAACGATAAATTTAGTTCCTACACACTGTCCTGACATGGGATATAGCTTGTGGCATTTTGTTACCCAATTATTATGCAAATTTTCATTCTGATTCAACGTTGTGGTTAAGAGGTTACCAGGAATCATGAAAAATACCAGACAATGCTTTCTATCGCCGGTTGAATCGGAATATTACCGTTATTTTTAGTTCAGTATTTTGATTGTAGTATGTTAGTCGACATGTTTCACAAAACATGTGTGATTGTCGTTTGTGTCATGTTTGGGGTGGTCGTTTGTGCGCCAGCGGCTACAAAATTCAAAATTCCTTCTCATGAAGCGGTGAGCAGTATTTTTACCATACTTCGCATGTGAATATGCACACTATAACTTTTTTTCAATCCCTTGGTGGAAATCCATCGTAAATGTAGAAAAATTTTCCAAATGATATTTTGTGTGGAATACTTGTACATTAAATTAGACTACCATGAATCCTTTCGAATCTTATGATTTCATGCAAAAAATCATCGAATTAATATTGATAGCATGGTATGATAATGTTCATTAGGTAGACCAATCAAAATTTGTCCTTTGGTAATGTCAGAATTAAGTCCAAGAGCTTGGTAACTTCATCATGAAAATGAGAGGAAACAGATCCTTAGTCACCCTGATGTACAATCTCTTTCTTCCTTCCTCCAAAAGCTCATCTTAGCTACCTTTCAAGCTGAAAGTATTCGTAAGTCTATTTTCAAGGTCGTCAAAATTCGCTTCTTCAATAAATATACCATTTCTTTGCAGTACCAATCAAGTGTATCTTAGATGTTTCAAGTTTAAAATCTTATACGGTCATTTTCAAGAAACAAACCTGCAATGTTTTTCACCTTCTTTCCTAGACCTTCACCATCCTTCACCATAAAAATTTTCAATGTTTTGACTAAATTTTGAAAGTGTGTTCGAACCTGAGATTTTGATTGCTTCTCTAAAATCTTTAGAAATCTCTCTTGCTCGATCCATCATTTGTATATAATATCCATTGATCTATCCTTGATCTGAACCTGTGACATGTGACAGTATCCACTTTTGCATTCATCTTGTGCATTTTTGAATGACTATCACAACTTGTGAAATATGAATTATTCTTGTAAATTCGAATGGCCTCGACTGCACCTACAATGCTTTTGCACTTATATTGTTTCATGAACTTGTTGAAAGTTATTATTCTACGCTTCTCTGCTCTGTTTTTCTTGACTACTTCTGATTTATGTAGGAAATATAATCGACCAATATCTCACAGGTCACCAGGAAGCTTTTGAGTTTTAAGAAATCAGAACTGTACCGTCAAACGTTGTTTGATAGGTACTTCGCTTTATTTCCATAAAATGAACATTATTCTGCAAAATATTATATAATCAATCTCAATCAAATCTCAGTCAGTTGATTTCTAATGTTTCGAAATAATTAATAAGTTTCATTCTCCTATATACAGGGTGCCTGTAAAAGGTCTTCACAAAAACATACCACATATTCCTTAGACCAAAATAAGTCGATTTAAGTGAAATTACCTTAGTACAAAGTTGCATCGTTTGGGCTCCAGAGGGCCTTGAAGTTACAATTTTCAAATCGTACTTGATTTTTTAAATAATTGCACCTTTAAAAATCCTACGCTAATGGAAGAAAAGGAGTTTGAGTATGAAATTTAGATTGCGCAACTCATTTACTCTAAAAAAGGTACTCTTGATAAGACTCGATTGCTCTCATGGTTTTGACGAAATTTGCATTTTAGTAATTTTAGAACATAAACAAAAATTAGTAAAATACAAACATTGATTAATCAATATTTACTTCTATTGATCCAATTCCAACAATGCAAAGAGTTCTGATTTACAAGACTTCCTAATATACAATAAAAAAGGGTGGTCACTGTTGGCGGACTTCCCCTACTTTTCGAATCCTACTCTAATAACAATGATGTATTCGAGGTAAATTCGACATTGCCTCTTCCACTATTTTATGTATCACTTCGTTATCGATGAAAATTTTGAAGCGAAATTAGAGAGTCGGATAGTACTCGCTGAAATCTTCAAAATGAGGTATCGCAACCTCCCTCACCCTTATTCAAAATCCGGGGGTCGTGCTTCCCCCTTGTAGAGAGTTGAAGTTACAGGGATAGAGAATTCAGACAAGTCGTCCCCCTCGGAAAAGAAATCGACGGGTCCTAGCATCCGTGGTACACCCTGTATTCTACATCAAAACTTTCGATATTGCGATCAAAACTTCGATTTTTTTTCTCATTTTACTTGATTTTCCCGAAAATAGGATATTCTGACGAATCTATAACGATACTAATTTATTTGCTCTTGAAGCTTAATATGTCACTGTCATGACCTAAGTGAGAGTTTTGTTCTCCCAAGAAGACTTGATCGAAATAACTGCAAAATATTATGCATCATGCCTATCCTCGGCACACTTGTCAAAAGTGAATGAATTTTTATGAAGTTTCTGGTCAGTAATATTCAATTCATGTTTTTATTTGTAATCCAATCGCAAATAAATTAGTATCGTTAGATTCGTCAAAATATCCTTTTTTCAGAAAGTGCTTGTCAAAAAATGGTCGCATTTGAAAAATAATAGTTAGACACGAAAATGTCATTTTGCCAACTCGTTTTATTCATATCTATCATACTTGTCACTAAAACTTCGCGATTGTAATTTTATGATAATGGATATCACCTGAGGTCCTTAGATCAGTTTACTTCCAATCATGGCCACCTAGATGTTATTTCAAAAGTGACTCCGAAAAGAATTGAGTAGGCATAAAAACTTTCGTAAATGTCACATTTGATCTAGAATTGTGTCAGAAATCCAAAAATGTTACAATATACAGGGTGTTCCATTTAAAAATTTAGAACCGGAACCATTTCCGGTGAAACAGGAAGTGACCGGGAAGTAAAATAAATGTACCACCTCCTTGATTAACCAACACGACAGTATTTTTCGTTTTTTTCTTGTTCGCGTATGTTGAATTTGTTTTGTTTTATTAACTCTTTGATGTCCGTGAATGCTGTGGTTAATTTTTTTTACTGCTTTCTTTACTCTATCACGAAATGTCAAAATTATCTAATTCTGATTATCATTCATCGATTATCTACTGTCTGTAAACATCTGAACCGATATACTTCCTGGAATTGTAACGTACAAATACATAATATACAGGGTGATCCACGGTGGATGGCCTATTAGAAGTATCTGGAGAACGAAAAGACAGAACATTCTGAAAACTGGGATGCTTCGAAAATTGAACATTCTCTATCTGTCTAAAATATTTTCATCGATACAGTGTTGCCACTTCTATCAGAAACAACTAGCAACTTCGTTATTTTAAGAGGAGCACCCTGTATTTTATTGCATTTTTAGATTCTTCCTGAAGAGCTGATTCACACTCGGGGTCTAGCAGGAATGATTACAGAGATATAGGGTGTTCAAAATCGAGATTTTTCAATTTTATGATTTTTTTGTCTCGAAACTATTCATTATCGATCGAAACGGCTTATATGACCCTATCTTAACTTTCGAGTCACTATCTACTGACATTCAATTGGAACAGATACAAGGTGATCAGAATTCTGAATCTTGAAGCACCCTGTATATTTGCCAATTGAATTCCAGTAGATAGTGAATCAAAAGTTAAGATAGGGACATGTCAGCAGTTTTGATCGATAATGAATAGTTTCGACACAAAAAAATCCTAAAATTGAAAAATCTCGATTTTGAACACCCTATAGCTCTGTAATCATTCCTGCTAGATCCCAAGCGTGATACATTGATGATATCAGCTCTTCAGGAAGAATCTAAAAATGCAATAAAATACAGGGTGTTCCGTTTGAAATAACAAAGTTGCTAGTTGTTTCTGATAGAAGTGGCAACACAGTATCGATGAAAATATTTTAGACGGATAGATAATGTTAAATTATCGAAGTATCTCAATTTTCAGAATGTTCTGTCTTTTCGCTCTCCAGATACTTCTAATAGGCCATCCACCGTGGATCACCCTGTATGTAGGTCATCAATTTATTTGAGTGTCTGTTATAATACAATAATATTTCCAGCTCGACTTCATGAAAAGGTATGGGTATGTCCAGGATGATGACGGAGAATCAGAAGCTCTTTATTCCGAATCTGGAATATCAAATATCATCAAGAACATTCAAAAGTTTGGAGCCATTGAACAAACTGGAGTAATTGATAATGCAACACTGAAGGTGACAAAATACGAATTACTCACTTTATATTCTGTTATAACGAGTCTGTCTCGAACAAAAAATCGATTTCGTCCTCCAGAATCACATGTGATCTCCAATAAGTTCTGTATAATGAAATGGTGTTTTCATCTCAAAACTTTTTTCAGTTGATGTCTTCCAGACGATGTGGTGTCAAAGACATTATGAATACTGTTACTCGACATAAAAGATTCACTTTAGGTTCGGAAGGATGGAATAAAAGAGACATAAGTTATTTGTAAGTACCTATACCTCATTCACTTTATCGCCTTATGCTAAGTAAATCTGAGAGTTTTTCTTAGTTTTTCTAATGGTCATGATATAACAACAAACTTGTCCCTTTATTTTTGAATTCCATTTCATAGTGGACTCCAGAGGATACTTATTATATATTTCACAAAGTTCAATAAGTACTAAAATAAGTAGTAAAACTATAGGAGATAAAATATGCCGAAGAGATGATGTTTGAATTCCGAGTATTTCCGGAGATATACGAAAAAAACAAAAATCTTGGTGAACCATTTTTATTTATTTCTGGCGTTATTTGTTGAAGAATATCATAATTGATAGCACATTTATATTGCCACTTTTTCCCTGCTATACGATGACATTTTCAGATTCACTATCCGGCGTTTCGTCTTTATGCCATCATCATCAACTTTACTTTTTCTTATGGGCGACAAATTGGATTTTCATTCATGATAAGAGTATGGTGAATCTGAAAATGATATCGTATATCAGGGAAAAAGTGGCAATGTGAATGTGCTCTCAATTTTGATATTGTCCAAAAAATAACACCAGGAAAAAATAACAATGATTTACCAAAATGTCTGTTATCCCGTATATCTCCAGAAATATTCGGAATTTGGAAATTTTCTGCGCAACAACCATTTTCGTATCTCTTATAGTTTACGAGATCATATTAGCGACCCTCGAATTTGAATTACAGTGATGACTTTACGATTCCAGAATCATGATAGTTTCTGGCCTGAAGTCATTCTCAGTGATTAGTACAAATAACATTAATATAATCGTCAAGAAAACTTTTAATACTTTCGGTCTGGGCTTCTATTTATTTCAGTTCAAGTGTTTATAGGTATATGAAAAATATTTGTGGGATTATTGTTGGTGTATTCTGTGCCCCTATCTTCAGTGTTGCTTCCTTACCAAACTCAGTATGTAAGAGCTGGTGAGGCATACCACCTTCAAAAGTTGTGTCTCTAGAATTCGAAATGCATGCCTTCTGAAAAGATCTTATTCCAAAAAGCACCAGTCACTTCAGAAAAAGAGCGTTACAGTATTACTAAACTAAACTACATCAATAGAACACCTAGTATGATAATATAATCATAATTTATTATGTGATATTGAGAATTGGCCCAATGTAAAAAGTTGGAAATATACAGGGTGAGTCATTACTATTGGGACATAGGCTAAGGACAGATTGTTTGGAGCAAAATATGGCGATAGCACCAATAAATTTGCCTCAATATAATATTGCTGTGAAAAAAGATACAGGACTTTCCTGTTTTCCGTTCATTGCTAATAATTTCAATTTATATTCATCGATTGTTATCAAAATCGGCACAGAGGCAGAACTTTGGGAAGGATATATCATTTTATGGTTTATTCCACAGTTTAATACCACGTGAATGGTTCCTGATGATGAAATCGGCTAGTAACGTTATTTTACCACATTTTTCAGTAATTCTGTAACAAAAATTTGGCATGAACATCTTTTCTACAAGATAGTTTCATCCGTTTCCGAGAAGAACGCGATTGAACAGTTCAAAGTCTCGGAATTGCGGAATTGAATTTCAAATATTATTTCATTTAGGAAGAGTGTGCTTTGGACTCCGATAATTTTTGCTGGTAAATGACATGTCATGTCAGTGAATCAATTTTGGTACGAGTTTATCGTAAATACTTTGTCGATTGGAACGCCCTGTATCTGTTTCCACAGCAATATTTCATTGAAGCATATTTTGTCGTATCGCCATATTTTTGTCCAAACGACCCGCCCTTAGCCTATGTCCCAATAGTTATGACTCACCCTGTATATACAGGGTGTTTCAAAAAAACCTGACCCCCTTGCTAGGGTAGATATAACACTGCAAAATAAGTTGGGTTTGCTCAGTGGAAAAATGTCGTAACGGCATCCGTTTACATGATACAAGGTGTTGAAAAAATGATAAATAGGTGATTATTTTTCATAATACTTACTCTAATACATAGCTTCATACCAGCAACAGTTATCACCTCATCATTTTCAAATTGAAATATTATGAAAACGGTACACAGTATCGAGTTTTACCAAGAGAACCTTTTTGGTGGGAAATTGAATGATGTTCAAGTTCACATCAAATTTGGATTGAAAAATCTAACCTCAAGAAAGTTATGTTCAAAACTACTCGGTAAGAACCGTGTAACTAGCGCCCTCTATGAGATTCAGGTATAAAAACAAATGCATGCGATGTGTCAGATTCCAAGAAACATCCATACGAAATTTCAACACAATGGTGCCAGTAGTTTCGGCATAATCTTGAAAAATGTGTAAAAAAATCATTTTTTCAACACCTTGTATCTTGATAACGGATGCCATTACGAAATTGTTTTACTGAGTAAACCCAACTTATTTTGCAGTGTTCTACCTACCCTATCAAGGGGGTTAGGTTTTTTTGAAACACCCTGTGTACAGTGTGTCCAGTTTTCGATGCTTTTGCCTGATATCTCAGTTATCTTTGGAGATAGAACCTTGCGGTTTTCGTGGTCCTGTGCCACTTTTTTGTGAAACTCAAGCTGGCCTAATCAGATTTCGCAAGACTGTTTCCGTTTATGAGATACAGGGCGATTTGGATAATTTATACTTTTTGGACCCCCTCTATATCCACGAAGTTTCTCAACAAAAATGTCAAATCAAAATCTTATCGCATAGAGAATTTTACGCATAATCCAGTGGCGCACTCAAATTTTTTTTTCGGGGTATGGTTTTGGAGATACGACTCAAACTTATGATTTTTTAAATGGAACACCCTGTATTTTATAAGCTCATAAAACTCCTCATTTTTTTCTCTTCAAAATGATTTATTATGTATGTATATGAAATTTTCAAAAATGCTCTGAAATCACTGAAACATTAAATTTTAATAGTGGGCCAATAGTTTTTTCTTATGAAAAAGTTCGAATTGAAGGAATATTCATTTTGATTTTGCCATAAAGAGGACAAAAACAAAACCAACACTAATTAACTAAGAAAACACAAAAATTATGTACCTGATAGCAACAAATAAATAGTAATAAAAAGTTCATATTGTAAAATAAGCACCAGATCAAATATTTACAAATACAATTGAATTTCGGAATTATTCGATAATTTATTCACTGAATTGTTCAAATTGATGTCCATTTCCCATAACACCCAATTGACACAGTTTCTCAATACGTCTTGATACAGTAAGAGTCACAAATATCTTGAAGAACTTCGTGCAACAACAGAGGCAGTTTTCCAGGAATTACAAAGACATCCTTTAATGATTTTGATTGCATTGAGACGTATTGAGAAAGCGTGTGAGGGAAAGTGAACATCAATTTGAACAATTCAATGAATAAGTTACTATGTATTCAATTGTCTTAGTGAATATTAAATCAGGTGCTTATTCTAGAATATGAACTTTTTATTAACATCCATTTGTTGCTATCAGGTACCTAATTTTTGTGTTATATTAATTAACTAGTGTTGGGATTGTTTTTGTCCTTTTCATGGAAATAATCAAATGAAATATCTCTTCAATTGGAACTTTTTTTAAATGAAAAATCCATAGCCCATAATTAAAATTCAATGTTTTAGTGATTTTGGAGCATTTTTGAAAATTTTATACCTATTCATTATATTTCATTTCGATGGGGAAAAAATAAGGAATTTAATGAACTTATAAAATACAGGGTGTTCCATTTAAAAAATCATAAGTTTGAGTCGTATCTCCGAAACCATACCCAGAAAAAAAAATTTGAGTGCGCCACTGAATTCTGCGCAAAATTCTGTATGGGATAAAATTCCAATTTGACATTTTCGCTGAGAAACTTCGTAGATATAGAGGGGGTCCAAAAAGTATAAATTTTCAAAATCGCCCTGTATCTCATAAACGCAAACAGTTATGCAAAATCTGACTAGGCCATCTTGAGTTTCACAGAAAAGTGGTACAGGACCGCGAAAACCGCAAGGTTCTATCTCGAAAGATAACTGAGATATCATGCAAAAGCATCGAAAACTGGACACACTGTACATCAGATGATCAATTTTGAAACACCCTGTATGTTCATAGTATATCGAACTGGTCACCTAAATTGGGTGAAGAAACTGTAGCGAGGAATATCCAGAGGGCACTCGATACTTGGGGAGGCTATGGTAGGCTCAACTTCCGCAGATCATTGACTCCAGATGCAGATATCATAGTGGCGTTTGGTAGAGGATACCATGGTGATGTGTAAGTATAATCTTTTTTCTCCAAACGGCATTGAATGTGGCTTTTCTATGGGACTCAATAATGATAATAATAATAATAATAATAAAATTTATTGAATCCTTCACGAACATAAAAAAATGACATACAAGAAGTTCACACACAATTTATATACAGATACATGAAAATATAACAGAACCACATAGTACACAGAATATTCAGTCTGTAACCTTTCCTAGTACCACAAAGTATATCAAGATAATATGAAATGCATTTCATCGATTGAAATATTCGTCGATACTATAAAAACAACCGTTAATCAGATATTCTTTGAGTTCAATTTTGAAATGATTTTCTCTTCTGTGTACATTTTTTATTTCGTCAGATAAGTGATTATAGAATTTTGCTCCCTTATAAGAGGGACAATTTTCATACAGACGAGTTGAATGTTTCTGAAGTCTTATCAATTCACCGTGCCTGGTAGGATACGTATATGAAAGTCACAGATTCAATCATAATTCTGCATTTGTTTCCTGAATAATAAAATACATTTGTAAATTTAAATGCAAGGTACAAACGAGATTTTATTCTCAATAAAGTGTTGCCTACAAGATTCTCTGTCGTCTATTCCATATATTAGCCGTATGACTCTTTTCTGCAAGACGAATATTTTGCTGAGTTTTGACGAACACCACCAAATGGCAATATTATAAGAAATATGGGAATATACAACAGCAAAGCAGAAGCAAAGTAATCATTTAGAAGTTGAGCCTTCTCGAAAGTGGACCTCAATTGTCTAATAGCATAGTACCCACTGTTCACTTTCTTACTGACATGATTTATACCCAACTCCCATGTCATGTTACCATCGATGAAAGTACCCAGAAATTTGGTGTTGTCTGATGGTTTAATTATTGCATCACCCACTCTAACATGAAGATTATCAGTTTTTCTATTAGTTCTGGAATAAAACTGCATCAGAACAAGCAGAAAAGGTGTACTTTCTCTACCGAGACAGACCAAGACTGATTAGTCTCGAAAAATAAATGAAGTCTTGGTATTGGTCTTGATGTTTCAAGACCAAGACGAGACTGGCTCAGTCTTGGTCTTGGTCTTGATAGTCTTGGTCTTGGATCAAAATACGTCTAGAAATTTGAATTATTCAATTCAAATATCCAACAGTTTATATGCATATAATAGGTATTTCGTATTTCTTTAAAATTGTCAATTTGTGCGTATAAAGTAAGCGAAATAAATGTCTCCTTTTACCATAAGGATATAATCTTTAAAGAAACTTCAAATTAGACTCAAACAGCAAACAGGCCGACGCCCGACAGGCCAGAAAAAAGGTTCAAAGGGGTCGGAACTCACAATTAACAACGCATTATCAAAATATTTCTAAAAATTTCAAATTCAAACCATTTAACTTTTGTATTAAATTTGTTTATATCTTCAATAGAAGGAGGTATGAACCACTGTGATCTTACAACATACACCTATTTGTTGTAAACTTTAAAACTGCAATACTGAATTCGAAAAATGTATTTCGGATTTCGAGTGAACAAAAATTAAAAACCTACCATATGACAAATGAATGACTAAAATAAAATTCCATTACATTTTCCATGAGATTTTGTTTGATATTGAGTAGATTTAAGTTCATTTTTCGATTTTCAAACACATTTTCCTGTACATCCTCATATAACTTTTTCATGTATTTTGTGTCTCTTTGTCCATTCCACACATTTTTCAATGTTTCTATGTACCCATTCTGCTTGTAATTGAAGTGTCCTGAATTTTTGGTATGTATGTATCAGTTCATTTCTATCTACAACATACCAGAAATTCAGCCGTTTTCAGAGATTTTTTTTCTTGAAAAAATTTCATTTGGAGGACAATATCGAGAAAATTGTCCATTTTTTGAGGTTAGTTCAATGGAATATCTGTTCAGTATATCAAAGTCTGCAACATACCAAAAATTCAGCGATTTTCATCTAGAGCCATTTTCTTTGTAGCTTAGTGCGGGGTCCTTTGATTTTTTTACTTTATCGCACTAGTGCGGTTTCACATTACATATTGGTAGTAGCTAAACGTAATTAATAAGATTGCAAACTGGGGTGTCAAATTTCAGAGGTCAGTATAGGCTTTGAGGTATAGGATAAGCATAGAGGCGGCAAATTTGTAAATCCGCCACTGTAAAAGTGTTACTATTGGCTATACTGATTCTAGTTATCCGTTCGACGGTCCTGGATTCATCCTAGCTCACGCTTTCTTCCCCTACGAGCAAGACGGCTTAGGAGGAGACATCCACTTCGACGAGGACGAAAAGTGGATCGACAAGGAGGCGATGTCCTCCGATCAGGGAACGGACTTTTACACGGTGGCCTTGCACGAACTCGGCCATTCCTTGGGGCTAGCCCATTCCACGGAACAGGCATCCATCATGTTCCCTTATTACCAGGGTTCCGAGGGCGGAGGTAGGCCCCAATTGGGGTATGACGACATATTGGGAATGTATCAACTGTACAGTAAGTGTTAACTCTTATATGGGTGTCTGCTAATTGAAGGTACATAGCAAAACTGAAGCAAATCACTGTTATTTTGCCAAATATAATTCAGTCCAAAAGTTGATGATATCAAAATCACAGGGTGTGAATGTTTCGATTCGCATTTCATTTTTTTCTCAATAATTCATCAACAGGGTGACAAAACGGCACGAAATTTGACAGTAGGAAGATTTCTGAGGCGAGCAATTCAAATGTATTCTTTTCTTTTTCTCTATAGAAAAGCCGATCGCACTGTGCCCAACATAAATTTGTCAGGAGAAACCATACCTTTGAAGACATTCATTTCGATGCGCTTGGTATCACTATCAGCAATAATGTTCCTTGGGAAAATCACATGAGATCAATTGCTAAAAGTGCATCCCAAAAACTTGGTTTTCTGTTTCGGGCCAGGAGCTATTTCACTTCCAGTCAGCACCTTATGATCTATAAGGCACAGATCCGACCTGTCCTGGAATACTGTTCCCATATTTGGAGTGCAGCACCCAAACATACCCTGAAACTGTTGAATTCTGTCGAAAAAAGGACAATTCTTCTCGTGGGTGATGCATCGCTCACCAACTCACTCACTTCTCTGGAACACCGTAGAAAAGTTGGCGATCTGGCTCTATTCTATAGATATTTTCATGGACGATGCTCTTCTGAAATATCAACAATTGTTCCTCCCTTGGCAGTCCCCGCGAGATTAACCCTTCGAGTTGAGGCTTCGCGCCCCTTCGTGGTCACTTTGGAGACCTGCAGAACATCTCTTTCCAAAGACTCGTTCATCCAACGAACAGCTCTGGAACACATTGCCAAGGGAGGTGTTCCCCGAGGCATATAACCTCCAGAAATTGAACATTACAGACATCCCTTTTCGTGGGTACCAGAACATAAAAAAAGTTTGGATAGTACTTGAAGAGGGTACCACTTACGACACAATAAATCTTGTTTGTGCCACGATGTATTAGACTAAATGTTGAAGATGATGTTTTTTTTATCAACTTTTGGAGTGAGGTGAGTTTGGCTAAATCTCAATATTTTTATTCAAGGAATCTGCGGTTTTGCTGTGTACCATTGATAAGCGGACACCCTGTAGATATTTTTTATCCTGAATCATAGGTATACCATGAATGAAATTGCTCCTAAACTCTTCGTGACTGTATTGAAAAAACTTGATGTAATGAAAATGTATGTTCAATGTTCTCATAATATGAGGATAGTCAGGAGACAAATTCTTTATGAAATTGTTTGAAGTAAAAGATTTTTTTCTTGAATTCTTAAAATTACTTTCAGTTACTAGAGTATTGAAAGATGATAACGTCAACAACGGACAATATCCTGACCACTCAACCAGAAGACCCATTCATTCGACCTCAACTGAATATGTGACCAGTAGGCGAACAACTAGGTGAGTTGTTTGTTCAAATATTTTTTTATGAGTCACTTCAGTAACAAAAGCAGAACATTTTCGCAATGCAATATTGTGTATAGTTTTTCTCCTGAGAATTTATGACAATCATTCAAATTGTAACTGGTGATGAAACGCGACTGAACAATTTCGAGATTCTTCAGGACAACTCCATGGTATTCCCCGCATTGGACAAGACCTACAACTCGACCTACTACTACTACTACTACTACTACTACTACTACCAGAACAACTCCTACCACTACAACCACCAGGTATACAACTTCCGGTACCAACACAACCATCCAATACCAGGGCGACTCAGAATCTGTGGACGAACACAAAAAGCATGACGATAAGCATCACATACCGAAAAGTAACGCTCCAAGCATACCTGATATCTGTGATGGCCACGTGGATGCTATTGCAACATTGAGGAATGAGCTCTTCGTATTCAGAGATGAGGTAAGGAAACTCAATCAGTATTTGGTCCTGAAATGCATTAACTCACGCGAGAATTCGATTTCGCTCGGGAATTCAGTCGTGGGAATAGATATTGAACACCAAACGGAAGGCCAGCTGCACACGGAGAATCGAGCGGGTGAAAGATAAATAGGCATACACATAAAAACATATTCTCGAATGGACCACTCCATGAAAGCGACTGAAACAGTATCACACTGTATAAAAGGCTTATAGATACTACATCTCTTCAAGTACTATTTCAGAAAGCTACAATTTCAGATAAGGATTAAGTCGATTTCGGAAAACTTCATTCATTGTACTTCAGGAAGTTACTTGAATTCCAGAAAGTATCGATTGTGTTTTAAAATAATGAGTCGACCCAGGAATCGCACGTATTTTTGAAATAGTCAATTGACATAGTATTGCAGAGTAATAAATTGAATTCCAGACTAATTCATCATTTGTATTCTAGAAAATATTTGAATTTCATGAAGAATCATTTGTTTTTTCAAATTTGATTCGTTTTCAAAATTGATAGATGGAAAGTGGGTATGTTTTATGAGAGATTGCATAAAATGTTCAGAGCTTCAAAGATAAGAGATGCCCTATATTTATGTCTCGCAAGATCCCTTCCTATGACATGACATGACTGAGCATCTGTATAATATATATGAATATAACTTGACAATTTTATTCTAAAATATATTTGACCTTCCTGGAATTCAATACTGACGGTTCCTGGAATAGATATAGGTAATTGATGCAACTCATTATTCTGAAACATAAAATTGACACTTCCTGAAGCCGCAGTTTGAATAGTATCCCAATGTGATGTATTCTGAAATACAACTGGAAAAGGTGCAAAAATATAATAAATACTATAAATACTGTATTCGTGGAAGATACATATGTATAGTTTCAAATGAATCTATGAAGTTTCTCAAAGCAATGTTCTGTAGGAGCAATAATAGACCTTCAAATTATCGACTATCGCGAGAGCGATGAAACAGTAAAAAACATTATTGCTGTTTGCGCTCTTTCTCTAAGAAAAAAACTGAATGATAAGCATATATTCAAATTGGATGGCACTTTCCAGTTTATATGGAGATTCAAAGAGAAGGGTGTTTTGGACCTTGGTTACCCAATCAGATTAATGCATATGTTTCCAATGCTTCCTTCGTCCATAAAGAAGGTTGACGCTGCATATCAGAGGGCCGATGGAAAAATAGTAATATTCACAGGTAAATATAACATTTTTAGACATACAGGATGAGAAGTGCACAAAAAACGGCCAGCAGCCGCATTATTGTAACTATATTGGATTATTCTAGATAGGGTTTATTTGAATATTGGTGGGTAGCAAGTATACCAAATTACTCATTAATTGATGGAACAATTTTTTTCTATCGCACTTCCAGTTTCACCGGAAACGACCCCAACTTCTGAGTTTCAAACGGGACACCCTATATATTAAATTCCATAATCTGTTAGGGATCATAATGAGGAATTCAACGATACCAGGTTTGATAGGGTTATTTCAAACAATAAGGAAGATATTTGCGTTCGAAGGTTCCATATATTCAATGTGTGTGACTTCGCAATATCTCAACTTCTTTCTCTGTCACACTCTCATTGAGCATATGGAAACTTAGAACGCGAATATCTGCGTAATCGTTCGAAATAACTCTATCAAACCCGGTATCGATGAATTCGTTATGACAATCCCTAACCGATTATGGAATACAATACAGGGTCTCCCATTCAAAAAACAAAAGTTGGGGTTGTTTCCAGTAAAACTAGAAGTGAAAGAACAAAGATTGTTTCGTCAATTGATGAGCAATTTGGTATACTAGCTGCCCACCAATTTTCAAATTCAGTGCTCTGGTGAAGTAGTGGATAATTATAACAAATAAAATAACTAATCTGTAGACCATATAAATGGCAGACTGGTTATAATAAAAGTCTATTCAGTAATATTTTATCGAACATAAGAATTAACATGAAATGCTATCCTTATTTTCTTGGACATAGGAATTCACTTTCTTCATTTGAAATTTCCAATATCTCGAATTCCTTCAGGTTTTCACTGAGGTCAAGTTGTGGTTTCCTTTTGTTTTTCAACAGCTATAGTATGATCCATGATGAGATAAACCTCTGGTGCGCTTACTCTTCATTTGTTTCGTCAGACTAGTTCCTGATATACACAGTTGAATTTCAGACGATGACGTGGGGTTCACATATTGAATGTTAGATGGCGTGATTCCTAGTGCGGCTCAGGGTAGGTAGAACTAGAACAAACAACTGTTCTATCAAACTTGATTCCTCATCCTCATTGGTCACAATTGTCACATTTCAAATTAGCTCACGTGATATTCAATTTGAAATAATTACGAAACTTGATGTTCCTGGTGAAAATTTGATGCCTGTAATTTTGGTACGGCACTAGGCTAAAGTTAGCGCCATGGTATGTTTATCAAAGTAGGCAAAAATCAAGGAATTGTAAAACAGGAAAGGAGTGAGGTGCTTACACCAGAGGTTTATTTCATCAATGTATGATCCATGATGACCTACAAATTATTCAGGATACTTTTGTTGTAGGAACTGTTTTTTGGGTGTACGATGGAGAAAATTTCATTGAAGGTAGTCCGAAACCCTTGATGCACTATGGACTCCCTAACTATTTAAATGGTATAGATGCTGTGCACACCTGGAGAAGAAATGGTAGGTATCGCATGATTTATTTTCAGGTTGCACACATCATCAAAATCATTCTAATATTGCTCGATATAGTGTGAAGACACTGGAAAATGTTCATGTATACTTATTAGGGTGTCTAACAAGATAGAAGACAATGAAATCATCAACATTGGGCAAACCTGCTGTATACCTTATTGTCCTCATTAGTTCTTAGTTCAGAAAAAATCCTATACCTCCTCTTCCTATCCTACCTATGAACGCACGATATTCTTCGAATATTATAAGATTAAAAAGATCCTCACTTTTTTTAGGAAAAACATATTTTTTCAAGAATGAAAGGTTTTGGAGGTATAATGAGGATACGAAAACTATGGATTCAGGATATCCAATGCATATGTCAAGATGGAGAGGTGTACCTGAATATTTAGATGCTGCCACTACCTGGAAGGATGGTGAGTTATATACAGAAAGGGTGTTAATGATTAAGTGTGAGAAGAATATAGGTGATTTCTTGTCATATCATCGGAAAAAAATCATATAAACATACGTACCTATACTATTATCTTTATTATTATTCCCAAGAAACATACATGTTTATAGCAGGGAAAATTATGAAAGAGCAACTGTGTCAAATAGACATTTTCTATTTTGGAAAATTATTTGGTGAAAAATTATTCTTTTCTTTTATTGACTCGGCCGTTAATTATTTGGTGGAAATCCATAGCAAATTACGACTTAATAAGACGAAATTTCCAGTTACTAAGACGAAATTTCGACTTTTTATTTTTTCCACTGGCACTCCTGAGCTTTCGTAGCAAATATAAAGAAATCACAAACGATGAGATTTCTACAAAATTCTTAGTCACACAACATGGTATCGCTATAACACAGTAGCTTCGTCAGCTGAAGAGCTGGTACAATGAAAAAAAATACCAGTATTTCACCTGACGAAGCTACTGTGTTAGCGAAACATGTTGTGTGACTAAGAGCTTTGTGGAAATCTTGAAAAAATTTGAAAAATTATTCGATTATCAACTTGAAATAACTAGACTGATTAATTATTTCAAAAGGGTTTATGCCTGTAATAGGACTCTTTAATTATAGTAACACACATTGATGATGAATGAACGTAATTCGTCCACGGTGTAGCCTTCAAGACATGCTTTATCAAATTATCGATAGTAACTGTTATAGGGTCGGGGTCTTCATATCAAAATGAATTGAATAGCTAGGCTGTCTCCTTATTTATTAATTTTTTTTATGGAGATTATTCAATTTTTAATAACCGTCGATTTTTATCTCACTGCTGGATCTAAATTGTACCATTCATATGTATCGTATTTTCATTCGTGCCTCTTTTCAGGAGCCACTTATTTCTTCAAAGGAGGCCTCTTCTGGAAAATAGACAATAACTGGGTCAAAACGACAGATGAATCACCATTACCCTCACCGCAAGTTTGGTTTGGATGCGCTGAAGACTCAAATAATTTATTGCAATGGTTTTCTAGGTCCAGAGAATCATAAAATTGTACCTAATAATGACTGAGGTGTACTCCAAAAATAAAAATAGGTATTGATGATCTCATATTCGATTTTTTTTTCAATTTTAGTAAAACTCAAACAGTCTACACCAAGTTGATATGAAGATATCAAACAGAGTTTTTGACGGGTCAGGCATTTATTTCAACAGATTGTAGATATAACAACGTAATTATAATATATATAAGTCATCCCAGCCAACATTGAACTAGCGGGAGAAGTCCGGCCTAGTGCAGGTTAGTCTGGGAAAGTGACGATGCCGGGGTATAGGTAATGGGCCGATGATTTTCCCATGCCAAGTAACCATCAGTTAAAAATACGATGATGGCCTTGTGATGGTAAGATGTCTGGAACTAATTGAATGCTAACGAGATCTGGCCCTTTACTGGCCAATTTCATATTCACTACCCGTCCCCCTGGCGGATGTTTTGAGAACGTCTACATCAACAATCAGCTGATCAATACATATGTGATTAAGATGGCTGACTCTCGCGAGTGGTGATCGCGTACTAGTTTGTTTATGTCGAATTAATGTGGTCCTCTCTTTCCGTGGTGGTTATTTATGATGGCAGGAGTATTCTCAATTGATAATAATAGAAGACAGAGTCTTCAATTATGATAATATTGAGTAAGTATCAATGTACCTACATAGTGTTTTGAACGTCATTATTTGATGCATGTGTTTGGTATCTCATAACCTCATATACCTAATGATTATGATGATTGGAGTTAACTATACTTCTCTAAAGGCAACCATCATTTTCAACTCGTTTGTTGCTATCAAAAGCAATCTCAGGTTATGTGAACCTATCTCTATATTGAATAACTGAATAACAATAAGATTTCAGCTACAGAATTACCTGTGTCAACACTATAATGAGAATTGAAAAGCTCCATGTTATCACGTCATTTGACTTTATTATCAAGTTATAAACTCATGATGCAACTCATATACCACTAATATAAAACAAATGATGCATTTTATATTTCAGAAGTACCTACCTCACAACGAAGAATCAACTTCGAAGGAATGCTACCCAATAAGATGTAGATACCACACACCAACCAGTAAACAGTCACTACGAGAAGTTTCATCGTTGAAGAACAGAGAGGTTAAGAAAATATCATTGTGTCATTCATAAAATTGTTTTCTTGAAATCTGGTATGTGTCTGATTTATGATGAGAGGGTTATGTTGTGAAATAAAGAGGTACTAGAAATTTCAGATCCATTGGACCCCTAAAACCCCTACCCCTTCCCTACCTCGATAGTATGTAACCAATGTCGTTAATTGGCCATTACAGTCCCATCATTTATGTATATGCTGGGCTTGCTATGGGAAACTCAATGTGTCGATTATGTTGTACTGGCCTTTTTCCGGGGAACTGAATATGATTGCTGGGTACCCAGCACTGGGACCAGCTGCCGGCCGCAGTGTACTGATATATAGAGTCCCGCATATGGGACCATTTACTGGGCCGCTGATGTCAGGTATGGGAAAAATATACTAGGCCATCGATGCCCCATATCAAGATGTTTGCTGGGATTTCACAGATATTTGCCTGAAAGTTTGCAAAATAAATGAACATAAAAAAATTATAAGGGCATACTAAAATGTTAAAAATCATAACATTCAACTTTTGAACGGCATGATTAACGTGCTATATGTGTAATCTTCAAAACTCTCTAGAAAATTCAGATGACATAATCTGAAAAAATGTAACTTTTGACATTTAACAAAAGTCACGTGACTCCGACCGAGTTTGCCATTTTTTTCAGGCAAAACAACGCCCAAGTCGAATTGAATAATAAATTATTATCAAAAGTGATGCCGATTCGAAGAAATGTGAATAATCCCTAATTTTCTGTTCGACTATCTTAGAATTATCAGAATCGATAGCCATTAGTATCTATACACCCCATTCACTGATGCACTGATTCGGAAACAGATCTACAGAGTGATTATTATAGCCTCGAAAAAAATATTATGACTATAAATCCAGGCCTGGAAATAGAATAATATGTTGATCTCCATTGAGCTAGAACATTAAGATATAGTTATTTATTATACATGGGAAAAAAGTAATAGATATCAGCTCGAGGTTGTGTGCTAAAATCTAATATTGTTCCCTTGTATAATACACTATTTTTTCTTATTGTGGCAGAAAAAACGACGATTCACTATTGAGAAGATATATCACATTGTAACAAAATCAGAAAATTGAGGATTATTATCGAAATTATCGATGTTGAAAAACTCTTTCGTTTTTGCATGAAATTTTTCGTTTTTTCAAATGCAGTGAAGAAAATTTTGAATATTTCATTTTTTATGCCTGTTTGTGACCTTTGAAAATTCCCTGTCACAGTTTACAAAAACCATATACTGGATGAACTTTTTGGTATTAACTAAACTTGCGAAATTTTTCAAAAACGGTCTTGGATTTTCCCGATTCTGAATAATCAGTGGATTAGATGGTATAAGTTTATGCGAAGTCAGTTGAAAAACTTCCGTTTTCAAGGACGATACGAGGATTCGTCGATTTGCTTTACATTGGAATGGGAATGAATGAGATATTTCCTACTGAGCTTTCCCGGTATGCAGCCTGTGCAGTCAACGTGGACTGGACGAGCGCTGTCATGCTAGAAACCGCGTCTCATTGGTTACTCCTGAATGTTGATTGGTCAGAGTTGCATTGGCGGTCTTCTGTGTGATAAGAACCTTCTAGCCTGCGCTAGGCAGTGCGGTACGAGCTAGGTTGTCTTCATTGGTTCAACTCGAAATTCAGAAATTTTATTATTTCAATCATAGTGGTTTTGTGTTCTGGAGGCCTTTTGAGGAAGTCAACGAAGTGAGTGATCAAGGGTCAAATGACCTTCTAGTAATAGCCAGGTAGTAGCAAAGTAGTCCATATAAGGTCTGATTTACTTATTCATTTATTTATTAATGTGACAAAATGAAAACAACTTGGAATTGAAGTTAAAACCAATATATATATTTATGAATTGATAAAAATGGACCAATAATTTCTCACTAAAAATAGCTCAAATTAGTCTATTGATATGTGACTAAATAAGATCTCAACATGACGAAAATCAACAATGAATATCTTTCAGGAAAAGGAAAACAAACTGGCGATAAACTACAATGTTCCTAATATAACAAAATCAGAAAATTATGGATTATTATCGAAATTATTGATGTTGAAAAACTCTTTCGTTTTTGCATAAAATTTTTCGTTTTTTTAAAATGAAGTGAAGAAAATTTTGAATATTTCATTTTTGATGCCTGTTTGTGACATTTGCAAACTCACTGTCACAGTTTACAACAACCATATACTGGATGAACTTTTCGATATAAACTAAACTTGCGAAATTTTTCAAGAACGGTCCTGGATTTTCCCGATTCTGAATAATCAGTGGATTAGATGGTATAAGTTTATGCGAAGTCAGTTGAAAAACTTCCGTTTTCAAGGACGATACGAGGATTCGTCGATTTGCTTTACATTGGAATGGGAATGAACGAGATATTTTCTATTGAGCTTTCCCGGTATGCAGTCTGTGCAGTCAACGTGGACTGGACGAGCGCTGTCATGCTAGAAACCGCGTCTCATTGGTTACTCCTGAATGTTGATTGGTCAGAGTTGCATGGGCGGTCTTCTGTGTGATAAGAATCTTCTAGCCTGCGCTAGGCAGTGCGGTACGAGCTAGATTGTCTTCATTGGTTCAACTCGAAATTCAGAAAGTTTATTATTTCAATCATAGTGGTTTTGTGTTCTGGAGGCCTTTTGAGGAAGTCAACGAAGTGAGTGATCATGGGTCAAGGGACCCTCTAGTAATAGGTAGTAGCAAAGTAGTCCATACCCAGCGAGCACAAACATCCCTGGGATGTTTTGGGATGTTTTGAAAATGTTGGCATGAAGATGTTATTTTGAGACGTAATATATGCACTGACCAAAGAGGTCTTTGAAGAATATTGAGGTATTGTTTTTGTTTTTCAGTGGCATTTCTTTGTTTGCCTACTGAGAGGTATCCCTGGGATGTTTTGGGATGTTTTAGAAATGTAGGCATGAGGATGTTTTTTTGAGGCGTAATATGCACTTCCCAAAGAGGTCTTCGAAGGATATTGAAAGTATTGTTTTTGTTCTTTTGTGCCCTTTCTTTGTTTGCTCCACCACAACGTCTCATGCTTACGTCACAATACGACGAATTCTGATTTGTTTTCGATTTTGTTATTTTTGTTCTTCTTGTTCGCAATTGGCATTCGCGTTTGCAGCGTGTCACGCTTACATCACGCTGCTAACGAACAGAAAGGAATTTAGTGAAGTTTATTGTGTTAGAAGACTTATTTAGTTTGTAATAATGACCATCAGATACAAGATGTGTTGTTCGGTGCCTCAGTGTAATCAATATATAAAAGTACGAATTTATCAATACACAGCTTCTCCGCAGTTGCAAAATTATGCATTGTGGAGAACATTTCAAAAATTGGGAAACCTATTTCCAATTATATGTCTGTGTGTAGTAAGCACTACTCAGAAACCGATTAAGAAGGTAATTTCATATCAAGAAAATATTTTTATGTTCAATCTATTTTTAATGCATTTTTCATTCAAGGGAAATGGAATCCTAATGCAAAAGTTCATTTTGACAAAAGGCTTCAGAAAAGTACCTCGAAAATGGTTTTTTTACAGCGATTTAATGTGCGCAAGACGCGTTGAAAATGTTCTGTTGTGTCCATGAAAAGGCTTTAAAAAGAACTAGGGAGAAGGTAGTTTCGTGACATATCAAGGACATCTCGATAATTGCCGCCTGCGGCGGCGGACATTGGCTGTTTTATAATAGTTCTATTATTCATGTGTGAACAGAACATCGCAGCAGTGAAGGTTCAATGTCTCGAAATCTCGTACTTTTAACATCTCTGAGATGTTTTTGTGCTCGCTGGGTAAGGTCTGATTTACTTATTCATTTATTTAAAATGAAAACAACTTGGAATTGAAGTTAAAACCAATATATATATTTATGAATTGATAAAAATGGACCAATAATTTCTCACTAAAAATAGCTCAAATTAGTCTATTGATGTGACTCTAAATAAGATTTCAACATGACGAAAATCAACAATGAATATCTTTCAGGGAAAGGAAAACAAACTGGCGATAAACTACAATGTTTCTAAAGAACACCCTCATACACTACCCACCAAAGTCTAGGAATAATTTTTGAAACATCTTTACAATTATTCTCAAAGTAATAAGATTCAAAATTCGTACGAGAATTTCATATCAAAAAAATAAAGCTATTGTGATTCAAAATTATTGCCCATTTCCAAAACTTTGACGAGGAGTAGGTAGAAGTGTACATAATATGTATAAGTAATACAATTAAGTAATCGTTAAACTGGGACACTTGTCCTAATATCTAATTACAAAAATATAGAAGTGGTTGTTATAGCCTGGTTACTTTCATTACTAAGAATATTTTTACAAACTGTCAGCATGCAATTTTGCCATATAATATTCAATACAGGTTGTTACAGAATGAATCTCTAAGTGTAAACTAGTGTTCAAAATCAATTATCTTCCTCCAAAACACCCTGTACAAAAAAATTAATGAATCAAAATCGAACAGTTCAACGTCAATACTGATAATATTCGGTGCTTCTTGACATAACCTCAAATTAATGCCAAAGGTGGAGGTGACTAAATTGCACACTGAATGATTTATGTGAATGTTTAATCAGCAGTATTATAGGTATATAAGTTTAATTGCAGCAGGAGGCTGGGGTGGGATCCACTCCTGATCTTTTCGTGATACTGATTCTCGTGAATTCCTCGGCGATTGTTGGATGAATTCCCACGGTGTTCATCAATGCCTCAATGGTCAGATCGAGCCTGGAAATTGAAAGTTGCCGTAAGCATTGAATCCTTGTAAAGTATCAAGACACGTTGGTCATTTGACAGGAAAGGTTTGCTCAAGATAGGTTACGTAAAGTTAGTATGGGTTGTGGAGGTGAAATATTGGAACACAACCTAACTTTTCTTATTTTTTTACAAGTGATTGAAATAGTTTTCCACGATTATTTTGGCATACGAATCGTGTTTTTCATCTACTCATTGATTCGCGCATGCCATCATATTCCTTCGTCTCCCGTTGCATGCTTGAATTAATGAATAGTGCAAAAAACACGATTCGAATGCCAGAATATTGTGAATAACTATTTCAATCTTTTGATTCCTCTGTAAACAAAAAAAAAGTGGGGTTGTGTTTCAATGTTTTACAGGAAAGTGAGGTTGTGTTTCAATATTTCACCTCCAGGGACGGTCATCGTTCACGCGATCTACGGGTTGCGTGCAAGAACTGTCAGACGACCGACCCTGGAGTGAAACATTGAAACAGAACCACACTTTTCTTATTTGTTTACAAATGATTGAAATAGTTTCACAATCATTCTGGCAAACGAATCGTGATTTTCGACTATTCATTGATTCCCGCAAGCCATCACATTGTGCTGTTGTGCAATGCACAAGCAATGCAGCGAGAGACAAAGGAATCCGGTTGATACATTATGATTTAAAAGTAAGTACCTACTATAGTCACTCACATATAGTTTTCATTTTGAAATTTGGTAATTTTTCTGATTTCTCATCGGAATTCCTTCTGCAATAGGAGCTAATAGATATACTCAGATTTATAAAAGAATGCAAGAAGATTGGATTCATGCAATCAAACGGGAGGACTGGTCTGACATGCTGACGAAATATGATCGTGTGTTGTAGACATCTTCAATCTATTATCAGTATTAGCTTCTATTGCAGTGGCAGAAGGAATTTCAATAAGAAATGACAAAATTTCATAATTAAAACTATGTGAGATTAGTATTTACCTGAAAAATCATATTCCTTCGTCTCTCGCTGCATTTTTGGTGTATTGTACAACAGCACAATGAGAAGGCATGCTTGAATTAATGAATAGCGCAAAAAACAAGATTCGTATGCCAAAATATTCTGAAAAAGTTGATTCCTCACAAATAAAAAAGTGAGGTGGTGTTTCAATGTTTTACAGAAGAGTAAGGTAGTGTTTCAATATTTTACCTCCAGGGTCGGTCATCGTGCACGCGACCTATAGGTTAGATATAGTCTGTAGGTTTACATAACTCTGTGATCTTGCAACGCAGAGAGCTGAAAATTTTCAGCTTTTTGCATCATTTCAATTCCAGATTCTGCTTCATCAATCAGAATACGAAACGTTCAAAGCAAAACATATAAAGTTTGTTTGTGAACGCCGCTTTTGACTTTCAAGCCATATCTACTACTGAACCGATTACCATATGAGACTTTGTAAAGCGTCAATAGACATTTTATGAAATTCAATGGACTATTCTGAAATATAATTAACGCTTTCTGAAATTCAATTGACTATTCTGAAATATAATTAACGCTTCCTGAAATCCAATTGATTATTCTGAAATACAATAAGCGAGTGGACAATTTTGTTTTATTTCTCAAATAAAATCGTCACCCAAATACCTTTCAATTTCATATTTTTCAAGAATCTTTCGGTCGATTTTCAGGTGCTAAAATCATCAATAATGCCACGGTAATTTTCAAACGGCCAGTAAAAACTAACGTCACGATTTCGTAAGTCGGGGCAGACCATAACATAGTTGCCATGTGTTGAAATACGATTGGGAATTTCAGAAATATTAGTTATTCAATAATTCATAAATTCTCAATTTATAATTGGTAATATTCCTAATTAGCAAAAAAAATGCAATTGTCTCAAAATGTTCCCTTATGATATGTGTCTTATTGCTTATAATGAATTTGTGTAAATAATAATTTTATTAATTCACATTAATGGACATTTCAACTGGTGAACGTGACAGCACGTAGGCGTGGTCTTGTCAGTTCACAGCATGCAGCACAATGTTGCCAAGTCTCCAACATTCACTGATATTTTGATATGGAGAATAAGAAATATTTGGATATGCTGGTTGCTCAAAAAAGTCAAGAATGAACTATAATGTCATGAATTCCCCCTATTATGTTTTATTCAACGACAGGACTCTAACATCTTTTTGATAACTTGATTATAATTGGTGACTTGACAACCTTGCTTCATGAGTGAAAGTGGAAGATTTTCTGACCAATAACAATACAGCATAAGAACTGACGTCACCAATTATTACGTTTGGAATGAATTGATGAATGAAACATATCGTTTGTGAAGTTTTTACATTATTTTGGTGAGATACATATCCTGTTGGGAAAAATCCTCACTATCAGATTTACCTTGTATATTTAACGCGAGGAAAGCCGCGGGTGAAAGCTAGTAGGATATTAATCATTCCAGAATTACGTCATTTGACAGGTTGCTGAGGGGCAAACATTGTGTTTTGTCCGGATTTGTCATATGAAACCAGAATTAGTGGGATCATTTTCCTTGGAATCCAAGTTGGAACCAGAAAGAATTTCAAAATTTTGTTTGGTAAAACTGTTATTACATTGTGGATATGGCAGGGATGGCCAGGGCCATGCTCATCAAAGGTTACCTAACAGAAAGTTTGTGTGCCCTTCAAGAAATCATGTCAAAATCGCGTGTTCTAGAATGGTCAATAAAGATCAAGAAGACTGTGGTTATCATTATCAACCGAAGAAAAACGAAAAGATAAGACACTTACTTGATGGCAGCGGCGAATCCTTGGATCACCTCACCCGCGTACGGGCCGATGAAATGCATGCCGAGAACCTTTTGGGCCCCTTCCCTTAGAGCCACCACCTTCTGGTAACAGTTGCTGACGTTCTTTTGGGGGATGAAGAACTCGGTGGGTTTGTAGTAGCCGTGGTACACTTCTATGTTGTCCTCGCCGTATTTCGCGATGGCTGCTTCTTCACTCAAACCTGGACAGAACAGGACACATTCGTCTCAGGTACAGGGTGATTCATCATGAATCTCTCCCCCTCTAGCTCACTCATTTTTGAACCGATTCCAAAATTTGAAAAATCATCTGAAATGATTCTTCAGAATTTTTTTTCATCAGAAAATGCTTTACAACTCAGATTTAAAAATGCATGAATAATCTCATACCAGATATGAATCTGTCTGATTATTCATGTTATTACATTATAAACCTTAATAAATATATTTATGAGATGCAGAGTAATATTTATTACAAAAAATGAAATAAATATTATTAATAAAATTTCATTATTTTGTAAATACTTACCGACACATCCATATTCTAGAGGACTGAATACAGTTGTGGCAACGTTTTGGTAATCCATTGTCAGCGTCGAATTTCCAAATAACCTTCTTGCCAACAATCTACCGGCAACAATGGCGACAGGAGTCAATTCTGGTTTTTTCTGAAAAAAAATTAATCAATCAACTTTATTATTTTCAAAAATTATTCGTTTTAATAAAAATAAGAAGACAGTAAAATATATTATTTATACTCCCAATATTCAAGAGTAGTAATGGAGTAATGTATAAGGATAATGTACCTATCCCATTTAGCCCTCTGTATAGTTTAGTGATATAAGAATAAGTCATAACAAAACTATGAACTTGAGATTCACAAAACTGACTTTGGACAACTTTCCTTTGACTTGTTTCACTTGTTTGTTTTCCCGGGTTTCATAGTGTAACTTTATAAATGTAGATGTCGCCCACTCCGTGGATATCGCGAATTCTCTAAAACCATATATCTACTACTCCTATATGAAGCATACCTTTTCTCAAAGCGGGACCAACTTCTGTCTCTATTGGTAACGAAGTCGACCAATAGGTGTTGATGCCGACGTAGGGAAAAAATAATACGAAACTTGTTAAACCAATATGGCTACGAATTTCAAATTTTCAAATTGTTTTTAGAGCATATGTGATTGATTGTGATTGAAATTCCTATATTTGCGTTTTTAGTTTCACAATTCTTTAGTGTTTGTGTTTATTTTTCATAGACTGAACTTTTTTAACCATGTCTAGTGGAACGAAATGCAGTATTTGCGGAGAAAAGAATAGACAGGAATCCTCTTTTCATAAGCAAGTATGAATTTTCAAATTTTCTTGTTTATATATTGACCTGCACAAAGGTACACACTTATTTACATTATATTTTAGACTCCCAAAGAACCCTGAACGAAGGCTTCAATCATTGGGGATAACTTATTACCCCAATCTCGAAATATGTAGTCAGCACTTTATAAAAAATTTCCTCTTCCTCAAAGTTACTGACATAATGCTTCGCTATATTTTAACCACATTATGAAGAAATAAATCGAAGTTGACAGTTTTATACTGTGGTATTATCAACAATTGATGATTCTCAATATTTTATTATCATCAAATAATAGGTCACGTGCACGATGACCGACCCTGGAGGTAAAATATTGAAACACAACCTCACTTTTTTTAATTGTTTACAGAGGAATCAATGAATTGAAATAGTTTTTCACAATATTTTAGCATACGAATCGTGTTTTTTGCGCTATTCATTAATTCAAGCAAGCCTTCTCATTATGCTGTTGTACGTCAATTTTCTATTCACGTTGGATTACCGGTAGTCCCACCACGACTGCAGAAATTTTTCTGAAGGCCTAAGAAAGTTTTTGGGATCACATGTTAAAAGGTAAGACCCCCGTCATTCCTTGCTCGCAAAAGTCCCTTTGAAGACTTCTGAGGGTTGCTCGTAAGGGAGCAACCGAATGATGGATAAGAACAATTTTTAGAACTTCTGCAGTAGAAGCTAATACTGCTGAAAGATTGAAAATATCTACAACACACACCATCGTATTTCGTCAGCATGTCAGACCAGTCCTCGTTTGATTGCATATGAATCCAATCTTCTTGCATTTTTTTTAGAAATTTCATGAGTATTTCTATTAGATCCTATTGCAGAACGATTTTCGATGAGAAATCAGAGAAATTACCAAATTTCAAAAATGAAAACTATATGTGATCGACTACAGTAGGTACTTACTTTCAATTCATAATGTATCAACCGGAATCCTTCGTCTTCCGCTGCAGTTTTTGTGCATTGTGTAAAATATTTGTGAAAAACTATTTCAATCACTTGCAAACAAATAATAAAAGTTAGCTTGTGTTTCAATGTTTCACCCCCAGGGTCGGTCATCTGACAGTTCTTGCACGCCACCCATTATTTACGAACCTAACCTAACTTAAAATCTGATCCTCAAGTCAGCAGTTTCCATCCTTCACTTTCCGTTCTTATAGATTCAAAAAGTACCTCTCATTTTGGTCCCATTTTTGTTGGGGTATCATATAGGCGATGTGCCATATAAGCAATATTCTTTTTACCTTGTTACATTCTCACTACTGAGATCAATTAAGTTAGAAGGAGGTGAGACGGATCTGAGTTGTCGATTGAATAAAAAGAACACGTTTTTATCTGTCAGGGAGGGCAAGGGACAATGAACTCAATACAACTGGAAGGGACCCACTGTGAACGACGAGTGAGGCAAAAATATTTTTCAGGCAACCCGCAGTGTTTACGGATACCTATCTCTCTCTATCTTGTGTTGGTTAATGGGAAGCGCTCGCATAACTTGAAATATTTTCTCGTTTTTTGCTTCTATTTAAAAGTAAACGTGATTAAATAAAAATATTCATTTAGGAAAAAGGATAATGTTGTAATCAATTATCAATAAAAAATTATTACTGATTTTTTTATTGACTTTGAAATGAAATTTCAATCTCACTCTCACAAGATCAGGAAGTCAAATGAATACAAAATTGAAATTATATATTTTTATTCAAATGTCACAATATATTGTACAGGGTGAGCGAAGCACAATGTCTCAGAACTATCAGAAGGAAAAGAAAAACGATAGGAAAAATTTGAAAAGAGGTTCTTGAATGGTATTGAGTGCATTTTGAGCATAATTTCCATAGGTTCCTATTCCTTCTTCCTACTTCTGTCATATTTGAAATTTGTAGGTCTCTCCCTATTACTTTTTGTCTCAGTGTCTTCACTTTCCTCCCCAATACATTATATTTTATTGATAAACCTCGAAACTTGGGAGCTGGAAGTGGTAGGCAAGTCAAAGTCAATAAAATGGGAAACTTCTTCCTTTGGACCAAGTTATGAGCGTCCATAGATGCATCCTGAAAACAAATTACTAGCTAGTTTTTTTTTTATTTTAATGAGGTGAAAACATACTTTTTTTTCATTATTAATCAACTAGGTACCTATGAGTTTTCTTATTTTCCTGGGGGAATCAGCATTTTTTGGTATCAAATGCTGAGGAAATAAAAAATATACTGGGTACGGGTACAGCATCTGCTTTCAAAAACCTAGCAGTACCTGGTATGCCTAAATAATCTGTTGGCAGGAAATGCTCCCCACAAAGCTTGCTGCTTCTATTTGGAGTCCAATTCTCTCTACGAACTACCTTTATCCATAATTCGAGAATGTCTGGTCTTTTGAATGGAAAGCTGCAACAAATAATATTACTCAATATCAATATGGAAGTATTCAACTTTGACAAATAATATAGGTATAGTTTTTGAACATATTCTGAGACTGGGAACATTGTATACCTAACTGGATCATCATTTCAAGAACTATATTTTTCAAAAATCTGAGAACAATATTCAACTTACCCATGGAATGCCCATTCCCTTTTGTTTTGTTCGTTCTTGCATCCAAAGGCGACACAATAAATCACCATTGTTTATCAATATTAATCACAAACCTTCTCAACAATCAGTTCAGTGTTCACAACAACAAATTCAGTCCTTTTGATACAACAAAACACGCCAAATGAATAGATATTTCACCTCGTATTTAGCATAAACGAAGACAATGAACTTATGTCTTCACTTTCTTGCCTGTGTAGATGAGAGAAAAAATTCCTAGCTACTTTAATTATTAGATAAAAGAAAATTTATACACCAATCCACCATTAAACAACACGAGTTGGAAGAGGACAGGTATCCGTAAATCATGCTATCTCTGTTGCAGCTGCCCCTGACACACTTTGTGCTATTCGAGAGAGCGGGCGTATCCCTTCCAGTTGTATTCAGTTCATTGGCAAGGGAAGAAAACATAACCCAACATAATTCAACCAAAATGTAAAATGGCTGAGGAAATTATTGAGGAGCATAGATATATTCTTGCAGTGAGTATTCAAAAGATTTAACCTGTGGACTTAAACTAAGATATGAAACATGTAATACAACTGAGCTATTGAGCTGCACTGAGAATCTTGGTTGATCTCAGTCAAAGTTGGTAAAAAGAATATCACTATATAGAAATAGTAGATATATGTCTAAAACTCACATATAGAACATCCCCGACGGCATAGATGTGCGGCACGTTGCTCTGCTCGTTGACAGCGTCGATCTTCTCGCCGTCCCCGGCCACCTTGACGCCGGCCTTGTCCAATTGGAGCTCGGCGGTCAGGGCGCGTCTGCCGACGGCGAACAGCACCGTATCGAAGGTGTCGCTGAAAGTTTCGTTCTGGGCGTTCTGCCAGGACGCCTTCAGTTTGCCGTCGGCGAGTTTTTCGATCGCGGTGGGAACGCACCTGTCAAATGACGAACGAGGGGTAAATCACGTGGGAAGTCCTGTGTACCCGAGACGGGAAGTCCGGGTATTCTTTGGGAGGTTCGGGAACGGGGAAGTTTTCTATATTGAGAATTTTATCGTTCTGTGATGTTCGTGAAAAATTAATATATACGCATTTCTTCTTTTTTTTTCGTAAGATCAAATTACACTTCAGATAAAAATAAATAAAAGAGGAACTTGGCTCCTCCACCATTCCGAGGGGTAGACAACTCCAGCGAAATGTGTACACCATAATCAGTAATCAATTAATCAACTATACTCCACCTATATTCAAATGTAATCGAATACTCAAAATTGAATGAACAACATCTCAAATGTAATCAACAAGTCTCAAATGCAGTCCGTTTCAAATGTAATCAAATTGTCACAAAAGTAATCAAATCGTCTCAAATGTAATCAAATAGTCTCAATTGTAATGAAAAACATCTCAAATGTAATCAAAATGTCTCAAAAAGTCTCAAATGCCTCAAAATGTCTCAAAGAGTACTCAACATAATCAAATACTCAAGAGTATCAAGAAGTCTGAAAATTACTCGAATTTAATCAACAGGTACTCACTTATCCAGTGTACACCAGTCTCAACGAGTTGTCTTTGAATGCATAATAGCTATATCATAACAGCAATGGGATATAATAGGTTCTTCCATCCTACCTTGTCAAGTATTATGAATAATTCCCATAAATCTCTCATTGGCTGAATGAAGTTGATTACTAATAAAGATAAATTATGATATTTTGCGATAGTATCTATAATTTTTCACTGTCGTTGTATTACAATATGTTATTCATAACTTGTCTGTCATTTTTTTGCTAATGAATTCGTTCCTTAATAAAACGGATCCATTTTCTAGGAAAGTTGTAGATTATATCTTGCAACAGCGCCTAATACTTCGAGTCCGTCCACACCACTCAAAATACTGACAGGCACAACAAGAGGAAGGAGCCATGGGTCTCGGCTTCATCCTGTTCTGACCGATGGCAGTAAATTAGGAAGGATAGTATCATTGAATGTAGCCGCTAATGTTTCATTGATTCAATGATATTTTTGTTTAGGATCGAGCACTATTCTGATAAGTAACAAAACCACAACCTGTCAGAATGAAGCCAACTAACCTATGCATTCCTGCTCCAAGTGCATCTGTGGCTATGTATGTTTTTGTTTACCAGTTTTACTTCTTCTTCTATTTTTTTCATTCGTTAGCTATTCGTTAGCTATATTCCTCATCATCAGCTATTGTCAGACTAGATTCAGAATCGTCACGATTTGCCGGCCCGAAAATTAGAAATTGCTTTAATTTGAAAATGAAAACGACTTGGACTTTATCGGTCGCCATTCTGTACAGCGTGGACATGATACTGGAGAGTTCCGAACTTATTTTATGGAAATTCATCTGAAGGAAACTTCCCCATTCTTTGGGAAGTCTGGAAATTCTTTAGAAAATCTGGGAATTCCTTGGGAAGTCTGAGGGTTCCTTGGTAGTCCAGGTAGTCTTTGGGAATTCCGGGTATTCTTGGGAAGTCCGAGAATTCTTTGGTTAGTCCCAGGAATTCCGGAAATTCTTTCGACAAAGGAAGTCTAGTGTACCCGAAATTGGCCCGTGATTTACCCCTTGATAAGGAACAATAAGGTGATTTTAAGGAGAAAAATATCAACATATGTCCCAAACCCCTTAGTTTTTGAGCTACAGAGTGTTGAAATCAGAGGCGAACAGTTTTTTTTTTAAATCAAAACATTCAAGATCAGGCCTTCGTGAACATCACTGGTAAAAGTAATGAATTGATTTGCGTCCCAAAACAAAATATGTTTTTACTGATGGTGGGTGCCTACGGTATTTCAACAAAATTTCAAAAACAATCTCAATGAACTGGTGAACTGGAGAAAAATATCGTTTGGTTTTTATTTTTTACGCGAAAACGGTACGCAGAATTTAACGGAAAGAATTACTATGAATTGACACCTGCTAATATGACAGACTCAAGTAATAGACAATCATTATATGACTTCATATAGATGTGTGTTGTCATGGAATGTCCTAATGAGACACATTGAAAGACAGACAAAGGCAAACATTACTCAACAATCTTCAAAACAAGTAGATAACTCGAGAGATACTTGAAATTTTGATTTGATCCAAGACTAAGCCATATCTGTAAGTGAATGGTGGATTTGATAGATTAAGGAAAATTATATATATAGAAATATTTAAAGATCAGATAAGAAATAAAAATTGCGAGGTCATTATGATTTCATTTAAATAGTAGTAGAAGATACCTTTCATGATCAAAATATCAATAAAAATTGGAAAATATTGGTAAAAATTGGAAAATATTGGTAAAAATTGTTCAATCGTGAATGTAAAGCAAAAAAAGGGACCTATAATGATAATTTTTGTGATGGAATATGAATATTGATTATAAGGTTTTTGAATCTGATTCTTATTATTATCTACCAAAGAGCCTGGAGAATCTCATTATTAATGAAATAATAAGAAATGATATTATGAATTAATGTAGACAAAATGAATTTCGACAACTTACTGCATCAAGAATTTTACTCCTTTATCCTGCATTTCTGCCTTCACAATATTGGCCATCTGTTGGTCGAAACCTCTGAGGACAATTGATCTGATCATAACAGTGGCATCATAACCTAAACCATTCAAGAAACCTGCGCATTCCAATCCAATATCTAAATATGTAGGTTAAGAAAAAATTGTCGGTAAATACTGCTAAATAAAAGAAAACCACATGTTAGTAGTTTGATTTCAATCAGCTTTTTTAAATGAAAAACCCTGTATATTTTCATCTGTTGTGGAGAAATTTAGAGGTTGAACTTGACTTCATTAGGCTTTGGATTGAAGTGTGATCCCTTCTCAACACAATGGTTTTTTATTCACTTAAATATATAGGAGTGTTTTGAGAGAGTATGACATTTTTCAATCTATTATCAGAACCTACATCAACTTATTGATGAACAACTTAGAATTGATATCACTTATTTCTACCTCATTTTCGTACACTAAAATCGGACGAGAATCAAAAAAGATACAGGGCGATTTTTTTGCTGGTGAGTGTATATAATTTGCTAATATTTCCTCAAGTCGTTTTCGGCTAAATTCTTACTGCACTACTGAAATGTTTGCAATATTTTCATAATATAATTTCAATATATCGTATTATACCTCTATGGAACAATCCATTTCAGTTGAAAAACTTACAGAGACGTCAAATATGATCTGTTTTGTATCCATGGCATTTGACATTTCTGTTGTGTTCACAGAAATCTAAATGTTATTGGCAACTTTGATTTGATGCTAATCAAGTGAAAAATGGCTCGAGGAAATATTAGCAAACTATATTTATTTGTGAACAGAAGGAAAAGGTCTTCTACAAGAGTTGAAAATATACAGGATGTTTCATTTAAAGAAACTGATTTGGGCTCTTTTTCATCATTTTGCGTTTTGCATCTGTTCGTTGGAAGAGTGCCAAAAGATAGTACAGATGAAATCCTGAAACTTTTATTTTTGAAGTTTTTTCCAACTAATAGTTAAAGCCGTAAGTAGGGGTCAAAATATACAGAGACGCTGAAAAATGAAGGCTTTATTAAACTATTTTTTGTATCTATCTATCAGACTGAATATTTACAAATCAGATTGGGATTATTGGAGGTTTTTTAGTAATCTTTCTGCAAGATACAGTGGAATTATGATAAGCAATTTTCCTGTGATATCATCTGATGTGTCAAACACGAAATCAAACTGACTGTGGATGTCCGAAAGTAAACTAAAACATTACTGATTATGATTTCTGAAAAGGATACATCCAGCACCAACGACCAATGTCTTGCCAGGAGCATGTGGAAGACTGAAAATGTCATCGCTGCTGATACCGTATTCCAATGCTCCTGGGATGTTAGGATAACGGGGCCGACCACCAACGGCTATCAAAAAATATTTAGCTGTCAGCAACTTTTCCCCCTGTTTCGTCGTGGTGTGAACGGTATTGGCATCTTTGAATACTCCTAGACCGTTGATATATTCCACTTTCCTAAAATGGAGATGAAAAAATCAACTGGTCCTCATCATGAGAACTTTCATCAACAAAGACACTCACTTGTCTCGAAGATCTACCCTGGTCACCCAGTTTACTGATTTGACATGCCCTTGAACAGCATCTTTCAGGGCTTCCCAACTATGTGAGATGTTTTCTGATGAAGGAAGCTGCCACCCATAACTTCTAGAATCCTGTGACATAATATTAGAAATTATTTCACTTGGAATGTTTTATATTTCTTTTTTTTGTGGTAGCAATGCTTCTCATAGTTTTTTTTAAGAATTTTATGTGACCCAATTGAGAGCAGGACCCCATCCTAAAACAATTGAAGAATGGGCTTATATCACGAAAAAAAATTATTTCATAATTCGATGGAACTCGCTCAAACTAGCTCACAACCGCAAACCGTTTCTTTCTGTGAGCTCCCTACGTTTTATAAAAAAATATTGAAATCCCCGATTTTTCGGACCTCTGAAAACGAGGCGATGATGTGACGTCAAAACCCTTATACTGAAACAAGACTATTCCAGACAAAGATGAATGCTACATGATTTCTGACATAGTGAATTAGCGCGAGATCACAGTTGAAAGAATTAATATATCAGTTGCCTCAGTCTTCGTCGGGCGTTTGGTATTTTCTTTCAACTATGGCAAGATGAGGTTTCTACGTCATAAGAGGGTCCGTTTTCAGAAGGTACCATTAATGATGTCCAGAAATAAAACATTCCAGTTTATTTTTCGATCGAATTATGTCGTCAATCATTATTCATGTATAAAAGGATCATTATAAACATGGTTTGAGTTAAAATTTCTACTAAGGTGTACACGCCCATTGAGTGAGATTTTAATGAAAATGTACCTAATATCCTGGAAAGAATTGAATATTACATATCTCTCTCTGTACTCTACTCAACACTTCAATCATTATGTTTAGTCCATGTCAACATTTTTTGTGTACTTAATTGTAGAAAATGAGTTACTTTACTTCAGGAGTGTGAAGAACCAGAACCAAGGCCACCTATGTAAAATTTTGGGGGTGAAAATTGAAGATCATACCAAAAATTCTAAGCAATAAAGCTGGAAAATGTTGAACTTTGAAATGTTCAACAACTTATCAATGCAATTGTTTTGCAGTGCAATGCAAATATGTTTCATAAACATGAATTCAATTGGTATTTACAAGTTTTTCTCATGAGATAATTGATTTCCACATGTTTTCAAGGGCTATTTATACACAAGAATCATGGTCTGTTCAGTTCTGGGCATAAAATATCAAAATATTAACAATTTCTTCACGGAAAATAAGAAATGCAATGCCAGTTTACTAATCTTTCATTTCCTGATAAAACTGGTCAAAGCATTTGAAATTTTTTATACCAACTTACGTTTACAGCTTCTCCAAGAAGTGCAGCTTGATGCATCAGTTTTTTTGGGATACATCCAACGTTCACACAAGTACCTCCAAGACCCCATCTGGATCCTCTGGGACTCGGAGTGACGTAGTCCAAAACAGCTACTTTAGCGCCTAGGTTAGCAGCTTCTTTTGCAGCCGATAAACCACCAGAGCCACCTCCAATAACGACGAGGTCATATTCAGGTTTATTACCTGGAAAAAATTATATTATTGCAAGTTCCTATATACAATTCTCCAAAATGATATTGAGTGTGGATTCTATATAATTTCTGAGACTGAAATATCTATTTATTATACTATGTAAATGGTAGGATTTTTTTTATAAATCAGAAGTTCAGAAAATCCATAACTCTGTTTTGATTTCATATGCAGGAATTCGTTTAATGGTTCATTCAAAGTATTCCTTCAATGCATTTTCTTTAACATACTGTTCAACTCAAGAATCATTTTCTATTGAACTTTTGTACTATGGAGAAAACTTTTAGTTATTTTCTTAATATATATATTGGATGTTGAATATTACATCTGACTTGATATAGATACCAGTAGATATCCAATATTCCATCCATATTTTCAAGTCCAGGATGAAATTAGTAGAGATTGATTCATGATGATGATGTTCTTCTTTGCAATCATAATAATAGTAGGAATAAGTATATATTTTCTTGAGTATACTAACATTTTGTATATTTGGGACAGTTGATGATTGTGCAACCTAAAATATGATTTTTTGTACATAATATGACTCCATAGTCATAACATTTCCAAATACCCTGTAATCGCGCAGAATTCATCTCAATTCATTCGTTAGTTATAGTGCAATTTACTTCTATCCAAGATGATACAAAAATCTTCATAAATACCTAAGTAATCGGACATCATTATAGACATATTGATGATGATATTGATATGATATTACACGAAGAATAATGTTACTGAGGCTTTCACATACTGACTTCTTCTATGAATAGTCATTGTCATATATCGATCTGACACTATAATTTCCTGGGTTACCGGCATGATGATGCATTTATGATGCATTTAATTAAATATATGGAATTGTATACTTAGTGATGACAAAATAAAATTATTATTTCCCAAAGTTATTTCGGGGACTTTAATTTACAAACACGAGATTTATCCATTTGGATGGAATAGAGAATATTATGCCTCCCAACTAAATATTGAAGATGTTTCCTAGAGATGTAACAAAGAATCTAAATGTCCGGAAAAGCTTCGTTTCCGAGATATAGTGTGTTTTAAGTTTCCTAAATAAATCTTTTTTTGATAACATTTTTTTGTGTGCTTAAATATCGATTCACATGGTGCCATTTCAGTGTGTCAGTAAGTATGATTATCAACTGTAGAGTTTGATATCCTAATGTTCGGAAAATTCGAAAAAGTGGTAATCAATACCTGGTTTTTTCACAATGATTTGTAATTTGCTATAAAAATATCACCTTACACACTACCTCTAACGTGTAACTGTAAACCATAAGGGAAATGAAGATAACAAATTGGTATACAATTTTTTGTAAACCACTTTATGATAATCACTGTCTCATGAAAAGAAAATAGCTAGGATATACTTCGAGAGGTTAACCACATAGGAATTCCGGTATATAGTCGATAGAAATTTTCGGAATTCCCCATAAATTGTTTACTATTCCTATCCAACGTTAATTCACTGAGATTCATAAAAAAGTCAGTGTAATTATCTATTCGAGGAAATAATTTATGTGGATTTGCAAATGAAAGCTTTATTCCATTTTTTTGAGAAAATTCAATCTATTCAATCTACCGCTGGATAATTTCATGAAAAAAACTAATAATGGCAAAATCAAATTGATGACTGAAAATTTCAAGATCTCAAAATGACACTAAATCAGTTTTATTTCTTTATATTTACTACATGTAAAAATTAGACCTAACTTATTTTAGGACAAGATCAACAGTTCAGTTTGTGTACTTCTGATTCATCAGGTTTAAGAGTGTTGTCTTCATTATTTCTGATGAACCTTCCAACTTGGTATCTGATGCTGTTCTATAAGCAACTCTCAGGTTTTTTTTTCGCAAAAAGGTAGCTAGTTGTTCTTCTTGAGTTTGCCAAAAAAATTATATTCCTCTATAAAATTTTTTTAATCATTATTTCAATCACAACCTCTATAAATGAAGATTTTCAATGACACCTTGTATACAGGTTATCATACATAGAACATGTGATGGAACTTCATCACATTATTCGATCTTATCCATTATTTGATCAAAGGCTAACTGAAGTCACTTTATTACATCCATTATCATTCATTATTAATACTTCAATCAGTTGAAACCAACAACCAACAACGACCTTCAAAGTTTGTCAGTATTTTCATACAGATTTGATTTGTATGATATTGCTAATGATACAGTATACAGAGCAGGGTGTTTAATATAAAGATATTTTTTCCAGAGTTGTTGGATAATCAACCGGTAGGTAAATAAGTGTTTTTGTCACGTTTACACGTATTACGAAAATGAAGCGTTCCCGAGCCAACACATAATATGTGACATGACATCTCTGAGAAGTCGCGTTTAGGTAACAGTGCAATATTACGAATGTTCCATCGCTGCGATGTACAGAAGCAAGCACATCTGCGACGCGACATCTCAATGTACAGAAGCAAACACATCTGCGACATGGCATCTCTAAGATGTCATGTGAGGCAACAATGCGATATTACGAGTAACAGATCTCATTTTGATAGAGATTCGAAGGTACCAGGGACAGCGCCAACTGAAAAGACGATTGAATGGACAGGAGACCCGAGGGACCACCAACCAGTCAAAACAACAGATATTCAATATTATATGTTATCAGAAGTCATTGGTGTACCAATTATCACACCATGTTTGAGGAAACTTTTTTTCGTTTTAAAACACATCTCATTTCCATCACAAATAATAACATATCGCAATAACATTGCATAAAATATATCGCTGTGATATCGCAAAGAACTTATCGCAGCGACATCGCATGGATCAAACTAACATCCCTCTGACATTGCAGCGACGTCTATTCGACATAGGAAGCGATATCTCAGGCCACAATTGTTACATCGCTGCGATATCGCTGTGATGTAACTGGGACATGGTTATAGAAACTTCAATTCCCAATAAATAAGTTGAACAATACTCGAAAGTTTGGGCGTCAAAAAACGACCTCCCCTTCCAGAGAATGATATTTAAATTATTGAGAATTAGTATATTGAAGACTGGAACCTTTGACACAATATGCACACCTCACTGTTATACCATAACCAAACTAATTTCATACATCAGCCTCCACACGTGATTGACTATACCGGTAGACACAAAATCTAAGTAGACCCGCCATTTCTCCTTTGTTTTTCTAGCTATATTTCTGAAATTTGGAACATCGAATATGATCACTAGAAGGCACTTTCTCACATTTCAGGAGTTTTTTTTCATCTTCCGGTTTTCCTGGAAATGACATCAACTTTTTATTTTCAAATGGGGCATCCTGTATTTCTATTCATAATCGATTAGGGACTATATTATAACGAATTCAACGATACCGCGTGTTTGATTGGGTTATATCTCAAACGATTACGAGATATTCGCGTTCGAAGTGTCCGTATGCTTAATGGGTGTGACGGAGCAATATCTATACTTCTTTCTCTATCACACTCATTGAGCAAATGGAAACTTTCGAACGCGAATATCGTAATTTGAAATAACTCAATCAAACCCTGTATCGTTGAATTTGTTATAATAATCACTAACCGATTACGGAGAAAAATACAGTGTCCCATTTGAAAATCAAAAGTTGATGTCATTTCCAGGAAGACCGGAAAATGAAAAAAATAACTAAAATGTGAGAAAGTGCCCTCTAATGAGGTTATTCGATGTTCCAAATTTCAGAAATATAGCTAGAAACAAAGATATTTAAGATATTATCTTGGTTTTTATCTTTTCCTGAAGATTCCCTCTCATATTGTTAGAGATATACGTATATATAGAGTATAGAGGCGTTATTTCAAAGCAAACCAACAAAATAACCAACAGGTTCTTGTCAAATTGAATACTAACAGTAAGTATATTTAAAGTACTAATAATTTTCCGAAAGTATAGAATGAATTTTGCGTGACCAAAGTGGGTATACCTAATCCCATGAGTAGATACCTATATTCCTCAAATTCCTCAATAAGCGATCTCCCGTTTTATTCAAAACATAAAAATTGGAAGCAAATATCAGGAAGCTCTATTCATTGCCCCCTCGAATATACCTTATTAGTTCCTACAAACCTCTAAACACCCCTATTAACATTTTTTATAAATGCAAAATTATTTCAATATTATTTCATTTTCAAATGTCCCATTTCTAACTTCGAGCCGTATTGGGACAAGTGACAAGTATTTCGCCAGCGAGAATTGACCAGCCCCGGGGTTCATCGCGGGAAAGAGAAGGACGTATAACTCGCTCTCGCTCAGATGAACCTTTTTTCTTGAAGGAGAATTTTTCTTGAGGAAGGAAAATATTGTTTCTGCATAAAAAATGAGAAAACCTAACCTATCTATTTTATGAGTATATCTGTACTTGTTTCGTTGACCTGTGTAAAACTTAATGTTTATTAACACCAAATAAAATATTCTATTCTATTCTAACCTAACCTAACCTAACCTAACCGAACCTCACCTCTGGCCTAAACCACAAACATAGAAAACCCCTAAATGAACCTATTTCCCATAGAGAATATTTTTTAGAAATCACTTGAGAACAAGGAAAAAATAAAAAAAAGATGAGCCTCGCACGGATTCGAACCCCGGCCCGCCGGCTTGGCATGCCGATGCTGTCAAATTCATTTATTTCCTCATTTCAATAAAACATCGACAATTTCAAACAGAACAAACAACTATAAAATGTATACATTATACTATCCTCCGCGCAGTGCGGAGTTGGCTGGTGTTAGCCAGGGGGAATGTTCGTTCTGTGATAAGAGTCCTGACACATGAGTCCCATCTCCTGAAGCAGTGCTCCTTTTAATGGGAAATCTCCGAGGTGGACCCAGTAGGGTCAATGGTGAATACAAACATTGGCGTGCTGGAAATTAACGTTTATACGAGGGAAAATAAAGTAAAAACCCTCTCCAGATGATCTGTCGCTTTGGACACGGCGCTCACCGCCCCCATCTACAAGCCACGCCCAGAATCGGCCGATAGGCCAATCAGCCGTCTAGGGCAGCCTGCAGATGTGAGCCAAGAGTCGCCAGCACCTCAGCGTGAACACTGCCCCACTGAGACGCTGCTGCTCTTGACAATTTCCAAGGACATCAGTCACGCGACATCCCTGGAAATTTTTAACATTTTCATGCTGAGGATCCTACAGATCGCCCAGGGGTTCCCTAAAAACATCGGTCGACTCATATATTAATCCATGTTTTTTATAGATTCCATGTTCAGCACGAGTGGAAGTGATGTTCCTAGTGAGTTCACTTCCCTGAACATGGGATCTATAAAACTTATTCGAGATTTTCAGTATATGATCTTTTATCATTGGTATGCCATGACACCATTCGTGAAGATCTACCACTCGGGAGTATCGATTACCATTGGTAATGATACGGAGAACTTTGTTTTGCAGCACCTGTAATCTACCTATTTGGGTATTCGAGGCGCTACAAAATACCGGACAGGCGTATGTCATTACAGGCCTGATAATCTGTTTATAGATCAAGAGCTTATTATCCAATGTTAGTGGGGAATTTCCCACCAACAAAGGATACAAGCTCCTGATCGCAGCCTGAGTCTTTTGTATTAAATAACTGATATTGTTCCTGAATGACAAACGTCTGTCCAGCTTTACTCCCAGGTATTTCACAACGGGAGAGTCCGTAACCTCCGCATCTTTTACAGTCAAAGGTCGCCGTAAAACGTTGTTAGTGTATTTCCTGCTGAAATTCATGACTTCTGTCTTTGTATTGTTCACGGCGATCTTTGACTCCTCAAAATACGGTATGACTCCCCTGTCCAGATGGATCTGGATCTGAGTCCTGGCGATGTCCGAGTCGAATGAGTGAGCATATAATGCTGTATCATCAGCATACAACGCTGCACTCGTCCTCTCGAACACAGGAAAATCATGCGTGTATAGCATGCCGATGCTCTGCCTACTGAGCCAACCAGTTGCTTACGAGACGAAGTATGATGAAGTACTGTGCTTCGGCTATGTGCCAAATGCATTCTCGCGAGTGAGAGGGCATTATATGTCCTTCTCTCTCCCGCGATAAACCCCGGGGCTTGTCAATTCTCGCATTTCGCCAAGCCAGACCTGTGGTAAAGCATGACAAGGGAAATCCGTGATGACGTATTGACTTTGACTAGTTTGACTTTTGACGTTGGACGTTGAGTTTGGTTTGATATTGATATGAAGTATGAAGGTTGAAGTGAAGGTTATGATAGAAGAATGACCAGCATTTATAGAGAAATGAGAAATTACTTACTTTTATTTACTATACTGGAGAATCCCCTTATTTGATTATTCACTGATTTGAGAAGAAAAAACGAGTTACCATGAAACGTACGCACCCCACGGAATAAAACACTACCAAAACAAAAAACCGACGCCATTTAAAATGTGGAATGTGGATCTAATGCTGACCTTGAATTAGGCATAAAATACTGAAATGTAATCAATCAAAACTTGCCACAATTTTATCAATAATTCTTATTCTACTCTCAACCACCAGCACCTAATTTTATAATGATAATGAAGTCAATTTTGATAACAGGTTGTAATAGAGGTCTTGGGTTAGGTCTCGTGAAATGTTTGGTGAAAGAAAAAAATCCCCCAAAAAGTATTATAGCAACCTGCCGAGACTTGAATAAGGCACAGGTATGTATTTGTATTTTATTAAAATGGGTTAAGGTTAATGATTTTGAACTTACCAGTGGGAGCCATTGATTATGTCTTAAATTCGTTGCCCTAATATTGTTTATTGAAGAAATAATAATAGAAGTAGAATAAATTAGAATTTATCACAGGGAAAGTACGGCAAAGACCAAACCACACAGCCACAGCACATAAAGATTCAACGCGCCAGCGCGAAATTTGATTCGTATAATGGTGTGTTTGATGTCTTATTACTTCTCCCAATAACTTATAGAATATCCCTTCCTACACCACGTTATCTAGATAATTATTGTTCTATTCTATTTTGACCAGTCATTCTCGTTTATCTCTATAAAACCTATGAGATCGCGATTGTATATTTTATTCAAAATGTAGTGAGTGAAGTTAGCCACATCCACAAAATACACCGAGAAAAATTTATCGCCGAAGATGTGTTCAGCAATTTCACCCGATTTCAGATGGAATTTGAACGCATTTTATAGGACGACTGAAGAGGGGTGAGAGCCTGAGTCGAATTTGATAGGGAGGTGGTGAATCGATAGTTTATCAAGTCGTCTAAAGGGAAAGAAAAGGGGTTTGAAAACGAAAATAATTCATTATCTCAGTGAATACTCGTTGTACATGGATTTTGAAAGCGGCAAACGAATCTTCTAATCGAATTCGATAGGAAGGTGGTGAACTCCTAGTTTGTCAGGCCGTCTAAGGGGGTAGAAAAGGGGTTGAAAAACAAAAAAAATCAATATCTCCGTTAATATTCGTTGTACATGGATTTTGAAGGCGACAAACGATTCTACTGATTGTATTTGATAGAAAAGTGTTGAACTCATAGTTTGTCAGGCCGTCAAAGGGGGTAGAAAAGGGGTTGAAAAACAAAACAAATCAATATCTTCGTTAATATTCGTTGTACATGAATTATGAAGACGGAAAACGAATCTACTAATCGAATTTGATAGATAGGTGTTGAACTCATAGTTTGTCAGGCCGTCAAAGGGGGTAGAAAAGGGGTTGAAAAACAAAAAAAATCAATATCTCCGTTAATATTCGTTGTACATGGATTTTGAAGGCGGCAAACGATTCTACTGATTGTATTTGATAGAAGAGTGTTGAACTCATAGTTTGTCAGGCCGTCAAAGGGGGTAGAAAAGGGGTTGAAAAACAAAAAAAATCAATATCTTCGTTAATATTCGTTGTACATGGATTTTGAAGGTGACAAACGAATCTACTAATCGAATTTGATAGGAAGGTGTTGAACTCATAGTTTGTCAGGCCGTCAAAGGGGGTAGAAAAGGGGTTGAAAAACAAAAAAAAATCAATATCTTCGTTAATATTCGTTGTCCATGGATTTTGAAGGCGGCAAACGATTCTACTGATTGTATTTGATAGAAGAGTGTTGAACTCATAGTTTGTCAGGCCGTCAAAGGGGGTAGAAAAGGGGTTGAAAAACAAAAAAAATCAATATCTTCGTTAATATTCGTTGTACATGGATTTTGAAGGTGACAAACGAATCTACTAATCGAATTTGATAGGAAGGTGTTGAACTCATAGTTTGTCAGGCCGTCAAAGGGGGTAGAAAAGGGGTTGAAAAACAAAAAAAAATCAATATCTTCGTTAATATTCGTTGTACATGGATTTTGAAGGTGACAAACGAATCTACTAATCGAATTTGATAGGAAGGTGTTGAACTCATAGTTTGTCAGGCCGTCAAAGGGGGTAGAAAAGGGGTTGAAAAACAAAAAAAATCAATATCTTCGTTAATATTCGTTGTACATGGATTTTGAAGACGGCAAACGAATCTACTAATCGAATTTGATAGGAAGGTGTTGAACTCATAGTTTGTCAGGCCGACAAAAGGGGGAGAAAAGGGGTTGAAAAACAAAAAAAATCAATATCTCCGTTAATATTCGTTGTACATGGATTTTGAAGGCGGCAAACGATTCTACTGATTGTATTTGATAGAAAAGTGTTGAACTCATAGTTTGTCAGGCCGTCAAAGGGGGTAGAAAAGGGGTTGAAAAACAAAAAAAAATCAATATCTTCGTCAATATTTGTTGTACATGGATTTTGAAGGCGGCAAACGATTCTACTAATTGTATTTGATACAAAAGTGTTGAATTCATATTTTGTCAGGCCGTCAAAGGGGGTAGAAAAGGGGTTGAAAAACAAAAAAAATCAATATCTTCGTTAATATTCGTTGTCCATGGATTTTGAAGGCGGCAAACGATTCTACTGATTGTATTTGATAGAAAAGTGTTGAACTCATAGTTTGCCAGGCCGTCTAAGGGGGTAGAAAAGGGGTTGTAAAACAAAAAATATCGATATCTCCGTTAATATTCGTTGTACATGGATTTTGAAGGCGGCAAACGAATCTACTAATCGAATTTGATAGGAAGGTAGTGAACTCATAGTTTGTCAGGCCGTCTATGGAGGTAGAAAAGGGGTAGAAAAACAAAAAAAAAATCAATATCTTCGTTAATATTCTCTGCGTATGGTAGTCCTCGAGCTACCAAATCATAGGACAATTCAAACATAGAAGGGGAATACATCATCTGTCAGGTGTACTTTTCTCGAAGATGAATGAATGGTTCCCTGAGAGTAGAATTTCAGTTTCCTCACCCAATCAATCAGAAAAGAATTATGAATGTACCCAAAAATTTACAAAATATGCCGGTTATAATTTACTTATACAAAATCAGTGAGTTTTTCATAATAACACTTTCCGGGAACCTAGATAATCTGATTGAGAACCTTACATTTTTTTTTATCATGAAAAATCATTTTGCACATTGGGAAGTGTATCCTATACTTAATAAACGTTATTTTCGAAGTGTTACCATTTTTTATAGAGTTCTATCTGTTGAGTTTTATAATTAATCAATGAAGATCTATTTAGGATGCAAAATTTCAAATATTTTTCGTTTCTTTTCTTTCATAATAGCCCCCCTCCAACGTGCGAAGCTATGAACATTATTCAATTTAATAAAGAATCGTGATAGCGACAAATTTGGCGTTTCTGAACTGTAAGGAGGTTCTGCCGCTCTATGTATTTCATAATCTACATCTATGGTTGGATCCATCTGCGGAAACTTAACCAGAGTGAACTCTTTCGCGTCTCGAGAATAATAGTTTCCGTCTGATGAGTCATGAAAAATAGATTATACGATTTCTTGTCTGAAAGCTGTTATGGATCGTTTTTTCAAGTTCATCCTAACAAAATATATTTTTTAATGAAGCATTTCTTCAAAATTGTCATCAATTTTATAAATTTTTTGCAGATTATTCCACATGCAATTGTAAAAAAATGTGAGTTCACACCATCTTACAATATTGATAATCAATGACATTTGAAATGAAATCTATCGATTATTTTTTTATAAAACTCAAAGAATCTTATGAACATGACATTTAATCTTTTTCGATGGAAAACTATTCCACATATTTTTTCGAAGACTCAGAAATTACATGAGTGTTTGTTCAGCAATAGCAGAATCAGTAGAAATACAATTCAATATCAGATATAACAAAATATCTGAATTCTCAGATAACTCATATTTTCTGAACTTGCTGTTCATTTTGTCATGACTTTGTATTTCTTCATCAACATAACTGATCTTATCGGAGATAATGATTTATTTCCTTTTTCAACTCCCTTCCTTCCCTCTTAGACGACCTGACAAACTATGAATTCAACACCTTCCTATCAAATTCGATTAGTAGAATCGTTTGCCGCCTTCAAAATCCATTACAACGAATATTAACGGAGTTTTTTTTTGTTTTTCAACCCCTCTACTACCCCCTTAGACGGCCTGACAAACTATGAGTTCAACACTTTTCTATCAAATTCAATTAGTACAACCGTTTCCTGCCTCCAAAATCCATGTACAACGAGTATTAACGGAGATAATGATTTTGTTTTGTTTTTCAACCCCCTTAGACGACCTGACAAACTATGAGTTCAACACTTCCCTATCAGATACAAACAGTAGATTCGTTTGCCGGCTTCAAAATCCATGTACAACGAATATTAACGCAGATATCGATTTTTTTTGTTTTCCAACCCCGTTTCCACCCCCTTAGACGGCCTGACAAACTATGAGTTCAACACTTTTCTATCAAATTCAATTAGTACAACCGTTTCCTGCCTCCAAAATCCATGTACAACGAGTATTAACGGAGATAATGATTTTTTTTTGTTTTTAACCCCTTTTCTACCCCCTTCGACGGCCTGACAAACTATGAGTTCACCACCTCCCTATCAAATTCGATTAGTAGATTCGTTTGCCGCCTTCAAAATCCATGTACAACGAATATTAACGAAGATATTGATTTTTTTTGTTTTTAACCCCCTTTTCTACCCCCTTTGACGGCCTGACAAACTATGAGTTCACCACCTCCCTATCAAATTCGATTAGTAGATTCGTTTGCCGCCTTCAAAATCCATGTACAACGAATATTAATGACGATATTGATTTTTTTTTGTTTTTATCAAATTCGATTAGTAGATCCGTTTGCCGCCTTCAAAATCCATGTACAACGAATATTAATGACGATATTGATTTTTTTTTGTTTTTAACCCCTTTTCTACCCCCTTTGACGGCCTGACAAACTATGAGTTCACCACCTCCTTATCAAATTCGATTAGTAGATTCGTTTGCCGCCTTCAAAATCCATTGTACAACGAATATTAACGAAGATATTGATTTTTTTTGTTTTCAACCCCTTTTCTACCCCTTTGACGGCCTGACAAACTATGAGTTCAACACTTTTCTATCAAATACAATCAGTAGAATCGTTTCCTGCCTCCAAAATCCATGTACAACGAGTATTAACGGAGATAATGATTTTTTTTGTTTTTCAACCCCTTTTCTACCCTCTTAGACGGCCTGACAAACTATGAATTCACCACCTCCCTATCAAATTCGATTAGTAGAATCGTTTGCCGCCTTCAAAATCCATGTACAACGAATATTAACGGAGATATTGATTTTTTTTTGTTTTTCAACCCCTTTTCTACTCCCTTTGACGGCCTGACAAACTATGAGTTCACCACCTCCTTATCAAATTCGATTAGTAGATCCGTTTGCCGCCTTCAAAATCCATGTACAACGAATATTAATGACGATATTGATTTTTTTTTGTTTTTAACCCCTTTTCTACCCCCTTTGACGGCCTGACAAACTATGAGTTCACCACCTCCTTATCAAATTCGATTAGTAGATTCGTTTGCCGCCTTCAAAATCCATGTACAACGAATATTAACGAAGATATTGATTTTTTTTTGTTTTCAACCCCTTTTCTACCCCCTTTGACGGCCTGACAAACTATGAGTTCAACACTTTTCTATCAAATACAATCAGTAGAATCGTTTCCTGCCTCCAAAATCCATGTACAACGAGTATTAACGGAGATAATGATTTTTTTTGTTTTTCAACCCCTTTTCTACCCTCTTAGACGGCCTGACAAACTATGAATTCACCACCCCCCTATCAAATTCGATTAGTAGATTCGTTTGCCGCCTTCAAAATCCATGTACAACGAATATTAACGAAGATATTGATTTTTTTTTGTTTTAAACCCCTTTTCTACCCCCTTTGACGGCCTGACAAACTATGAGTTCAACACCTTCCTATCAAATTCGATTAGTAGATTCGTTTGTCACCTTCAAAATCCATGTACAACGAATATTAACGAAGATATCGATTTTTTTTTGTTTTTAACCCCTTTTCTACCCCCTTAGACGGCCTGACAAACTATGAGTTCACCACCTCCCTATCAAATTCGATTAGTAGATTCGTTTGTCACCTTCAAAATCCATGTACAACGAATATTAACGAAGATATCGATTTTTTTTGTTTTCAACCCCTTTTCTACCCCCTTTGACGGCCTGACAATCTATGAGTTCACCACCTCCCTATCAAATTCGATTAGTAGATTCGTTTGTCACCTTCAAAATCCATGTACAACGAATATTAACGGAGATATCGATTTTTTTTGTTTTTCAACCCCGTTTCCACCCCCTTAGACGGCCTGACAAACTATGAGTTCAACACTTTTTTATCAAATACAATCAGTAGAATCGTTTCCTGCCTCCAAAATCCATGTACAACGAGTATTAACGGAGATAATGATTTTTTTTTGTTTTTCAACCCCTTTTCTACCCCCTTAGACGGCCTGACAAACTATCGATTCACCACCTCCCTATCAAATTCGACTCAGGCTCTCACCCCTCTTCAGTCGTCCTATGAAATGCGTTCAAATTCCATCTGAAATCGGGTGAAATTGCTGAACACATTTTCGGCGATAAATTTTTCTCGGTGTATTTTGTGGATGTGGCTAAACTTCACTCCCGTTCAATATAATCGGTAATGAATCATCAATTTTGCATTGGGTAGGGGTGTAGGGGAGACCTTGAGGTCACTTTAGAAACGTTTACACTATTAACATCTCTAAAAATTCATGAAAACTACCGTTGAACCGTGTCAACCGTGATTTGTGTCTTGTTCAGGACATCAAGATGTAGGTAATAATTGAAACAATTGAATAGTCATTGTTTCATTCATTTGAAAATAATCCGATTTGTAACAGAAAATATATAGGTTCGGGTTCAGGCGGTGTTTCATAATATGTGGGTCTTGGAGAGGTGATAAGGCGCCTCAGGCTCGGCCTCAGGGAAATGAAAAAAGTTCTTAGACTTATTACTTTGCGCGATACAGATGAGGGGGCGTTAAGGTTGCAAACGACGTTGCAAATATTTATGTCCACACTGTATATGGTGGAAAAATTTCGTCTGTTATGATAATGCCAGGCGAGAGGACTATTTTCTTTATTTCTTGAATGGAATCATCACTCAAATAACTTCCGATTTCATATTTTTTAAGAACTTTTCGGTCGATTTTTAGGTGCTAAAATCATCAATAATGCCACGATAATTTTCAAACGGCTTTAGAAAACCGCCAGTTTAGACTGACGCCACGATTTCGTAAGTAGGGGCAGACCATTTGCCATGTTTTAAAATCGGATTGGGAACTTCAGAAATATAAGTTATTCAATAATTCTCAATCAGCAGTAAAAATTCAATTGTCTTTAAATATACCCTTATTATTTGTGGCTTATTGGGTATATACAGATATAATAAATTTGTGTAAATAATAATTATATATACAGTGTGACCCATTTTTAATGGAAACACCCCTGTATCTCACGTAATCGTTGGGTAAGGACCCTGAAATTTGCTGGCGAGAAAGTGTACAATACACTATTTTTTTCTGTGACAGAAGAAAGGACGAATCAATATTAGAATACATTATATATATTGAAATCAGAAAATTATCGACGTGAAATTTTTTAACCATCTATATCATTCTTTTGAAGTGATCAAATATATGCCAGTCTGATTCTGTGATTTGATATAAATATATTGCGAAGTGGTTGTATTTACGTAACCGCGAAGTCGTATGGAAAATGAAAGGACTTGCAGTTATTTCTTGGAGACGGTGTTAGTGGCTTATTTTTCGGAAGCCATAAACAGTATATATCGCAAGAAAATATGTGATATATATCCCACGGGAAAAAAATATTTATTGAAAAGTGACATTTTATAACCTGTCAACAGAGATGAAATGGCCAAAATTTTCTCCCGTCACAGAAAAAAACAAGTATAATCATTAACGACATATTGAACTATCTTGAGGCGAGATATAATATCTGAATTTACCCAGGTCTCCCCTACCAAACTGATAAAAATGCATCATAATTGTCCTATTGTGCACAATGATAATTCTGAAATATTTAGATGTTATCTGTTTTTGATTATTATACGTATATCATACGTGTGTATACTAGAACTTTTCGTAGTCGAGCCACAGCCTCAGGCTGTAGGAACCTACTTATACAGTGTGTTCCACGTTCCACTACTTCAATATGTGGCAACAACTCCATTATTATAAGTTCTTAAAATTTTATGAAAACTTGCTAAACAGAACATCTTATCGTGAAACTTTTTTTTCGACTAGGCAAGATTAGGAAATAATTCAGGAGGTACGAAGATTGCAAATTTGTTTCAGGAACTTCAGGGAATTGCAGAATCAAATAACAATGTCCACATACTGCAACTAGGTACCTAGTTTTCCATTATTTCATCTAGCTTTTTGAACATACATCGGAATATAATTCTCAAGAATTATTCAAATCACTTCTTTATCATTTCTCATAGATGTTGAAGATACAGAAACCTTCGACGAATTTGCAAGAAATGTCCAAGAAATTGTGAAAGACAATGGCTTGAACGTTTTGTTCAACAATGCTGGATATTCTCCAAAGTCAACACGAATCAATATGGTGAAAGCTCAACAGATGATTGATACTTTTAGAATAAATACGGTGGGTCCGATTATGCTTACAAAGGTAGGTCAAATTCCTAAAAAGGCCTAATATTTTTTTCATCAAAGGAAATTTGATTGCCTTATTGTTTTATTTTCATGGTTGAGGCTCTTCTACCAGCTTTAAAAAAAGCTTCAGAAGTCAATTGTAATCATCCACTAGGCAGCAGCAGATCAGCTGTCATCAACATGTCAACGATATTGGGATCAATTAGTAAAAATTGTGAAGGTGGATTGTACCCTTATAGGTGTTCTAAAGTAAGTTTGATTGACTTATTTATACCTCTATTAGATTATAATTATTAAGTATGGAAAACACGAGTTTGGCATTTACAGCAACTTGCTCTTCTTTTTCTGTCATCTGAGAGTTTATACACTGTGTCCAAGATAAGGATGTCTATCATGATGGGGATCTCGGAAACCATGAGAGATACGAATTACGAAGATGGTTAAATTAGAGAAAAATTGCGCATTTTTGAGCCTAACAAAATGACGTTTGAAAAATTTCAAAATGCCGAGTATTTCCGGAGATATGGCTGAAAAACCGAAATATTCCGATTTTGTTCTTATTTTTTCCTGACGTTATTTAAAGAGAGATAGGTAAACAAAAGACACTTTCTCATTGCCACTTTTTGAGATCTACAAAACAGCGTTGAGAGATTTTCCGTACGACGTTTTGTTTCGGAGAAACCATCATCAACTTTATTTTTTCATATGGCCCGTAAAAAAAGTATACCCTGTATCAAGTAGCATATTTTATTACGAATACAACGATGTATGACACATAATGATTCTACAATATTTGAATCAGGAAAAAATTGTTATTATCATTATTTCGAACGTAGGCGGTGAAATGACGGCGCTGAGAAAATGTCAAAATACTTTAATTGACATATTATTGACACAAAGTGTTTTTGAACTTTGTTCTTGCTAGAGAAGTTTCTATCGAACAGATTCCTGGGAAAATGGATAGGTACACATTCAACAGTTTCTGGGCCTCCTCGTTCGCCGGACATCACTCCGCTCGATTTTTTTCTCTAGGGGTATTGCAAAAATTATGTTTACCGCCGTATTTTTTCATCTGATAAGTTGAGAAGTGTTTTATCTCCGTTTTTTCGGATTTCTAGTGAGTAGTTCTTAACTAATTTGTTTATATAATTAATTAACATATGACGTGTAACATATGACGTGACCTACCTACGTATTCAAATGAAGTTTTTAAATCCACAATAATGTGATTTCAATACAATATTTTGAAACACGAGTAATAATATAATATCAATGATTATAATTGGTGACTTGACAACATTGCTTCGTGAGTGGGAATGGAAGATTATCTGACCAATAACTAAACAGCATAAAAGCTGACATCAACATTTATTCGCCGTATCGCCAAATGGTGGCTATGAAGGAATTTGAAATGAGCTCCGAAATTCAACAATTTCGAACAACGCATACACTAATTATTCGCCCATTTAACTCATGTATACCAAATCCCATAAGCCGCTGTGATTTTGTCATTATGACAGCGACAAAACTTTGCCACAAGTTTTCCAGCGGAAATTTATTTATCGTTACCATACCGGGTGACACAGGTTATCGGGCCACCCCTGTAACTTCTGCATTCGTCAACGGATTTTTCTGAAATTCTGTTCAGTTATATAAGCAACTATTTCGGATTTGATCACATTACAATCCAATATGGCGGACTTCCGGTTTTTCTGGAAATGCCTGCAATTTTGTTTTTTCTAATGGAACACCCTGTATATTTTTACATATTCAAGTTCAACAGGTCAAAACAAGTGCAATCTTGATGTCAAATGTCATTTATTACACAGCCTACCTAGTTGAAGAATTATTCTAATGCAAGGAAATTCATAAACTAGTTGTTGATTTTTGAATGTATACAATTTGTTACTGCACCGAAAAACAAAAATGATATGTCATTTTGTTCCTTAATGTATGTTCTATTGAGACGGGTAGGTGGCCCATAGGGATTCCATTTGAAAAAAAATAATTTTTGATCAAAAAGTGATGTGGCTGAATTGATTCCTGGATAAGTGACAAAAAATAATTTTTCAGAAAAAATTATGTTCTTCTGTTATGTGTGACTCATTGTGAATAGTCTTGACCACATCTCATTTATCCACGAGGTAAAATGAAAAAACAATTTTAATTTGAATTTTTTCGAAAAAATGACATTTGAAATAAAGATTGCACTTGTTTCGACCTGTTGAACTTGAATATGTAAAAATATACAGGGTGTTTCATTTGAAAAAACAAAGTTGCTGGCATTTCCAGAAATACCGGAAGTCCGCCATATTGGATTGTAATGTGATCAAATCCGAAAGAATTGCTTATATAACTGTACCGAATTTCAGAAAAATTCGTTGACGAATGCAGAAGTTACAGGGGTGGCCCGATACCCTGTGTCACCCGGTATATAGCAACTAAACAAATTTCATGAAAATCTTTTCCTCCTCCTTGGGGGACGGAGCATGAATTAAATTACACTGGAAATGTTTTGACGTTCAAAAGGTTAAATGACATTTATTTACATTCAACTTCAGATCATTTCGAGTTCATTCTATAAGTCAATAAATAAAGATCATTCATCAATAGTTTACCATATGATATCATGTAGGTATACTTGCAAATTAAAACACATGTTATACTATACGTTAGTTCTTACATTTTATCACGAACAACCATCAACATGTAAATCTTACCGAATACCACTTTAGCTTCAATTAATATCCGGGATTTTTTTCTCAAACACGAATATTTAGAAAATTCGTGTTCACGAAAAAATTTCCGGAAATAATTGAAGCTCTCGTGATATTATGATAAGTGACAAAACAGAATTTTTGAAACCATGACAACCAGAATTTTGAACGCATGTTTGATGGCGTTTGTGTCAATATTTCTCAATCTTGCGCTATCAGAAAGTTATATCTAATCTGTGGAAATGTCGCGATTTGGAGTGTAGAAATTGAAAAATCCATCAATAACAACATGATTTACGCATTCTTTAAATTGTCTTACCGAATTACACTCGAGCATTTTTTAGGTCGAAATAAACTCAACATTTTTTATAGTTCGAGTTTTGTTGCCTTTAGGAAATTTAACTCAAAAAACTGCCAGAATAAATTATTCGTCCTAGATTTTTTTTTTTCGTGTAATTTCCAGGCAACAAAATTTTCATTGGAATTTTTGGAGTTAACTTCCAAAAAAAAACTCCATAAAAAACAACATCAAGAAATTATAATTTATGCTACGTTCGTTAGTTTCGACTTTGGTTTTAAACTTACAAAGAAATAAAGAAAACTTGTAAAATGGAAAAAAAAAATTGTATATCGCTCAGTATTATCATCGATATACTCTCATGGGATAATCATAACTTGGCTTTTGATATTTGGCGCAAAAAGGTACTCCACACCTCAACAGTTATATGATGTCCAAAGCAGAATACTGTTCCCACGTATGGTATTCAGCACCAAGACAAACGATGATACTTTTAGATTTCATCCAGAGACGAACCATTCACCTGGTTGGTGAAGCCACACTCAATAACTCCATGACATAATTGGAACATTGCTATGTAGGAATAAATGCTCTTCAGAAATCTCGGCCATCATTCCATCACTAAAGTCATACCAGTTAAACGAACTCAACAAGCCCAGTCAGCACATCCTTTTGTCGTCAACCTCGAGATATGCTGAACAATTCTTTCAAAACTCGTTTTGTCTATACATAGAACGGCAGAGACTGTTGTTAGTCAAAATTCAAAGAATTGGGTGTACTCACAGCTCCTTGTGCCTATATTCTCGAATGTGTAATATACCGGGTGTCCCATTTTAATCTTTATTTGGAAATTTCTCGAAATGTATGCATCTGACAAAAAAAATTGCCGAATAAAAGTTGTATGGTTTGGAGGGGGACGTCTGGTTATAAAACAAGTTTCACCCCCTGACCCCCAGGGGAGTGGGAAATGGAGGTAACATTGAAATCTTTAATGGAAACCCCTATTTTTTAATGCTGATTCTGGAAGAGCAATGAAAACTATGAAGCTTTTATTCAGGAACTTCTTTTTTATTTTCACAAGATGTCGCTGAGATCTTGAAAAACAATATTTTACTATTTAGTTTGTAGTTGGCCACCCAGATCACCCGACTTGACTTCCCCAGACTTCTTTCTGTGGGGTGTGGGGTTACATCAAAAACATTGTGTTTCGCGAACCCCCAACCACACGCGAGAATATGAAAGATAACGCCTGCTATGTTGGAAGCGACAATGCGGAATTTTGAAAAACGAGTGAACTTGTGTATTCAAGAAAATGGAGGTCATTTCGAACACTTGATAAAGTAGTCAATCTCACTTAAAACCAGCTCTAGTCTGACCTAAATGATACCTTGATTGCTGGAACATGCTCATTTTTCTCTTTTCTATGTAGAGGTGTCAAGGTAAGTAAGTTCGTTTAGCGTTAATTTGTCGTGTGAACATCACCCCAATGGCGTTTGTCTGGGAAAATATCACACCCTACACTCTTCCTCGTCTTCAGGGGGTTGAAATGTGTAAATAGTGAAATATTGTTTTTTACGATCGCAGCGCCATCTTGTGAAAATAAAAAAGAAGTTCCCGAATAAAAGCTTCATAGTTTTTAATGCTCTTCCAGAATCTGCAATAAAAAATAGGGGTTTCCATTAAAGATTTCAATGTTACCTCCATTTCTTACTTCCCTGGGGGTCAGGGGGTGAAACTTGTTTTATAACCAGACGTCCCCCTCCAAACCATACAACTTTTATTCGTCAATTTTTTTTTGTCAGATGCATACATTTCGAGAAATTTCCAAATAAAGATTAAAATGGGACACCCGGTATATGTCAAAAAAATGTGGATGCATATAGTACAGGGTGGGCAAAATTGGGCGTTTTCACCGTCTATCTCAATAACTAGAGGAGTTATCGAAAAACCGATATACATGTTCCGGGTTCGATTTTGGAGAAACCTCGAATGATACAATCAAAATTTCGATATCTTCATTCGTTTTAGAGATACAGGGGAAAAATGAAAATTTGCCGATTTCGATTTTATTTTCTGACTACTTTACGGTGAGAGGTATCAAAAAATTTCAAACGTATATCTATACAGTATGATGCGTGGAATCCATTGGCATCATCAGAAATTTTATACAGGGTGACGTTGAGAGAATACGGCAGCCAATTATGTTTTTTCTAATGGAACACCCCGTATATTTTGACACAGTTGAATAGTCCCAGGCGTTCTCATTACAAATATATATATATAACCCTACCTTTTCCTTCCACAATTTCAGATATATTCGCAAAAATATATTCAGTGTGTCACATTTCTTATGGTTACACCCCCGTATCTTCTGTAAGAATAATTGATGGAAACATTAACAATCATAATATTTTGTGGCAGAATGCCTGAATATGATATTTTACCCATTATTTCTAGTATGCCTTAATATTTTTGCGTTCAAAGAGATAATAAATAAGATATATATTTGAAATTGAAACGGGAACTTTCCTCTCTGCCAAAATGTTCCATAAAATTGTTCTGTATCTGGAATTTGGACATCTTCTATAAGGCTATATTTTTCAACGCAACCTACTGATTTCCTAATTGAGTAAATTATTGGTCTTATACCTGTATCTCAAATGTCTTGATAACAATGATATCAAATCGAATAATTTCCCATTTTATTTCTCACCAAATATCCATTTATCTGGAAATTATATTCCCTATGATATTTATTTTCCACATTTGGTGAATATATACAGAGTGTCATTTTCAACCTCGATTCTGCCTGTTGATAGCATTATACAGAAATATCGATGATTCCACCAGCTGCTGGCGAGCAGTGTTATCATTGGAGATGATCCCACTTGGTCCATGACTCCATGAGTGTATCATTTGTATCTTTCTGACAGTTGCGAATTTTTGAATCCTACCTCAATTATTTTTACAGAAGATACGGGGGTGTTACCATAAGAAATGTGACACACTGAATATATTTTTGCGAATATATCTGAAATTGTGGAAGGAAAAGGTAGGGTTATATATATATTTGTAATGAGAACGCCTGGGACTATTCAACTGTGCCAAAATATACGGGGTGTTCCATTAGAAAAAACATAATTGGCTGCCGTATCTTTTCAACGTCACCCTGTATAAAATTTCTGATGATGCCAATGGATTCCACGCATCATACTGTATAAATATACGTTCGAAATTTTCTCATACCTCTCACCGTAAAGTAGTCAGAAAATAAAATCGAAATCGGCAAATTTTCAATTTCCCCCTGTATCTCTAAAACGAATGAAGATATCGAAGTTTTGATTGTGCCATTCGAGGTTTCTCCAAAATCGAACCCGGAACATGTATATCGGTTTTTCGATAACTCCTCTAGTTATTGAGATAGACGGTGAAAACGCCCAATTTTGCCCACCCTGTACAGCTGGAGATTCCTATACGGCTATGACGTAACAGAGGTAAATTGTTACCAAAATATCATCGTCTTGAAAAGACCAATGGGTACTAGCTACTTCGGCCCCAACATGTACAATGTATTCCCAGATGAACTCAAAAATGTAATTTAAATTTAAATTGTTTTATCAAAATCTTCAAGAATTATCATTCAACAAAAGCATTTTACTCAAGTGGTGATCATCTCACAAATAATTTCAATGATTTGGTATTATAGAAATGAACTGATCTAGTGAACAAGACCTAGAGGGTATTTCAAATCATTTTGACATGTTGGACATGATTTTGAAAGGCAAACTGACACTTTGTAATTATGCAACAAGTTATCATTGTATAACCCGAATATTTTGAAGTAGTTATTTAAATACTACTGATAATATTAATAGAAATAAAATAAAAACCCTAGGGATTTAAAGTACCACTTTTCCCCTGAAAGTTGGGGATTTAACGTTCCCTTTCAATCCATATAGTGCATAAAAATAATAATATATTCATCAAATCACTTTCGTGACCTTATAATCTCTGCCTCCACTGAAGACGTATTCAAAACACCGTGTATATGTGATTCTAGGCTGCACTAAACATCGCTACAAAATCTCTCAGTATCGATCTGAAAAAAGATGGGATACTGGTAACGTGCGTTCATCCCGGATGGGTGAAAACCGATATGGGTGGATCCCATGCTCCCATAGACGTAGAATCCAGTGCCAAAGGTCTGGTCACCCTTATGACGTCATTATCTGAAAAGCACAATGGGGAGTTCTACACCTGGGAAGGCAAAGCTCTTCCCTGGTAATGAGTCGCCAAATGATTATGTTATTGCTGTGTAAGATTATATTTTGTATAAATATTATACAGGGTTTTTACAACCACTTATGTTTCAATATCCATAAGTCAAAATAATAAGCAGCAAATCAATATAATATTTCAATGGTTACTAGGAATAATAGGAGCATTTATGGAGGCCCTGTATAATTAAGTGTATACTTTTGTATTCCTTTATTTCTAGACATAAAGCATTATTAGAACTTGAAATATCTAATGGGCGTGTATATATATATATATATATATATATATATATATATATATATATATATTTATCCTCTTATCAATGTTGCGTCCATGTATTGACAATTTTCATTTAATCCTGCGTCCATCGCGATAGTGCGACCGTATATCGGACGCAAGATTACAATCCATGTTATTTTCCCGCCAATGCATTGAATTGTTGTACTGAGTCCCTCATTAATACCATCATGGGACGCGGAATCCATTCTCTTTAAATGGTTGCTCTATTGTTAGCCGTTTGGGAGATATGATGATTTTTTGGTATCAAAATCGGACGCAGCATTAATAAAAGTATAAGAGAATCGAATATTTTTGCTTGGCACAAATGCCGTCAGAGGCGCTATCAAATATACATTATGTATATTAATTTTTCATCGTCTGATGGATGCTGCGACCATACATTTGGCAACACTGTATCTCAATAGAGCTGCAATTCTACATGAAGCTTTCTTTCTGATCATTCGATGGATGTATATATATATATACAGGGTGCCCGTTTTTCGAGCTCCACCATGGGGATCTCAGTTATTATTAGAGATACGAGGTTGGTTGAATCAAGGCAAAGTTGCGCAATTTGATGCTGATCAAAATGCCGATTCAAAAAATTCGAAATTTCGAATACTTCCGAAGATATTTGGAAAAAACTGAATATCCGCGATTTCGTTTTTATTTTTTTCTGACTTTATTCGGAGTGATAGTACAAAATGAGTGACATATTAGCATTGCCACTTTGTCTGCTCTATCCAATGGCATTAATAGATTCATGATCCAACGTTTCGTCTTCGAGAAGCCATCATCAACTTTGTATTTTCAAATGGTCGAAAAGAAAATGTTTGTTCCCAAAGAACTCTAATTCCGATTCTGAATCCAACGACATATAATACTTCAAAATTATCCGACGTTTCGAACCAAAAAATCAGTTATATTTAATGATGGTTATGACGACAACTTGTAGCGAAGGAAAAAGGGCTATGAAAATGTCAAATTTATTTTGGTCTATATCTTTTAGTAAAATCAGAAAGAAATCATTTCATAGGATTAGAAACTTCAAGAATCGCTTTTTGTTGAAAACTAAAATAGAGAGACCAAGATGAATTCAACTTGTTGGTCTATCTCTATTTCAGTTTTCAATAAAAAGTGATTCTCGAAGTTTCTAATCCCAAGAAAAGATTTCTGATTTTACTAAAAGAGATAGACCAAAATGAATTCCACATTTCCATAGCCATTTTTCCTTCTCTACAAGTTGCTTTCATCAGATTTTTGATCCGACGTTTCGTTTCCTCGTAACCATCATCAAATAATACTGATGATGATTTTTTGGTTCGAAACGTCAAATGATTGTAAAGTTTTATATGTCGTTGGATTCAGAATCGGAATTAGAGTTCTTTGGGAACAAAAATTTTTTTTCGATCATTTGAAAATACAGAGTTGATGATGGCTTCTCGAAGACGAAACGTCGGATCACGAATCTATTAATTCTATTGGATAGAGCAGAAAAAGTGGCAATGCTAATATGTCACTCATTTTGTACTATCACTTCAAATGAAGTCGGAAAAAAATAAAAACGAAATCGCAGATATTCTGTTTTTTTTTCAAATATCTTCGGAAGTATTCGGAATTTCCAAACTTTCGGAGCGGCATTTTGATCAGCATCAAATTGCACAACTTTGCAGTAGTTCAACCAACTTCGTATCTCTTATAATAACTGAGATCCCCATGTTGGAGCTCGAAAAACGGGCACCCTGTATAGTTAGAATCCCATATGGCGGACGCCCCAAGATGGCGGAGTAACTTTTTTAACAACCTCATCGACATGGGTATCAAATTGAAGGGTTCGACGAGTGGAATGTGAGAATCCTAGTGATGTTTTCCTGAATACAATATGACGGACGCTCCAAGATGGCGACTCACCTTCTTCATCACAACCCCATCGACATGGGTATCAAATGAAAGGGTTTGAGAAGTAGAATACGATGAACTATGTGACGTCATTCCAAATCCAATATGGTGTATGAATATTCAGCCAATAAGTTTTTGACCTTTATAAATATTGTGTGGATTTTACCACGAATAGTGTGATTTGAATATAATACAAAATATAAATAGTTTCATTCGAAATCACAAGTTGATATTAACTTCGTGTTGATCGAAGAACTATTTAAGCAAATTCGGCTTCAAAAACATTTCAGAAATTGATTTCAATGCATGTCTGAATGGACTCATCAACGATCTTTCGATCCGATAGAGATGAATATTTCAAATTTGGGGAACTGTCGAATCGAATGACGTGAACTTATTCGATTGATGAAGATCAATCATATTCAGAAATTTTGGTAGAGTGATGCGGTTCTGGGAAGAAATTGATATTATCTGATAAGATCCTGTCCTAGATCTCTCTCTCAGAGATATCGATTAGGTACATGGAATATTCGAATTCGAAATTGTCGAACTGGTTGACGTGAACTTGGTACTCTTCTAGTTAAAAGTTGTTGATTATGGATGAAAATATATTACACGAAACAAACGTTTAAAAAACCACACATATATTCGATTGCACTGAAAAAGGTGGAATATTTTTTTCCTGAATATGGATAATGCGTAGAGCGCTCAATCATCGCTAGATATATTGCTACTTGTCGCCCCACGCTATCACTAATACTCTTCAGTTCCGTATAACCGAAATAATCAATTTCCTTTTTTCTGTGCATCTGAATATGAGCGTGGTTTATAGAAAGTTTTTTTTTTCAGAATATTTCGTTTTCAAGTTTTTCAGGCTGTCGTCTCGTTATATTCTGATATAGATTTTCAATACAAATTTTGAATAGAATCGGTCCATATTCTCAAAACCTGTACGCTATTCTGATGCCGCCATCTTGAATTTTTCGATTTTGACATGAAAATCATAATCTCCGAACCTGACAACCCCCAGATTCTAATTTAGAATCAAATCTCTCCATAAACACAAAACTTGTCCGCAATATTGAAGCCGCCATCTTGAATTTTAGAATTCAACAAGAAAATCGAAATCTCCGATCACGAAAATTCCCAGATACCAATTTTGAATAGAATATAATAATTACAGAACTCGTGCGTCATGAAGGAGCCGCCATTTTTATTTTTTCAATTTTGACAGAGAAAATCATAATCTTCGACCCCGAAAATCCCCAGATACCAATTTTGAATCAAATCGGATGAAAATTACCAAACTTGTCCGCCATCTTTGATTTTTCATTCTTGACAAAAGAATCATCATCTTCGACCCAGAAATCTCCCAGATATTGATTTTGAATAGAATTGGATCACATTTACAAAACCCGTCCGTCAAATTAAAGCTGCCATTCCAAATTCTCAAATTTCGACAGGATAATCATAATCTCAGACCCAAAAAAACCCCAGATACTAATTTTCAATAGAATCGGATCATAATTCCAAAACTCGTCCGCCATATTGGAGCCGCCATCTTAAAATTCCCAATTTTGATAGAATAATCATAATCTCCGACCCCAAACACCCTTAGATATCAATTTTGTATAGAATCGAATCATTATTACAAAACTCGTTCGCCTTATTGGAGCCGTCATTTTGAAGTTTCCAATTGTGACAGGATAATCAAAACCACCAACCCGAAAACCCCCTGATAAAAATTTTGAATAGAAAAGGATCATAATTACAGAACTCGTCCGCCATGTTGGAGCCGCCATCGCGAATATTCCAATTCTGAAAGGGTAATAATACTCTCCGACCCCGAAAATCTCCAGATACAGATTTTGAATAAAATCAGATCATAATTACAAAAACTCGTTCGCCATATTGGAACCGCCATTTTGAATTCTCCAATTCTGTCAGGATATTCATGATCTCCGAACCCGAAAACCCTCAGATACCAATTTTGAATGAAATCGGATCATAATTACAAAACTCGTCCGCCATATTGATACGTCATTTTGAATTTTTTAATTTTGACAGAATAATCATAATATCCGACCCCGAAAACCTCCAGAAACCAATTTTGAATAGAATTAAATCATGAATACGAAACTCGTCCGTCATATTGGAGCCGCCATCTTGAATCTCCAATTGTGACAGGATGTTTATGATTAACGATCCTGAAAACCGCAAGATAACAATTTTGAATAGAATCGGATTATAATTACGAAACCCGTCTGCCATATTATCATAATCTTCGACACGGTCTGTTACGTTCTTCGAGGGGGTGAAATGTTCATTTTGAGAGATTATTCAGGGCTAACTTGAGTTAAGTTATTTCCGATATTTTTGCTTCAAAAGTTCCTGAAAGTTGAATTTCAAACGCAGTGACATTCCGGGAGAGTATTAATTACTCTACTTCTTAAACATATCCTCATAATTCATAAATTTTCAAATACGAGGAGAGAAAGCGCCAATTTTGAAAGATCATAATTACAAAACTCGTACGTCATATTGTACCCGCCATCTTGAATATCTCAATTGTGACGAAAGAATCACAATCTCCGTAATATAAAACCTCCAGACACCAATTCTGAATAGAATCGTATCATAATAACGAAACTCGTGCGCCATATTGGATCCGCCATATTGATTCTTTCAATTCTGACAAGATTATCATGATCTCCGAACTCGAAAACTCATAGATTCCAATTTTGAATAGAATCCCAGACAGCACCAGATATTCCATGAATCTCCCTATCATATTCCTTTTGGAATATTGGAATATTCTAGAAATAATCTGGAATATTCCGGAATATCTGTGGAATATTCTCTAAATATGCGAATGGGAATTCCTCAGATAATCATAGAATATACCCAAAAGAATATTCTATGTTGAATGTTCCTGGAATATTCCAATAAACATATTCTGAAATAAAAAAAAGTGACCCAAGCAGGGATCGAACTCGTGACCTCAAGACTATCAGAGCAACGCCTTGACCACTAGGCCAGTAATCGAATTGAATAATGTTATACATATCAAGTTCTTGTGAGAGCATTGCTCGAAATCGGGTCA